TTCGGCTATTTATTGGGGATTTGAACAGGAGCATATGTTAGGCCAATGCATTAACTCCAGATCAAGCACTCATAGAGGTAATAAAATAATTTGAACTTTGAGACAGGGAAGGTTTTTCTGAAATGTTGTCCTTATTTTCAGCCCTTTCCACATATTTTTTTTTATTTTATTTTTTTTTATTTATTTATTTATTTATTCATATATATTTCAACATCAAATGTACAGTAAACGGGTGACACTTCTCGTGTATATTCCCGTGTTTATAATCATGAAATGTACAGATTGGGGATCTGCTTGTGTGATGAATGCTACTATCTATGTCTGACTAAGAATGTGTCATATAATGCCCACTATGGTTATCTGAAATTGATATTATTGATTGATAAAATATTTTTTCAATTCTTTTTTCATAATAAAAATACTTCCAGATGATGTTATTTCAATAGGTAATGAATTCCAAATTGATGGTGCAGTAAAAGATATCAAGGCTTTACCATAATTTGTTCGAATTTTGGGTTTGTCATAGTTTACCCTATTTCGGGTGTTGTAAGCATGTCTTTCTTGGATGGTACTGAAGAGGTTTGGAAATATTTTATGATAATTATGGAGTTTATTAATCCATTTGTACATGAAGATGCATTTCAACTGCTTATTAATATCAAATATATTCAAAATGTTCAGTTGTTTGAATAGGGGAAGGGAATATATGTTTTTTCAATGTTTGATGCACCAATATGTTGCACTTTGAGACACAGTTAACCTCTAAAATATGATTTATTTGGGATAAAGTGGAAAACAGTACATGTATTTCCCATGTTATTTTCCCATAGGGAAAACTCATGTGATCCATTGTTTTCAGCTTAATTTTGGTCATCCAAAATTGATATCTTTAAAACCCCTGCATGAATCATATTTTCATTTAAAGATCTTAACCATGTCTCAAAACGCAACAGAGTGATCGATGCAACAAACATTGAAAAACAGGTGTGGAAAGGGCTGGAAATCAGGACAACATTACAGAAAACCATGTTGATGGGGTGTTTGCACCTTCCCTGTCTTAAAGTCCAAATTATTTTATAATCTCTATGACTGCTTGTCCTGGAGTTAATGCATTGGCCTAACATATGCACCTGTTCAAATCCTCAGAAAATAGCCAAAATCCAATATATGACTGAAATCTGTTGCGATACCGTCCATGGTCCTTTAAAAGAAAGTTATTTCTAGTTACATAGAGTAGTTTTCATTCTCATCAATACATCTTTGCCTTGAAATCATCTGTGAAACATGTGGTTTGACCTTCATGGAAATTTGCTTAATTTTGACACACCTTTGTTTAACTTATACTGTCTTTGAGGCTGCCTTATCTGAAACCACGAAGTGTCTCATGTTTCAAATGTTTAAACAATCAAGTCTCATCTTGCCTTTATTTCAAACTCTAGTTTCCAGACTCGAGTCCAATCAAAAATGAATTATCTACATGGAAGTTTGTGAAGTCCTTTATTTCTGAAACTGTTTTAAATACTTAATATTTTCCAGGTAACTGCTTTACAAAATTATTGTGCATTGTGAATCTTCATTATCTATCTGATAAATATTTTCCTCAGCAAACTTTATTTTCATAGAACACATGATGAATCTTTTATTCAACATTCTCAATTTTGCATCAATTATGTTTCAAGAATTTTTTCCCTGGCTCACTATGAAGGACATTTAAATAAGTCATGGGAAAGTAGGTCATAAGAAAGAGGAGCACTGGGTTCCGACCATTCCAATGATGCAGGTTTTGTGCTAATTTTGAATATCTTTATGGTACTTTTAAAGGTAATGGGCTAATGGCTTTAGCAAATTGCAGCAATGTCATAGTTAGTTTTTTTGGTCAAAGTAGGTTGCTAAATCACTAAAGAGAAGTCATGAATCTTATATCATAAATGTGTTTTAAATCAACTTGTTTACCTGAAAATAAAATGTGGTCACAGCTTTTCTGATGCTAATGTACCCGAATGGTGTCTAATTCATAATGAAATAAATGAAATCATTGTGATATGTATGTGGAGTCTAGTTGCCTTATAATAATACATTTACTTTAGTACATGTACATGGATTCTCTCCTAATATAATATTATTTCCCTATAAATATCTAAACTTTAATCAAAAGCAGTTTCAAAATTATCGTATATTGTATTTCACCTAAAATATCGTATATGGTATAAGAGCTGTGAAAAATATTGTATATGGTGAAAAAATATTGTATATGGTATAAGAGAGCTGAAAAATATTGTATATGCATTTCCAAGACCCTCTATACACCCCACCCCCTTGAAGTATCATGCAGCCTACCCCTTTTGTTGAATTATTTGTATGCTGGTATGCATGTTATCAGTACATGTATACGCCTAGCCTGGTACCGCCAAGAAGGGGACGGGTGGATTAATGGAGGGACATGTTCAGTAACTGACTAATGTCTAATAGTCCCAGGGGGAACATGATCCTGTATATATTGTCGTACAGTCGATACGAACGCAGTCGGTTTTCCCACTTCATTTAGTCTACTTGAAAAAATGTGACGATTATCTGTGATGGATAAGTCATTTATTTATTGAGCATCGGGGATGATAAGAGATGTTTCTAGACTTGAAGTCCTATAACTTAAAATTCCCCATTTTTCATTCTTCAGAGCTGTAAAATCCAGCTTCATATTACATTGTACGTTTTATGAGTTCATTTTTGAAATACAAGAATTTCCGTGAAGTTGTAATAGAAATAAAAATAGTAATAGAAGAATAATAGAAATATTGCCCCCCCCCCCTCCGCCCCTTCAATTGTTTTTTATATTACGTATGGGAACTTAATTGCTCAGCAATGACATTAATTTTGTGACGATAATGTCACTTACAAGTTTTTTAATTACAGGTCGTGTAGACCATTCTTGCTTGACTAGCAAAACATTGACTTTCGGACGTTTGCGGCATTTCGCCTTTTACATCATATACTTTAATCCTAGAATACTTACAATATTTTACCATACCGTAAGCCTATTCATTTGGCCATTCAATCGTAAACTAAATTTTGCCTTGAAAAAGTAAATTTTCCAGATTTGTTGAAATTTCTACCAGAATTTGTCTGCTCCCCCTCCGTCCAATTTCTACGATCACCGGCCATGGGATTGAATAGAAACTCAGTCCATGTCAAAATACAAATGGTTACAACCAATAACAACAGTCAATAACATTTAGATATCTTATAACAACAGACAGGGCCGTCCATATATTCATCCCATTGAGTTAGCTTCATTCCCCGTTTCAGTTAGCTTCATTCCTACGTCATCACTAAGTTCAGTTAGAGTCATTCTAAGTGAAGCTGTTTTCTTTCAATTTCTCTAATATCGCGGGTGCTTGAGCCTTTATTTGTGGTTGTTTACAATTATATCTTTATTAGTTTGCATGGCGAAACTTTTGGGATCAAGATTCAGCTTGGTTTGGCTGTAATTGGAGATTTATCGAAAACGAACGAATTTTGTCAACCATCTTGAATGAAGCTAACTGCAGTTAGAGTCATCCAGTTGTGGAACAGTGATAACAATATTATATCACTCTTCAATTATACATTTAAATGTGCCACCAAATGTATATCCCACATACCAGAGTCACGCTATGATTTAACTACAGGGTCGGCAATATGTTTTAAACCAAAAAGATGGCAAATTAAATTAGCTTTGATAATGAGATATAATAATTGTGGGGGGGGGGGGGCAGTTTTTGAGGGCTCAGAAAATATTTTTAGGGCCTCAAAAATAGGCCTCTAAGGACATAATTTGGCATTTTTAGGCCTGTTTAATCTTTTAAAGGCCAAATTATCAACAGATGGGCCTAAATTTTTCGAAATTTGAGCCCAATTCTTTTCATAAACATAAATGGTTTGGGTTAGAAGTGCAGATCTTAACTGTTTTTCGAAATACCGTTTGTGTTACTTAAGTGAGGAATTAAATCGCCGATTCTGTTGTCTTCTTAACTATTTGTTCGCAATATGTACATTTTCTTAACATATGATACTGATGTGCATTCGTGATAAAAATGTCGTGGGAATACTGCCAACAACGTGTGAAATAAGGAAAAAAGAAAAATCGTACCTTCGATGTTCCGACATTGTGTTACCGAAACGAACCGTTTCAGTAACAAGCATAATCGAGTGGATCACCAGAGATATGGATGGTTATAAAGACTGAGTCAAATCTGCCAGGTGGTCTACAAGAAGCAGAATATAAGGTGTATACCTACCAGCTGAGATATCCAATTTCATAATTTTTAGTCCATTCTCGTGTTTTCACAGTATGTGTGCCTCAGAGCCGCTCAAAATATTAACTGTGAGTAAACTGCAGTGTATAAACAAGCCATAAAATGACAAATCCAGAACAGGAATGTGGTGTATTTTGTAAATAATAAGGTTTCAATCGCAATGTCGTTAGATGACTATGTATTAGTTGTACATTAGATATTTAGCGGACGGTTACATGCATTACACCTGTCAAGTCAGTGTTGCTAGATCTGATAGCCTCTTCTCATGTTATTGTTATAATGGGTAAGAGTGGCTTGCTTTGATGATACCAATGAAAGTGAAAAAGATAGCAATGAAGAGGCAAAAGAAGAGCTAGCATCAAGCACTGATGAAGATGACAAAATTAATAACAGTGAATCTGGGTTTCATATTTGAACGAGGTTCACGTATTAAACCATCCATCAATTTTTTGCATTACTGCAAATTCAAAATACCTTATTATGGCTGGAGTAGAACATATTAGGTGGTTTCCAATGCTCAGTTGGCTTTGTATGATCATATGAAGGTTACATCTATGAACCCCAAGGTTCTTAGGCAATGTAGACCATGCCCTAATGACAAAAATAAACAAATTACAAAATTTTGTGTAGTTTTGAATTTCAAACTCAACAGTTTTTTGCTTATTTCACGTTATCCCCAGGCATCAATTAGCAAAGACTACGTTCAAAATATACATTACTGAATGCATCACCGAATGCGACGCTTAATTTGGCAACGCTTAATTTAATTTGGCGAAATTGAATAAATCGCAAACTTACATCCTAAAAAGGAGTGTGTTTTATTCATGGAAAAAGTAAAATTGCAGCTGCATCAATTTGTTACGAAAACAGATCTGTTTCCGTTACATTTTGGAGAATTACTCTCCGCAGTCATGGTGGCCATTTTTGTAGGTGTAAATTGGTAGGTGTTAAATTGTTTGTTATATGTCAAAGGGCAGTCTTGTCTGACACTTACAAGATGTTTGATGGGATTTGCTTCACCTTGATCTGATTTATTTTAATAACATTATTCTTCCACCCGAACTCTAATATACATGGTATCATTCTTATAATAGGCAAAGTCTTTGTTATCTATCTGGGAGAGTGCACAGAACAGCGGACACCCAGATGCTACATTCATGGCTGTTGTCGGACGCTTAAAGGATGCACTAGTTGCATCCGGGCGGAACGCGTCAATCAGATGTGCACCTGTTGGTCCTTGGTCGATCATAATAAACGTTACTTTATGTTGAAACGGCCATTTTTGAATTCCATCATAAGGACCTTTGAGGAGCACAAAATATAATGAAACATGGGTTTTCTTCCCCAGTCCATCCCCATTGAGGTAAATCCTCAAGCACATTTTGTAGCCATGTCGTTCCGAATAAAATGGCGGTGAGTAGAAACTCGCAGCCATTCCTGACATCGCATCTTTACGCTTCTTGTTGAAATCATCTATGCACCATGTCAGGGTACCATCATACGATGTCAACTCTAACTCTTTGAATTTGGTTTCAACATCACGTAATTTGATATCTTTCATCGCGGCAATTCTCTCAAGATCAGTAATTTTTGTGGTTAGAGTGCTAATCACCTCGAGGTTATTTTGAACTTGGACTTCATGTTGTTGTAGCTTTTCTTGAGATTTTTTAATTTCTCGATTTAGAACTGCAGCTACGGTTTCAAAATTTGATACCTTTTTCTCTAATTCTTCAACTCTTCGCTCTAGATCCTCGATCTTTTTACTTTCTGAAGTCGCAGATGGCATCCCGGAGGCTCCCAAAGATGTTTCAATTTTTTCCTCAATTTGCTTCATTCTCTTTTCTATCTTTTCTACAGTATTCATTAATTTTTCCACATGGTCGAAAGTAGTTTTGGTGTCTCCATTTCGAAGTTCAATGACTTTCTCAAGGAGGATATCCAAGTGTTTAGTGATGTTCTCCTGATTGTGTTTATCAACCTTTTGCTTTTCAATCTGAAACAATGGTAATGCAACCTTAAATTTATGTTGATAAAGATTCATATTTTCTTAATCATAAGAAATAAAGTAGAACTTTCAGGATTCAAAAATAACGGAATCCCCTTAATTTCAATAATATTGTCATGATTGAAGAAACAAAGCACATGTTTTCTTAACAAACACACTAATCTGAAATATGACTTTATTAGCACAACAGAAATATTAAACATAATATATTTAAAACAAAGAACATAAAAAGATGTGTAGAAAAAATAATGTGATGTTTCCTACCTTCATGTTACAGTCGAATTCACACAAATCACTCGATCCTGCACACTCATTTTTCTTGTGTTGCTCCATCTATAGATCAAACATTGAACTAATTGATTTGTTATCCAATTACTTGAGAATATTGTATGCTAGGCTGTTATTTAACTATGAATATCTTATATTAGTTCAATATCATGTTGTCCAACATGGTTTTTTTGGGGAATACCCTTTTTATCAAGTAGCCAGTCTTGGGATTTCCATATCATATATCAACTAGAAAGCCCATGTTTATACCTATATATCAACTAGAAAGCCCATGTTTATACCTATACAGGAAATGTGTTACGTTTTCAAGAAAGAAACACTTTCCATGTTAAACGTAACTAGAATCAATAGGTGTAACATTGCACTATAAGTTATTGAATGATTTTAAGTGCAATACAGGATATTCTGCTCGAGAAATTCCGTATTGAAATGAGACGAAGTCGAGTTCCAATACAGAATATCTAGAGCAGAATATATCCTGTATTGCACTTCAAATCATTCTATAACGTTTTTATCGTGTGATCCTCTTTATTGCTCCTAAGAATGTCCCCTCCGTACCAATATTTTCTGTAATGCGACGGAGATTATCAATGGGGACAATCTCAGTAGCAATACAGATTGGTACAGCACAAGAACTGACCAATCAGAAGGCTTCATTTTACAGATCATACGATAAATACACGTATCATGTTCATTTCAATATTTCTAGTTCTTTTACAACAGGTTCAAAAAGATTCAGATCAAACTTCATATCAAACAAATGTTTCAAGTGTTGTGCCCCCTTTAAAAAACAGATTATTGAATATAGCCATCCATACATCGGGTTTCATCCTTTTTCCACCAATAAGAATGCAATATAACCATGCATGGTCTAAGTTTAATGTTTGGATCTTGATTATTTGTTCTTTGTTCATTTTAAAGTAGAAAATTAGTGTAATGCATGATGCACTCATGTAAAATGTTACCAGTTTGAATTATAAACTAGATGATTTCCGTTGTCAGTATTAAATTAGAATTACAAATTCTCACCTTATTTCTGGGTATCTTCTTCTTGCCGCATACTTCACATTTACATGGGAATAACTCACATATCTTGAAATGTTCAGGCTACAAAAAAAAGACAAATCGATGAATAAAATGAAAACATGTAATGTAATACAAATTCCTCGAAACAATGTTCACATGATTATCAATTAGATTTGGCTTCCCAACAAGAATTATGTGAATTGCATCAACAGTTACTGTATACAAACAGCCAAGAAAACTTGTGACAATTAAGCCTTGCACACCTGTTAATATGTTTCACATTAATTCCAAAAATTCAATCTACTACTATACTAATTCCCACTTAAGAAGACCTGTTTTCCTCTGCACCCATTTTTATCTCGGAATTCCAAGAACTAGATCGTATGATTTTCACTACTGGTCAGAGACATCAAGTTATATAATGATTATCTGAAAGGTACATGGACCTGTCAAAAGACTAGAATCTGTTCACACACTTACCTCCAGTTGTTTGAAGGGAACAATAGTTTTACAAAACTTGCATGTGGCATCTCGCATATCACATTTTGTTCGAATGTGGTCATCCAAATGGGATCTCAGCATAATGATACCACATTTTGTGCATGCCATTTGCTGATATTCACAGGTTTCCATATGATCCTAAAGTACAAAACAATGGATACATTACATACAGAGTGCACGATTTAAGACTGACTGACCTTTAAGGTACCAATAAAAACTTTAGATCTTCCTCTAAAACAAATGTGAGAATATCAGCCCATTAATGTGGGTAAAAACTGAAATATTAGCTTGTTGCAAGGGTTCACTTTTTTGGAACACCCTGTAAATGACATCACTCGTTTGACCAACATGGTGAAAAGCTAATATGTTGAAAATGAGGAAAAAGTAGGAACAGAAACGTCTGGTGTAAATTATAACCAAAGGAAAGATGAATGAACAGACAGTCTCACCATATGAGCCAAAAATGACACTTTGATTATGAAAGTTAAGGCAACTTTTTCTACTTTCACAGTACATACAGTTACACTTTGAAAATTTTGAATCCAAATCATGAAATATGTTATCAGCATATACATATATGTAATTGAAAAAAAATTATTAAAATAGAAGTTTTCACTTTCATTACCTCATAGTCACCTAGTCTTCCCTTCCATTGGCAGTTCTCATTGATGCAAGCAACTTCTAATCTTCTTAAATCACGTCTTGTGGCAGCATCAGGAAATGACTACAAACATTAAATCATATCAAGTGAAATCATCAAGTTAAATAGAAAACAAATGACTGAAATTTCACTAAAAATAGTGAAAGCAAACACTATGCACTCAATACTGTATTTGACAAATGATGAAGGACAAAGTGCGATATCATTGGATGCTCAAAAGTATATGTCAGCCAAAAGTACATATAGTTTGTGAATTTGTAGAGCATACAGGGTGGGCCAACTTTGACATCTTTTTATAATCTTGTTCCCTATTCAATTTGTTAATGCTAGACCTAAAATGTAATATACCATTAGAAAGGTGATATGTTACATGTTGCAAATCAAATAATTGTCAGTTTTATATAAAATAGGATGTAACATGTGACTTTTTAACCTTGAATACTTTCTATTGTGTGATTGAAGATGAAATAAACAAAGATATGTCCCTCTATGAAATACCTTTCCAATGGTATGTTTTTTATAACACAGTCTCCAAGTCATTAGATAGTAATAAATCAAGAAAATAAAAAAATATTGCCCCACCCTGTACATGCACTTCATAAAGAGAGAATTATCATTAATGTAAACAAAAAACACTTACCCGCTCTACAAAATTTAGAAAATATTCAACACTTTCTTCCTCAAAGCAAGGAGCACATTTTTCCCCCTTCCTGAAACAGAAATATAAAACTTCATGTAACTAACAATAATATATTACATTTTAACCAGGTAAAAGAGCAGTCTTGCATTGAGCCTGTGGTACTTCTTTAATACTTGCAGGCCCGTAGCCAGGCGGGGGGGGGGGGGGTTCAATGGCCAAAATTTCTTTCAAAATCATGCAGTTTTTCACCATTCTGAGCACATTTTAAGTGATTTTGGCCATTTTTGGACCAAAATTATCAAAAGTGAACCCCCCTGGAAATTTTTGAAAAGTGAACCCCCCTTGGCAAATCCTGGCTACGGGCCTGATTTGTAACACCTACTGTACTTTAAACTTCTTTGGCTATTTTGAAAATATATATTTAGGTATGGTATATCTAGGATATTTAAGGCATGTACATGTGAATATGGGGGGGGGTACATAATGGCTTGAAGCAAGACTTCTTGAACTTAGTAGAAAGGAAATCAAACATCAAGACATAGTCTACGGATGCAACTGTTGTGTCATTCTGTTGATTGGCAAGACTTTATTTATACAGTTTTTGATGGAATAATAATCAATTTTAGTGTTAATCCAGCATTCGATATCGTTATTGAACCACTTTTGTAAATAATATACTGCGTTGAGGAAAAAACAAATTGAAGCGCATTTAAAAATATATTCATTAAATAAAATAGTGAAGTTGCTTACTTTGAGAGTTCTTCTATACATGGACTACAGAACCTGTGTCCACACATACTCTGGCGGGGGAGACGCAATACCAGTTGGCATTGACTACATAGATTCTTCGGGTCAGGGCTCTGAAGAAAAATTGCTAAAGGATATCCAGATTTTAGGATATTGAGAGTCAAGTCACCGCTGGATGGATTTGTTGGATCTAAGCTGGTTAGAGGAGAACTGTTTGGAGGAGATTTATAAGAAGCTGTAAATAAAAACAATATAAAATGAGATTCATATAAATGAAATATTATCAAAATAAAACTGTTGACGTTACATAATAATGCTTAATACTACTGCTTTTTATTACTTGTACTGTTTAATGATTTTTTGAGAATCTATTATAATTGTTGGTACAGTAAAACCTGTCTAAGGGGAACACGTTTGGTACTGCTAAAAAGTGTTACACTTGGGAGGTGTTCCACTTATAGAGGTTCATTTAACATTAAGTCAATAGGATAGTTTCTAAATAGCAGAAAAAGCAATGAAATCTAGTGCTGCCATCTTTTATTCAGCTTTTAACTCGGGCTAGAGTTCCCTTCACTTACATGCTAAAATCTTGGAAAAGTGGCTTAATTTCATGATTTATCAAAGAGTGTTTGTTGAATCTGTATAAAACTTGGATGATATACCACATGATGACCCTGTTTATGAACATGTAGTGATTAAACATGCAAATGTTGGTTGACATACAAATAATCCAGGGTTTTAAAGATTTTTAGCATTGCATCTATGGAGATTTGGCCCGAGTTTTTTTAAATTGTCATAGAAAATTATTCAAATTACATAACTGTGTAAATCAAAGCTATTCTAGGAGAAAACATTTCACTGAATTCAAATATGCCATTTAAAAGAAGGTAATGTAAGTCATTAGAGGTTAAATATGCAAATCTCTTAAAATCTCACGAAAAACGAGATTTAGTGAGATTTCAAAAGCTATATGGAAACTATACTATTGGTCTTGACTTTGAAGTGTTCAACTAACAGAGGTGTTCCACTTTACAGGTTTCACTGTATTCAATAATCATATCGGCTTCGTGTTATAATGATTTTTGGTAGCTCTGTTGTGTTTTCTTGTGTTCACCAAATGTTTCATTTTTCATATTGTGTTCTACCATTGGACAATTACCTGTGAGAGCATTAACTAGTTCCATAGAGAACCTCGGACTGCTTGGAGAAACTTGGTTTGATGCATTGATTAGATTAATCGGTATCATCTCAATAGGTGTTCCATGGTTTACTACAATGATCAAATTAACTAATATTCCACTTTCTTTAAGATTAATTAAAGTGTCGATTTCAAACTTTCGCCACTCATCTGTCACAGTATCTGCTGCTACGATAAATATACACACTTTCGATTTGGTAATCTTTTTGGTGAGCTCATCTATTATAAATGACATTGACTTATCAGTTGGGTCATTATCAGAGTTCATTCTGAATTCTGTTTCTTTTTTACCATCCATAATTGCATATGCCTCAGCCATTTTTCCACGAATCTTTGTTTTTTTCCTGCATGTCAGTAGTCGTTTTACTGTCTCCTTTTCTCCAGTGAGTATCCGTTCTACTTCTTTTGCAAGGTCCGTTCCACCATATGTGTGAACTATTATAGCTCTATACTCAGTGCTACTGCTTCCTCCCTGTGATTTAATTGTTCCTGCCATTTCTATATCAGTATCCCTTCATCTGTTCATTCTGAAAGAGCACATACATTTATTAAACAGGAACCTTCTAGGTTAGAACAATTCAAAAATGAAACATATCGGTTTTGACATCATTTCTTCCAGTTCTGTTATCGAGAAGGGGAATCCCTCCTTTTCCCTTTTTGTATGGGAAGTCCCTTAATATTTTTTTGTTCTACATATCCAAATGAGTACATTCTCCAAATACCCTCGAATATATTCATGATCATTGATACAATTAGTGTTTCTTGAATAAATATCAAATTTTTCTAACTTCATGATTTTCGATTGGTTTGAATCATTCGCCGGGCTCCTTTCCCACTCTAATAATCACGGAGCCAAAAGTCTATGTTCAATTTTGATGGATATCCTAATACAATGTATACCACCATCACCATGTCAGGACCTCGTGTGTCAAAAATAAAATAAAAAGAATTCAATATCAATAGAGTAGGAAAGGAAGAACATTCCAGATGGACAGTTTGGCCAATCATAAAAATCCAAGTCATCAAGTGCTGAGTGACAAATTATACATGCAGAATTAGAACTATCATAAAGATAAATTGTGGAATCCCTAAAATCAAAAGGTGAAACAGAGAATTAGTACACATAAAACATGCATAGTTTAAATTTTATACCTCCACTGTGCATGCTTTAGACAAAAGATATTTTGTAGCAAGGCAAAAGCATTGATTTTCAAAAGCTATGATTATGTGAAAGGGGGAATCCCCTTTTTCACTGGGGGATTCCCATGTTATCCAAAAAGTTTTTAATCATAAATGATTAATAAGCCTTGAAAATCTATATTATTTGTATCTTGATATAATTCATTGGACATTTGTGAACATGTTCAATCCATGCTATATTTGACAACAAATCAAATTTTAATATTTGTTAATGATAAAGGAACAGTCTGACCTCTACTGCCCTCTAGTGGCAGAAGGAAAACAACAATGGCCGAAGAGGGAGAAGCAGAGTGGGCAACTTGCGTAAAACCACTTATTTCTGCCTCCTATGCCTCTTTCAACAAATCAAATGTCAATAATATTGTAGATGCGATAATAAAGAGGTAGGATATCAACATTATAATTTCATATTGGACATGAGATGAGCCTAAAAATCATCCTAAATTTGTACTTTTTCTTAAAAAATCATCAACATCATTTCAAGAATTTTTTTATCAATTTTATTTTACGCAAGCTATAATCAATATAAAGTCAACAAGTCTTTGGTTAATTTAGAAAAACCAGATTCTAAACTTTATCTGATTGAAAGATCAATGCATAGATTGCCATCATTTATCTTCCTTGAGTCTCTAGCCAAGAAACGCTTCGATGTGAGGGAGATGCGTCGATTCGACGTACAGGTTAGTTCGTTATGGGTGTATCTTGGCTAGAGGTGATTTCATCTGGAATACTGTGAACTCCATTTGAAAAAACTGGCTCAGCTCCTTGATGAGATATGACATGATTTCATCAGGATTTCGTCTAAAATTAAAACAAAATGGCTCCAAGAAAAATGGTGATCTTTGAAAACTGGACGAAATGTCGTTAACGTCTGACATTAGTAACTGGCTGTAAATTCTAAGTTAGCGATCCAGAAGATGTGAACTATACTGATCACTTTAAGTGTGTTTTGGAATTTTTGGTGAGGTAATAAGACCAAAACTCGCAATTCAAATTGTGATGTGGAAAAATGGCGGACATATGATTTCAAATTTTATGATTACGACATGACCAGTTGTTCATGCAGGAATATATCTTTAATGAAAGGCCACGATACAGTGGCGTTAGAAGAAGGTAAGGTCTATCTGGACCATGGGGTTATTTCGACATTGGCTTATGCTTCCGATTCACAAAGTCTGTCATGTTTGTTTTTGAAAAATTTCAAAAGCAAATTGAAATCTCCAACGTTATGATCAAGATCTTGATCCAAAATGGCTGACCCCTAAAATATGAATGTTGAAATAACCCCATGGTGGAAGTGGCCCCATGACGAAGTAGCCCAATACATCGAAGTTTGATGAATCTCCCCTAGCCTACTTGAGAAAACGGTAACTATTCAATTTAAGAGGCACGTTGCAATAGGAAGCACAATCAGGACCCCCTGGACTTTTTTGCTTGTTGAGTCATAACACATCTATCTTCACCTATTGTCTTACCAACAAAGAAGTCCCAAATCCTCCGCTTTATGTGCTAATTTTTGACTCACACAGTGAGCCTATGAGCTCACCTTGGTGTTTGTCCATCTGGTGGTCAGTCCATCATTATGTTGCCACATGAATTAAAACTGTTAATTTGTATTGAGTCATATCCACTTTCATTTTATGCATTTCGATAATGCCTATTTTTTGTTTTTTGACCTGTCATCACCATTTCCAAAATTCATCCAGTTTCTGAGAATTTGCCGATTTTGATGTCAAAAAGTCAAATTCTCTTTAAATATACCACTTTTGACAAATATTGCTGTTTTATTGAAGTAAAATAAAAAACATTTTCTGTAAATAAAAATAACAGGATAATTTCAGAAACAGTTTAATTCCAATGAGATACAATGCTCTTTCCTAACAGCTGATGCATCCAACATTGATAAGTTAACTACAGTAAACCTGTATCTATGAACCATTTCAATAGGAACACTTTTTCTTCGTCTCAATTTTATAATCTTCCATTGACTCACTTATTGAAAAAAACTTGAAATGTGGACACTTTGTAATCAAAATACATTATTGGCCAGATCCCAGCATTGTGGGATCCACAGTGAGTCTCTACTATCCCTTGGAATAGAGAAATTCTCATGAGCTTTACATAAAGAGACCGATAAAGCAAAATAAGATCCCAGTGGTGTTTAGATTAGACAAATCTTACTGTACTGTCAAAAAACAAATCTGATCTAACCTGATTTTTATGTCACCACCAAAAGTGGTGACATATTGTTATGGTCTCCGTTTTTTTGCGACGGCGGTTGGTGGTTGGCGTCCGGCGATTGGAGGTTGGCGTTCGGCGTCTGTAACAATTTCTTACAACTTCCTATAACTTAACAAATACTGTTTAGACTGACTTCAATTTTTTTCTAAATCATCTACATGTTCTCAGAAATTCCAGATGGACAGTTTGGCCAATCATAAAAATCCAAGTCATCAAGTGCTGAGTGACAAATTATACATGCAGAATTAGAACTATCATAAAGATAAATTGTGGAATCCCTAAAATCAAAAGGTGAAACAGAGAATTAGTACACATAAAACATGCATAGTTTAAATTTTATACCTCCACTGTGCATGCTTTAGACAAAAGATATTTTGTAGCAAGGCAAAAGCATTGATTTTCAAAAGCTATGATTATGTGAAAGGGGGAATCCCCTTTTTCACTGGGGGATTCCCATGTTATCCAAAAAGTTTTTAATCATAAATGATTAATAAGCCTTGAAAATCTATATTATTTGTATCTTGATATAATTCATTGGACATTTGTGAACATGTTCAATCCATGCTATATTTGACAACAAATCAAATTTTAATATTTGTTAATGATAAAGGAACAGTCTGACCTCTACTGCCCTCTAGTGGCAGAAGGAAAACAACAATGGCCGAAGAGGGAGAAGCAGAGTGGGCAACTTGCGTAAAACCACTTATTTCTGCCTCCTATGCCTCTTTCAACAAATCAAATGTCAATAATATTGTAGATGCGATAATAAAGAGGTAGGATATCAACATTATAATTTCATATTGGACATGAGATGAGCCTAAAAATCATCCTAAATTTGTACTTTTTCTTAAAAAATCATCAAAATCATTTCAAGAATTTTTTTATCAATTTTATTTTACGCAAGCTATAATCAATATAAAGTCAACAAGTCTTTGGTTAATTTAGAAAAACCAGATTCTAAACTTTATCTGATTGAAAGATCAATGCATAGATTGCCATCATTTATCTTCCTTGAGTCTCTAGCCAAGAAACGCTTCGATGTGAGGGAGATGCGTCGATTCGACGTACAGGTTAGTTCGTTATGGGTGTATCTTGGCTAGAGGTGATTTCATCTGGAATACTGTGAACTCCATTTGAAAAAACTGGCTCAGCTCCTTGATGAGATATGACATGATTTCATCAGGATTTCGTCTAAAATTAAAACAAAATGGCTCCAAGAAAAATGGTGATCTTTGAAAACTGGACGAAATGTCGTTAACGTCTGACATTAGTAACTGGCTGTAAATTCTAAGTTAGCGATCCAGAAGATGTGAACTATACTGATCACTTTAAGTGTGTTTTGGAATTTTTGGTGAGGTAATAAGACCAAAACTCGCAATTCAAATTGTGATGTGGAAAAATGGCGGACATATGATTTCAAATTTTATGATTACGACATGACCAGTTGTTCATGCAGGAATATATCTTTAATGAAAGGCCACGATACAGTGGCGTTAGAAGAAGGTAAGGTCTATCTGGACCATGGGGTTATTTCGACATTGGCTTATGCTTCCGATTCACAAAGTCTGTCATGTTTGTTTTTGAAAAATTTCAAAAGCAAATTGAAATCTCCAACGTTATGATCAAGATCTTGATCCAAAATGGCTGACCCCTAAAATATGAATGTTGAAATAACCCCATGGTGGAAGTGGCCCCATGACGAAGTAGCCCAATACATCGAAGTTTGATGAATCTCCCCTAGCCTACTTGAGAAAACGGTAACTATTCAATTTAAGAGGCACGTTGCAATAGGAAGCACAATCAGGACCCCCTGGACTTTTTTGCTTGTTGAGTCATAACACATCTATCTTCACCTATTGTCTTACCAACAAAGAAGTCCCAAATCCTCCGCTTTATGTGCTAATTTTTGACTCACACAGTGAGCCTATGAGCTCACCTTGGTGTTTGTCCATCTGGTGGTCAGTCCATCATTATGTTGCCACATGAATTAAAACTGTTAATTTGTATTGAGTCATATCCACTTTCATTTTATGCATTTCGATAATGCCTATTTTTTGTTTTTTGACCTGTCATCACCATTTCCAAAATTCATCCAGTTTCTGAGAATTTGCCGATTTTGATGTCAAAAAGTCAAATTCTCTTTAAATATACCACTTTTGACAAATATTGCTGTTTTATTGAAGTAAAATAAAAAACATTTTCTGTAAATAAAAATAACAGGATAATTTCAGAAACAGTTTAATTCCAATGAGATACAATGCTCTTTCCTAACAGCTGATGCATCCAACATTGATAAGTTAACTACAGTAAACCTGTATCTATGAACCATTTCAATAGGAACACTTTTTCTTCGTCTCAATTTTATAATCTTCCATTGACTCACTTATTGAAAAAAACTTGAAATGTGGACACTTTGTAATCAAAATACATTATTGGCCAGATCCCAGCATTGTGGGATCCACAGTGAGTCTCTACTATCCCTTGGAATAGAGAAATTCTCATGAGCTTTACATAAAGAGACCGATAAAGCAAAATAAGATCCCAGTGGTGTTTAGATTAGACAAATCTTACTGTACTGTCAAAAAACAAATCTGATCTAACCTGATTTTTATGTCACCACCAAAAGTGGTGACATATTGTTATGGTCTCCGTTTTTTTTGCGACGGCGGTTGGTGGTTGGCGTCCGGCGATTGGAGGTTGGCGTTCGGCGTCTGTAACAATTTCTTACAACTTCCTATAACTTAACAAATACTGTTTAGACTGACTTCAATTTTTTTCTAAATCATCTACATGTTCTCAGAAATTCAAATCTGACTTTAGATTTGACATTTGACCTTCAAATCTGACTTTAGATTTGACATTTGACCTTCAATGACCTTCTCAAGGTCAAAAAAGGTCAAAAAGGTCTGTTTTCAACTTGCTTCAAATTGACTAAATTTTTTTTTCAAAATCATCTACGTGTTCTCAGAAATTCAAATCTGACTTAAGATTTGACTTAAGATTTGACCTTCAATGACCTTCTCAAGGTCAAAAAAGGTCTGTTTTCAACTTGCTTTAAATTGACTAAAAAATTTTTTCAAAATCATCTACGTGTTCTCAGAAATTCAAATCTGACTTTAGATTTGACTTAAGATTTGACATTTGACCTTCAATGACCTTCTCAAAGTCAAAAAAGGTCAAAAAGGTCTTTTTTCAACTTGCTTCAAATTGACTAAATTTTTTTTTCAAAATCATCTACATGTTCTCAGAAATTCAAATCTGACTTTAGATTTGACATTTGACCTTCAATGACCTTCTGAAGGTCAAAAAAGGTCAAAAAGGTCTGTTTTCAACTTGCTTCAAATTGACTAAATTTTTTTTTCAAAATCATCTACGTGTTCTCAGAAATTCAAATCTAACTTAAGATTTAACTTAAGATTTGACATTTGACCTTCAATGACCTTCTCAAGGTCAAAAAAGGTCAAAAAGGTCTGTTTTCAACTTGCTTCAAATTGACTAAAAAAAATTTTCAAAATCATCTACGTGTTCTCAGAAATTCAAATCTGACTTTAGATTTGACTTAAGATTTGACATTTGACCTTCAATGACCTTCTCAAAGTCAAAAAAGGTCAAAAAGGTCTTTTTTCAACTTGCTTCAAATTGACTAATTTTTTTTTTCAAAATCATCTACATGTTCTCAGAAATTCAAATCTGACTTTAGATTTGACATTTGACCTTCAATGACCTTCTCAATGTCAAAAAAGGTCAAAAAGGTATTTTTTCATCTTGCTTCAAATTGACTAATTTATTTTCAAAATCATCTACATGTTCTCAGAAATTCAAATATGACTTTAGATTTGACATTTGACCTTTAATGACCTTCTCAAGGTCAAAAAAGGTCAAAAAGGTCTTTCTTCAACTTGCTTCAAATTGACTAATTTTTTTTTCAAAATCATCTACATGTTCTCAGAAATTCAAATCTGACTTTAGATTTGACATTTGACCTTTAATGACCTTCTCAAGGTCAAAAAAGGTCAAAAAGGTCTGTTTTCAACTTGCTTCAAATTGACTAAAAAAAATTTCAAAATCATCTACGTGTTCTCAGAAATTCAAATCTGACTTAAGATTTGACTTAAGATTTGACATTTGACCTTCAATGACCTTTTCAAAGTCAAAAAAGGTCAAAAAGGTCTTTTTTCAACTTGCTTCAAATTGACTAAATTTTTTTTTCAAAATCATCTACATGTTCTCAGAAATTCAAATCTGACTTTAGATTTGACATTTGACCTTCAATGACCTTCTCAATGTCAAAAAAGGTCAAAAAGGTCAAAAAGGTATTTTTTCATCTTGCTTCAAATTGACTAAATCTTTTTTCAAAATCATCTACATGTTCTCAGAAATTCAAATATGACTTTACATTTGACTTTAAGATTTGACATTTGACCTTCAATGACCTTTTCAAAGTCAAAAAAGGTCAAAAAGGTCTTTTTTCAACTTGCTTCAAATTGACTAAATTTTTTTTTCAAAATCATCTACATGTTCTCAGAAATTCAAATCTGACTTTAGATTTGACATTTGACCTTCAATGACCTTCTCAATGTCAAAAAAGGTCAAAAAGGTCAAAAGGGTATTTTTTCATCTTGCTTCAAATTGACTAAATCTTTTTTCAAAATCATCTACATGTTCTCAGAAATTCAAATATGACTTTACATTTGACTTTAGATTTGACATTTGACCTTCAATGACCTTCTCAAGGTCATAAAAGGTCAAAAAGGTCTTTTTATAACTTGCTTCAAATTGACTAATTTTTTTTTCAAAATCATCTACATGTTCTCAGAAATTCAAATCTGACTTTAGATTTGACATTTGACCTTTGATGACCTTCTCAAGGTCAAAAAAGGTCAAAAAGGTCTGTTTTCAACTTGCTTCAAATTGACCAAATTTTTTTTTCAAAATCATCTACATCTTTTCAGAAGTTCAAATTTGACTTTACAAGTTCTCAGAAATTCAAATCTGACTTAAGTTTGAACTCATAATATTGTGAGCAACTAGGTGGTGACATTTTGTCATGTTAATGCCTTCTTTCTTTTGTAGTGAGAGTTCTATTCTGAACCACACAGAGGAATATGAGACGTTCTACTCTGTGTTTGTTGCGCTATGTTCACATTACATCAGTGCCAGCGCTGGCTCAGGTAAACTTTGCGATTTTTTAACATATGTACATGTAATTGCCAATTTTCAATCATCATTAAAAAAACAGTATTCAAAGATCTTCATTAGAAAAGCACAACTGCATATTGGACATATATTAGCCTTTTACATTTGTTTTGGTATTACCTGTTAACTCTGAAGAAATCCTGAATTTAAAAAATGAAATAAATAAGGTATTGAATCAGTATGGTAATATGTGTTTTCCTATTTACATTATTTTGTTATACTGTATATGTTAAAAACATTTTAATTTTCAGTAAATAAATCTGAGCTTGTGAAAGTGAGTCAATCATGCAAGATTCTGATAAAATACATGCTGAACAAGCTGAAGACGACAGACCCAGAGAAAGCATGTTCAGTAACAGAGGTAAATCTTAGCAGCATTTATGTGATTCTTGAAGCAAGCACGTAGTTGAGAATTCATCAAAATTATTCCTTAATGTGATCTCTTTCTGTGAATACTTTCACTCTGTCTAAAGTATTCTTCACATTTTCACATTTTTCACTTTTTCACATTTTTTACTGCTATATACTACAGTAAATCCACTATATCAAAACACCTCTTTAATCTGAACCCCTCATCATAAACACTTTTTCTCGTTCCAATTTTGCTATCTTCTGTGAACTTATAAATTGAAAAATGTGAAAATGTGAAAATGTGAATACTTGCTAATCTGAACAATTTTTGCCAGGCCTAGTAGAGTTCAGATAAGACAGATTTTACTGTTTATGAACATAAAGAGAGGATTATTGCCTAGAGGTGCATGTTCATTTATACCAATGTCTAACATATTTTACATGCAGAAACACTGGACCAGTCTGATCAGAAGCCTGTGCAGAGGATGCAGTAGTCTTGGGAAGACTGATGTACTGACATTCACTGCTCTACTCAAGTCATCCAAGCTGCCTCGAAATATAAAGACAGACGTAACAGGTGAGGATTCTTGAAATATTGTTGTCCATCCTCCAAGTACAAGTAAAATGTCATGATGTTTCGAAATATGAATTAGAGTAGAAAGAGTAGAAAGGGCTAGAAATAAAGAAGAGATTCATGTAATCAACACTCAAAATGGTACAGAAAAGGCAGAAAATATGTAGTTCACACTATTGCCATGTTTTAATATCATGATGTTTCGAAATATGAATTAGAGTGGAAAGAGTAGAAAGGGCTAGAAATAAAGAAGAGATTCATGTAATCAACACTCAAAATGGTACAGAAAAGGCAGAAAATATGTAGTTCACACTATTATTGTCATGTTTCAATATGGAAATAGAAAATGAAAGAATGAAGTCAATCAAGCTTAAGATAAATGATACATGTTGTTGAGAAACTCTTTATTACTTACTTTTTAGAACAAGATGAATCTGAACCTAAAGAAATCAAGAGACCACGACTCGACACCGGCCGAAACATATTCACACAAATCACCTCCGTGTTTGACAATACATTGCCCGGAGGGAGTTCTAAAGGTGATTCGGCCATGGAAACTATCAACACAGATGGAGATACGACTATTGTACACATAGGAGACCTAATGGAGGAATCTAAGTCCTCTTTCTCCAAAAGGAACATTATGTCCCTACAACAGTTAGGGGGACCAGAAATCCTGCTAGAAGTCTGTAATAGACTAGCATTCCTTCAGGTATTTATTAATTAATTTGGAATTCCTTTAGATTAAGAATACACATACATTGTACTTGTATATACAAATACATTTATGTTACACTTAAACAGGATGTATGATAAAATAATGAGCCCACCTTTTAGTTGTTAATTGTTCCAAGTGATTTATTTAAAGAAATATAAATCAATGTACACCATGATCAAGGAAGATATAAATAGTCTACTTTCCCTCTGTATTGATATATTTCCATAGATATTTAGAGGCTAACAAATGGATTTGATTTCAGCGATATATTCAACGATACAAGGAATCTGTAGCAGAGAATACATTCATCATGCCTTCTACACACGCTGATGCTATGGGGCTTAAAGCTAGGTAAGTAAACGTTTTATGACGCATATGTGTTGGTGATTTCCCTGCATTGAAACAACTGTGTGCTAAAGAATAATATATGCTATTATTGAAGTTTGCATTTTATCAAATTATATTGTCATCTGGAGTTTCCAGTCTAGCAAGATAAATCATGTTTTAAAGACCTGTATTGCTGATTTCAGTTGCCTAGACCACAATTGAACTGCTCTAGATTCTGAATTTAACAATTAGTAAATCGATTATTTTGATGAACCAGAATCAAGTACAGCGAAACCTTTAAAGTGGAACACCTCTATAAGTGGAACACTTCTCAAAGAACACTTTTTATTAGAGGTACCAAAGTAGTTCCACTTAGACAGGTTTTACTGTATTTCATACATTGGCAATGGCTATATCCTGATCCATTTTCTTGAGTCTTAATGCTGAGTATGTAACATCAGTTTTGAAATGATAAAATGAAAGAATTCTAATAAAATTATTATTGCAGCTTCCAGTCTGTACTGAATGACGTGTCCCTAGTATGGAGAGTCTTCAGTCTTCCTGTACTAGAGCCCCTCACCCCCAGTAGACTGAACACAATCATTGACATCTCACTGGCATGCATCTATGCGGCGCTGACAGCTACTGTATGTAATGTTATAACAGCTAGCAGCCCAACAGGGCAGGCTAAAGGAGGTGTGACAGTCAAGGAAGATGATTCTGATAGCCATGCAAGTGCAATAGCACAAAAAAGTGTAAGTGATTTTAAATTCACATATCCCATATATGTAAATGGTGTAAAATGCACAAGAGGAGTTCATAGTCAGCATGGCTGTGTTATCTTAAAGCTTGGGTTTTAATGTCATCAAGCCATTTGATGTAAATTTACGATTCATGAAATAGTTAAACGTATCTAAAAAATTACTAATCATCTGTGTGATTCCTGATTTCCTGGCAATTGTATTCATGTCAATGAGATGTGAAATTAATTCAACTGCGGTTGCTTTGAAGCCATGATTTGTCCTCAGTAATGCCTCTATTTAAGAACTAAAATTCATAGATGACGCATTTTACACCATTGGAATCTTAAAAAAGATAGATGAAAAAAATAAGAACTAGTCCATGGCTTATACATTACATCTTCACCTTCATTATTTCATCTTTGTTGCCATCTCTGATTTATTTCTCTAATATATATATAATAGGATTTTATATTAGTACTGATGCCCTTTTAGGGCCAAAAGTACATCCGATATACAATTTTCAATAACAGTAAATATAGCGATAAAGTAAAGAAAATAGGATTACATTCTTCAAATGAGATATAAAATGTTACTTTGATCCTGTCTGATATATTGTAAGTGTGTCATGTGCAGGACTTGAACACATGACCTGACACATGACCTGACATGACCTGTGGCAATTACACACATAAAATGAATTAGTTGAAGCTGCCATGTCCATGTAACCCATATATGAAAATGTTGATAGGGATACATGTATATGTGATGATGATACTTTGAAATGTCCTTTTAGTTGTGTCCATAATGAAGTAATGTACATGCAAATCAAATTTAAATAAGTATATGTGCGATCTTAATACTCTCTTGATCAAATTAATACAAGCCATCTTTATTGATCAATCCAAAGAGCCAAATACTCACTTTATCCGGTATTATTGTCACAACATTGCCTAGCATAGACACAACCTGCAATTGAATAGATAAATTATTAACACAAAGGAAATACTTGTGTTCGATTTTCCTTCAGGAAATGTTATGGATATTTACTTTGGGTTCATGTTTCAACAATACACATATTACTTCACTAAACAAAAATTAACATACATCGATAACAAATGAAAAGTATTTTTGTGATATCATCTGATTTTCAGTTCATGTTTCTCTTTATCATACAGATAAAGGCCATTTATGAAAGCAATTATCACAATTTGTGGGTTACCCTGTATTAAACAAGATGAATAAATCAAAGGAGCCCACATGTTTCGAACTCACAACGTCATGGTTACAGCAACATCACCTCGCTAAGGGTGTTCACTGCTTTAGGCTGCTTGGCCAACTTGAAAACCCCAAAAAGGATGTTTCATTATCTAATCTGACTAAAGGTGTTATTTGGAGCCTTACATCTGACACCATATTTTGCTATTCCAGATGAAAATACAGATCAAGGCAATTAACAAAATTTCAAACCACTATTTGTGGGTTACCCTGTATCATACTAGGAATATTTGGAGCCTCTGACATCATATTTTATTTTCCAGATGGACATATTTAACTGCGTGACAGAGGTGACAAAGAACTCCACACGTGCTGGTGGTCATGTACTACAGAATGTGAACCTAAAGGGTGCATGGTGTTTGCTCAGTGGTCTCACAATCCTGCTTGACCTTGTGGAGAAAAAGGATAAGGAACTCGCCCTGAAGGTCAAAGAGGTCAAGGCCGAGGGGTCAAAACCGAAAGATGGAGTAACTAAAATTACAGCAATGAAAAGGTAAGTAAACAAATTTTAGGTTTTAAATGGGTGTACCTCTAAGATTCATAACATTCTGTCATGTTGAAAGCATTTAGCTCCTCCTGGTCAGTTGCTACATTGGCTCCAAAGTTTCATATTCCCTAATGAGATTGAGACACTAATAGAACTTACAAGCAGGAAAAATGAGACATTAATTCTTTTCCTGTCAACATGACTTGGTATGATTGATGAAAAATATTTCAGAATCATTTTTGCTGCAGGTGTGCATACATCTTGAACACTCTGTATGTTACCTTGTCGTATCTAAGTCATAATGTTCTGCATTTATTGGTATTTGTACAATCTTGTGTATTTAAACCTTTTTCAATTGATGAATGATTAATCACTTGAATATTAATGATTTACTTATTGATTATTAATTTTTTTGAAATGCTGCCAAAAATGGAGTCTGTAATTCTGTTGTAAACTATCAACCTTTAGATTTTTCAATTTTGTATGACTGTCAATATTGAAATTGTTGTAAAAACACGAAGACAGCCTTCTTATCTTAATACTTGATGAATCAATTCATTCTGTTATTGTTGCAAAAATGGACTATAACAATTTAACAAAACAAAAGTGTGGTGAATAGGCTGTATTTTAGATATGATTAATCTCAACAGAAAGTAATGAGCTATAAATTCAAATGAAATATTCCAAAAATTCTTATTTTCCGCCGGGGTTTTTATGCAAACTTTGGAAACTAGGTCTAAGTTTGAAGTATAATATGGAATTGTGTGTGGGGCACCTGAAATATATACTGTTTTGCTAGATTACCCTACTATCAAACCAATCTAGTTCTCACTACGTTCTCGAAAATAGGCTTAAACTGTGCACGAACAGATTTGACGTACTAAGAACCGACTAAGAACCGTTTGGGATCTGTTTACAAACTTCATAATACTACTAGAACGAGTAGGTCCTCCAGAACTAAGAGCATGCTCAAAATTTTCTGGTGATCGTTAAAACGTTGTCGAATTGGTTTTAAACTGTGTGCGAACTGAATGAACGTAGCTACAACGTTCTACGGTCTGTTTACGAACTTCATGGACTTTCCTGGACGGGATATGTGATTTAGAATTTTGAATAGATTCAAAATTCGATGGCGACCATACCGTTCTGCAATCAGGTCATGATGACCTTCTAGACTAAGGGGCGCGTTATACGACGTTGCACACCGACGTGATGCAACCTGAATGAACTGCGAATGAGATGGACGTATTGAAGACTGTTTATGAACGAAGTAGCTAATTATTTTAGACATATTTCCCGACCACAGCCAGATTGAGCAGGTTTTACCACGTTTTCGTAGGACTGGCAAGAACGGGTAATAACTAGTTTGGTGTGATGGGGGGGTTAGCCATTATCCTTAGTTTAGGGATAAGCAAAGGCTTAGAGAACACTAAAATATAAAAAGCTAAACTGTAGATACACTTTGGCATAGGAAACATAGGGTCTGCAGAAAGTCTATATGGAAATTTTCACACATAATGTAAAATACTATGAGGTTATATAATGGTTGATTCCGTATATCGTGTTTACACTCGAATGAGTATATGATATATTCACGAGTGACTGAAGGGAACGAGTGAATATATCATATACTCACGAGAGTATAACGATATACAGAATCAACCACTATATGATTTTATTATCCCACCCTAATCTTAAATCAATATAAGGTTAATCTAAATTCAGCAGTTGTATATCAAGTCAAAGAGTTGTATATTGCAGTTATACAATGCTATTATACAATCATATAAAGCACTTAGGGTGGGATAATGTACATTATACGATGTGAAAAAGTCATCCCACCAGGGTGGAGTGATTTTTCACATCAGCCCTTAGCATAGTATTTGATCCTAGTGCCATGAATCTTAGCTCTCATCAAAAATTTCTACTATCAAGTTTTATTTATTTGAGTATATCTTTGTTACAATGTAAAGGCAAAGTTAAACATTTTTTCTAATTATGAAAGAATTCAGTACATTTAATAAATATTCAAACATTTGTATCTTAAAGTACATCATAGTGTTTTTTTACTAAAATATGCACTCCTTCCTCATGGTATGTTAAGGGACAATTCGAAATTATCATCACTATATTAAAAATCCCATTCTACAGAGTTTTATCTTCATGACAAATTCATGGTCCTCATCGTCCTTAAAACGTCCGTTAATTTTTGAATCTCAACAGTTATCAGTAAGTAGGTGTGCGTGTATATATTCATTTTTAAAATTAATGATAAACCCCATCGTCTATACTACACACATTTACAAAATTCAATTAACAAACTAAAAGTTGTTTTGACCATTCCATAGAAGTCATACTCACTGAATTTGAAGTCTTCTTTCTGTGTGATTCTGAGGCAGCAAAAAATAAAATGTCCAACAAGTATGTTTACTCATCCTTTCTAGAAATTATAATAGCGAATTAGGGGAATCCCCATTTTCCCCAAGTTGGGGCTTTTATTTGTCATAATCAATACTAACAGCGTCAGAGAAGTTTAGTTATTAATATTCTTAACTTGATATTGAATTTAATCAATAATCAATGATTAATTTAAAATGTTAATCTAGTCCAAATATCCTCCTCAGTAATGTGCATGTACGCTCAACATCATTTTAACCACAATTTTTACTTCCATATGCATAAAAGGTGATTAGTTCTCTACAATTTCTAATAAACCCTCACTTATACAAGTATATAGTATATAGCTAGCAATGAAATATAGTTCAGATATTATATTTCAGAATGAGTTTTTAAGCATGACCCAGTAAATTTGCTTCCTTTGTCTATCTGTTTTGGTTCAAATGTATCTGTGTCATGAAAGGTTTTCTGTCTTTTTGACATTCATGGGCTACATGTATCACCCCAACATGAATATTTAAATATTTTCTCAACAAATTATTATATTTTAACGATTATAACATCTGCTCCAAAGAAATCAAAATTTGGGGAAAATATAACTTCATCATGATTAGTTGCATTTAAATTAAATTACCCAGATGCGAATGGGTAGTTACCAGTTTTACTACCAGGTGGGTGATTTGGGTTAATAATTAACATGGCAGGTATATAAGAAAGTTCCCTTAAAATTGAATATTATCAGTTTAAGTGGATCAATTTTCATTTTACTTGTATAATAGACAATAAACCTTATATGTCTGATAGTTATACAAACGAAAATATGTCCAGTAAAATAAAATATTATCTGCTCAACACAAGAAAATATATTTCACTTTTTGTGGTTTTGTAACATGAGGTCTATGGAGAATCTCCCCGACCTAGAAGTCACATTTTCATAGAAAATTAATTTTTCAAAGTTGGTAAATACTTTTTTAAACCACAGTTTTTGATGCAATTTTACATGTAGACTTCAAATATGATATCACTTTGATTAAATTTTGATTATTTAATGAAGTAAATCAAGATTATTTCTACTCGCATCTAGTATATTGATCCTCAGTTAGATGGAAGGAAATTTTTTAACCAGGTCTAACCATACTCTCAAACTCATCTCACCATTTGCTTATATGTTAACCACTCATATTACAATGTATATATACATTACGATGTACGTTCCAGTCAGCAAATGTTTGGAGTGGTATGTGGTGCCCTAGCCTCAGAGACAGTTGAACTTCTATCCTCCCTAATGGACGATCTGAACCTAGAGACAATGACTGCAGATGCCCAAGGGAATGACCTTCAACCTGCTGCCCTTAATGGTGACCTTGGGGAAAGTGTCACAGCCTGGCAGAGGGTGATGAGGATTACCACAGACACAGATCTTATACGACTTTTACTACAGCTTGTCAATCTGGCTTTGAAGAAGGTGATTCATTCAAACACATGATATATATTATAACACCAAATTACACCCTTGGAAAATTTCAATGGTTTAGGTTCCTTAAATTATCGTGGCTAAAACTAGGAAATAAAGTACGAAAATAGTTATTGCCATAGTTTTTTTTTTAGTTTTTATGTCATAATATATTCACATTGCAGGCTGCAGCTCTCAAAAAACCAAGAGGTCACCATGCCAACGCCAACGATGATACATATGATATTGAGAGTGACAGTTCGTCAGACTCCAATACATTCTATGAGGATGACTTCAGCAGCTCAGATGACACCAGCGCAGATGAAGGTAATATATTATAATATATATATGTGTTTACAAAAAAAGAAGCTGACATTGTTGATTATACTTTCCTGCTATCTTGCATGAAGTTAGTGTTAGTCTGAGTTCTAGATTTAAATTCAAGATTCAAGAATTCAAGATTTTTTTAAATATTTGAAAATATATACTGACAAAAATCAGGGAAAGGTTTAACACGATTTGGTAAAAACATTCTGAAGATCATATTTTTTGTGAACAAATTTTTTGTTAACTAGATGATGATTCTGAGCCTATACTGGGGCACTGGTTTGAAGAAACGTTGGGCCCAGCTGATAACTTGCCCCCACCCCCTCCCCCTGCCCCAGAGAAACATCCACATAGAAGCGAAGGAAGAGATAGCCCTAGATTTGTCTCAGATAAACGGGAACCAGAGGGAGTAAGTTTTAATGCAATAACAGCTAAATATTTGATCATTAAATCCTCAGGATAAAACATGCCACAAATGAATAATTGAGTCATGATTAAGAAAAAAAGTATTGAAATTCAAAAATAGAGAGGCTCTTACAAAAGGACTGCACAGGAAAACCTGTATGAAGTCAATACCTCTGGGATGAGGTCATCTAAAATGTCACATTGAGATCTCTTAACATTCTAAAGTTCTGGCAAATGGAAGTCAATTGATGTCCAAAAATAGAATGGAACAGAAAGTGTTCTAATTTTGAGGTCTTCAGTGTGATGAGGTGTTCACATTCACCAGTTTTACTGTATACTGACCAATTAAAGTCATTAGTCATATAATTTTTTTCTTTTTCTTCTAGTATATTAGCCTTGCATCTGATGTCTTGGTGTTCCTGAACAAACATTTCCTGATGTCCAGTAGTCCTCGTATCAAGAACTATGTGAAGTCAGTCATGAATGAAACCCATATGGAGATACTCGCCTCTATTGTCAAGGAACTTGATAAGGAATATGCAAAATGTAAAGATGGTATGTAATTTTGGAATTTTTCTTTTTATTAGTATTTCATCTTTGGAATGCCAGCTTGTTGCTGTTTGTAGTGATTAAATATACATTGCTCTGAAAACTGAAAACTTATGACAACTAATTTTTAGTATTTGATCTCAAAAAGCTACCTTATTGATGTTTGATATAGATAGATATATACTTTCCTCTAAAACTTAAAACTTTTATCAATGATAATATTTAATCATGCAAGTGTTTTTTTCCAGCCTCCTTGTATGAAGAGTTCTCCATTGCTGTTGCAAAGTTCAACCATAATTTGATAGCATCTGGCCTTCTGAATGACAAACTACAGGTTAGTTTTGATTGTATCTTTAATGCTGTAATTTTTTCATAAGTACTAGTACTCACAATATACAGGGTGGGCCAAAAAACTTTTTCCCCACCCTGTATATTGTGAGTACTTCCCCAGTCTAAAGGCATTTTATCTATGAAGTATTCTGGGCCATCAGGAAATATCATATTGTCCCTTGGGATAAAACCCACATTCAATCCCTCTCAGTAAATGATCTCATTTTTTCATGATATTCACTAAATTCATTCCATTCTTATTTGTGGTTTTTCTAGGACCAGTTATTGAAGAATCTAGGTGTAGATGCCAGCACAGACAACAAGGAGACATGGCCACTGACTGTCTATACACGAACACTGGCCATCTTGGCAGAAATCCTGTTGCTACGACAACAACGTGAAAGAGAGGCTGGCATGCTGAAGTCTGCCAGTGAGGCATCAGTTATTGCTATATGGACTAGATTTATCAAAACTCTACAAGAGTCAATTCTCACTGAAAAAACAGTCACCGAGGGTAAGAAAATATTTTCCTTGTTATTTATTCCTTTAATTCAAAATTATTCGTTGTGATGTCACTGCACCTGTTTTATATACTTTTATTGAAAAGAATAATGGAAATAATTTTATTTCTCTGCACATATGACACCAGTCAGATATATTTGTTGATATTTCATGCCATTCAGCATATACTGTATATTTCATGCTACTTTGGAGTCATTTTAGCATGATGTTGTTCTACCACCACCACTACCATCACCACCTTGATCTAATTCAAAATTTCCCAAAACTTTGAGAAATCTGTATAATGTTTGCACAAATTCTCACTTTATTACTTGTACGTAATGAACTTATATAAGTATTCGATTTGTGCTGTAGAAAATTACGATTGGAAATAAAATAAATTTTGATAAAAAAAAGATGTTGTTCTTAAGTTTATTAATAAGAAGCTTTTTTTCCAGACCTGAATGTTGAGCATACCCAGCTGCTATTGTTCTTGTTCCACAGCCTGCCACTCATGCAGAAGAAGTTGTTGTTGATACAGCTCGGCCAGGCAGTTGTCACAGTGGCTGACACATTGCAACAAAGGTAAAGATCTCATGAATAATTCATAACTATGTTAAGTAGCTGTCACATTAGCCTTGTGGGCTCACTGTTCAACACTGTATCCCTTATTTGGGTATTCATTTTTAATTATTTAATAATCTATTTTTTTTTTTGTTGTACTTGATGTGATGGAGGATATTTTGCTGTAAAACTGATCGTTTTGCCCACCCTGTATCCATGCTGTGCCCCACCGTCTGGCCCAAAGTATTCACACAGTTGCAAAAAGTGAGCCCACACGGCCTAAATGTGACAGCTTTATTAGAGCTATAGAGGCTATTTTTTGTGGAAACAGTGAGGAGAAATACTCAACCATGGAGGTTTGAAACCCCATCACCAATTATATCCATCACTTATGCTCGTAGTATGCAAAATTTAATATGGCAGTAAAATGTTTGACATTTCAGCACACTAGAGACAACACTACCTATGGCTCTGTCTAGGCTACTGTTGCTGCTAGACTATCTAGTCCACTATTTCTACGACCCTCCCGCAGCTCTAATGGAACAGGTCCAATGGAACCTATTTGGCTCCCATACTGGTGCGCCACCTGACAAAGACAACTTGAACGCCACCTATTTCTCATGCACTCATGTTGAGGAAAACTATAGAAAGAACAGAAAACAAGAAGACGGTGAGTAACTTTGGCTACAGTGAGCTTTTCTGAATTGAAATGTCCAAAGTTTACTTTTTTTGAAGTGGTGCATGCAATATTTCTATGTTTCAGAAAAACTGAACAAAAAATGTACCTCCCTAATACCATCAATTTCTTGAAATTTACATTTGAACTACCAGAAGTCCTATCAGGTTCATTTCTTGTACTTATGAATGCTAGTCTTGTGGTCGTGTGTGGATGAGTCATATGGGTGAATGCATATGTTTAAATTGCTTATTTCATTGTCTCAAAGTAGTTCATTGTTTTCATTCATGCAGTTTTCTGTTAATAACTTGCCTAATTGACCAACTAATCCAAAGTTAGAATGGAAGAGTTTTACAATTACATGTATTGTCCTATATGTTTCAGAATCGGCTTCTGCAAAGTTCTACAATCTTGGACCCACAGACTACAACAACCAAGATGCACCAAAAATTGATGGACTGGTGAGTGGTTATACTATCTACATTAAATATGCATTCACAAAGTGCATTCGAAATTTTTCCTTTTTCTGGGCTATCAGGGCAACATTTGGCTTAAAATCTTCTTTGACATACCTATTTTCTTAAAATGTATGAATAAACTATTTTCAGCTTAAGAAGTGTAAATTCAGTTCAAAGCTTCTATAAAGGGAGTCCCACTTATAGATTTTTAGGATTCACCATGTTTCAAGAGGAATATCAGCTGAAATAATGTTCATCCAGTGGGTTTCTTGTGAGATGATAAAAATATTTGTTAGTCTTGATGAAATATCCAAACTTCAATATATTTTGACACTGGTCCATGATTGTTGAATGTCACCTCTGCACTACTGCACTACTGCACTACTTGTTGCACCTTTAATTCAAGATAATCTTTTCCTGTTTTTGCATTGTGGTGCAATGAGGTGACCATGTCCCAATAATGATGAGTCACATTTATTCACTCTTCAATTTCTTATTCTGTAATTCATTGCAGGCTTTGAGTTTCATCCAAGGAAACCCTGAGTTACTGGACTATAACAGACTTTATGGAGCATGTATCAGTCTACTGCTAGCAGGCTCCAAGTGCGACACTACTATGGAGAAAATGAAACTGATTGTAAGTGTTAAACATGTAGTTTTTGAACATGCAAAATTTTCAGAATATGTTGTACAAATAATGACTGACTATCATTGAGGGAAATAGTGCAAAATATTTTCCAGAGGAATATTTTTTTCATTCGACAACCAATGGTAGGCATAATCTGACCTGATATTGTTTCCCCCGAGTGGAGTGAAAGTATATACAGTAGTTCTCATATAATTATCAATCTATCTGTGTTTCAGGATTACAGTATAGTTCACTACCACTATATAATATGCTGGAGACTGTTGTCCTGTCTCCCTCCCTCTACATCCTACCTACAGATGCTAGAGGCAGGCAAGACAGAGATGACGCCATGTGAACTCTTACACACTCTCAGATGGACCTCAAGACTGAGCCATTTGCAGTTTTCCAGTTGGGCAAAAGTATGCTCTTTATTTTGTTTTTAATGTTTAATGAATACATGTAAATGATAAGGCTATTTTTAAAAAGGTTTACTGCATGTTTCTTTGGGATTAAGTGTGTTCTGTTCTGATCAGAATTTGAAAATTACAAATGCAATTTTTTTGAGGCACACAAGACTTATTCTGCCAATTTTTATCTAATTGATACAATTTTGATACATTAACCAAAATATTCAAATGAATTTCCATATTTGTTGCCTTGTAGCTTGTCACTGCCCTAGTTACTGAAATAATGTAGATAATATACATCTAGATAAGTTATAGTGTTTCAAATCGTTTCAGGATTGCTTAGTTAAGCAGGGTCTAACTACCCAGAAAGCAGAGGCCCTACTTGCCAGTGTAGTGAAGAAAACTAATGAAGTGACATACAATGTCAGACTGGCATCAAACTTCATCAACTCACAGGTAACTGCTTGCTTATAAACAATTTTACTTTAATATTCAATTATTTGAGGGAAACTCACATCCTTGACTCACATTGCAGGTTGAAGGATGGAATTTATTGGTGTACCTTGAGAAAATGATCTTGCGAGATATTGATGTTTTAAAATATAAGATGACAGATTAGTTGTGATCCATGTTTCTTTGTTAATGGTTTCTTATGTACTGTATTGTCATTGTCTTGAGCTAGTGGCTGTGGGTAAATGCGTGCATGCATCTTGTTGAGCGTGAGCATGTGCCACATAAATCTTGTCATCAAAATTCCAGGAAAATCGCTTATCTGTTCATAACTTGAAATTTTTACAGAAGCAAGAACAGACTAGTACCAAGATCTGGTTGAATAACAAACAAGGCAGCCACTTTGCTCTTCAAATTGCAATAATTATCACTGTGTATCTTGATTTTTAGGTTGGAGATATTGTGTTTGTTGGCTCTGAGAAGATTCTGCCCACTAAGGAACTACCAGGTTTCCACTCAATATTCATATTAGACTGTGTAGTGGCAAAGGTACAAGTGGAGCTAGACCAGGCCTTCACTAAAGCAATGGTAAGATATTTTGTGTTGAAATGATTTCAAAATGTACTGAACAACTTAGCAGATGTGTCTCTTTGACAGACCATGTAAAATCTGCTTCTCTGATTTGAGACACGACTAAAACCAGTTTGCCTATTTGCAAGAGATTGAGTTGAATAAATAAGAGAATTTTCAAAATGCATTGTCTATTGCAACAATCAATAACAAAAATTAATGAAAAAAACAGATTCGGAAGATTTAGGGTACTTTTAGTTTGTAACATGTAAGATCCAGTGAAGAAGGATTTTAGGATGCATGTCGTCGAGTTTCTCAGATCTATGAGTTTGAATATTTGTTTCAGGGTGATGTTGATCCCCACCAGGTGATGCAAGTTGCACAAGAGCTGATGCTTCCCATGTTTCTTCTAGTCCAGGCCTACTATGTTTATGTCAGGTACACTACTATTAACTATTATACGGCTGCCTTAGTGCATTAATTGTTTAATTTTTTTTTTCTAAAATTAAAACTATAAATCATGAACCACATTCACGTTTTCAAAATAACAGAGAATTGTTGTGATAGAGGTCGATGCACAGTCTACATTATGTACTACAATTAATAGTTTAATCAATAATAATCTTTTCTCAAATTGGTTCCAATTTTTCACAAATTATTTGATTATGTAAATAATGAACCATATTAATATAAACAAAATGAGAGGAAATGCGTTACAGTCAATGTACAGTCTACATCGGGTAAAGCTTCGTCAAAATTGCCAGCTGCACTCAAAATTAGTTATCTGCAAAGAAAACAAAAGTCACGTTGAATAATTGGATGTTACCCATTGTTCTGTGCTGTTTAGGTCATGCATCTTGAGTCAGGTGACCACAGAAGGTGACACAACCAACCTTGTCACCCCTGACATGTTAGAGGCGTACGGTGCTGTCATGAGTCTAGGATCCGGACGTGCATCAAAGATCTGTAGTCTGGGAACTGCTATTATGGGACTGCTGCCATCGAGTTTCAGGAATATTCTGGAGAAATGTACAAAATCTTCAAGCAATGAATTTCCTGGTGTGGGATCTTGGGTGAGTTTGTGATTTCCGGGGGGGGGGAGGTTGTCAACAGTGGTCATCCATAAATGATTGGATTTGGCACTTCTTTATGTGACATCTTGTGAAAAATAACTAAATTATGAAGTAATAATATTAACATACCATCAAACATGCAAGAAATATTTAATGATTTCTAATGTTATATGTTGGCTCTTACATTCTAGTAAACTTGAAAAGATCAAATAATGCCTATAAGCAATTGTTTTATATTGAATGACAATTTTGTGCTGTCCCTAGGTCTGATTTCGTTACTCGGCTCGGAAAAAAGGTTTGTGGGTATCATTTTGTTCCAGACACTCTCTAGAATAAATTCATCTTGGGTGGAGTAAAAATGTGTGGTAAACGAATTTGCTATGGGCAGTTAAAGAGGCGCCATCTATTCATTTTCAAACAGGGGGTAGGGGTATAAAATAATTTTTTAACACATTTTAATAGTAAAATGACATTGAAATACTAATAAAATCTTATCAAAAACATTATTTACAATCAGTATGAATTTTCTTGTGTGGATTAGGGTGAAAATAAGGGCATATCTTGAAATTCACTACAGGGGCGCCACCTATTTTGGTACTTCTACCCAGGTAATAACTTATTTTAGATTCGTTAAGGTACGAAATGTACTGAAAAAATTCATTCTGAAGGACCTATATATGTTCATACCACATACTTAAAATTAGATCAATAGCTTATGTACCGACGGAGAAAAAAATTATTGAAATTTAAAATTGTGGTATCCTGCAGGATAGGGGTGACCATATCTCACATTATTAACTTCCAAAATATGGAGCATATGTATCTCAAATGTGCTCAAAATGTTGTATGTACTCTTGCTTTGTCATAATATTACTAATAAGAAGTAGAAAAATGATTGTACATTTTAGAAATTATTAATTCTCATTTTGGCTTCTGACGTCCCAGGGGTGACCATATCTCACCTTTATAACTTCCAAAATATGGAGCATATGTATCTCAAATGTGGTCAAAATGGTGTATGTACTCTTGCTTTGTCATAATATTAGTAATAAGAAGTAAGAAAATGATTGTACATTTAAAAAAATATTAATTCTCATTTTGGCTTCTGACGTCCCAGGGGTGACCGTATCATATGTCACCTTAATAACTTCCAAAATATTGAGCATATGTATCTCAAATGTGCTCAAAATGGTGTATGTACTCTTGCTTTGTCATAATATTAGTAATAAGAAGTAGAAAAATGATTTTACATTTTAGAAATTATTAATTCTCATTTTGGCTTCTGACGTCCCAGGGGTGACCATATCTCACCTTAATAACTTCCAAAATATGGAGCATATGTATCTCAATTGTACTCAAAATGGTGTATGTACTCTTGCTTTGTCATAATATTATACTAATAAGATGTAGGAACATGATTATACATTTAAAAAATTTTAATTTTAATTTTAGCTTCTGAGGTCCCTCAATAACTTCTAAAATCAAATATACCAAAAATGGGGCATATGGTCTTGCTTTGTCATAATATTATTCATGAGATGTAGAAAAAATTATTACACCTTTTTTGAATTGAAATTTTCATTTTAGCTTCCGAATCTGACATCCCAGGGGCAACTATATCTCACCTTGATATAACTCTCACAGTATGCAACATATGCATCTCAAATGTGTGCCCAAAATGGTATAAATATAGTCTTGTTTTGTCATATTTATTGAGATTCATAAAATCAGAAGTTCAGAATTCATGGATTTGACTGTCTCCCCTGAAGAGCTACATATAGCCCAGAGACAATAAGATCTACTTTCAAATATTTGCATCTTCTCCCCTAACACTCCTTATATTACAGGAACAATGGACGATAAGTCTTTTGCATGCCTTGGATGCAACATCTTTTGTATACTGGTAGCCTATCAGTAGTGTGAGTAGCCTAGCCTCTTTTACCAAAATTGGCCCCTTAACCCCAAATCTGACCCGAAATTTTGAAAATATCCTGAAAAATTAGGCCTTAAAGGCGCATTTATGCCCAAACATACACCAAACTGTCCCACTGCTAAATTACAAGGGCGATAAGTCACTTCTAATCCCGATTGACATTCTCCCGTTTGCATGTTTTGTCATATATCAGAATTACAAATGACTTATAACTGCAATGTCTCATTCTATGGTACATGTATCAGAAGAAATCCAGATCGGAAATCAGATGATTTAGAACAGTATTAGAATGCAGATATGGCATCACATGCAATGATTGCATAAGGAAAGGGCTAAAGTTTTGCCATGGCCATATTCTGCAATAATATCATGGGAAGGTAGATACTGATAAGATTTCCTCTTTCAGTATGCAATCCAAATTGACACTTTCAGTTTTTTTAGCATAAAGTTTTGATGTCTGGAAGGAAAACAGATCACTCTTGTTCTTGGCACATCTTAGGAAATTTACAAGAGAATTAGTATGATATACCTTCTCCCTTGTTCCATTACTATGTTTTATATGTGGGGAAGAAATATTACTTAATTTGCACAATCATTTATGTTCATGTTCTGCATATTTTCACTGTTGGGTTTTAGCATGTTAATGATCTAATTTTTGGCATGGTCATTCAAAATTTAATTTAATGGAGGAACAATAGTTTTCCATAATCTGTTATGAATGGAGGTTTTGGAGGCCTAATAAACTGAAGAACTTTGTTCCTGGATATGGTTCTATCAAATGGTACTGTTAGGTTTTCAAGTTGCCTTTTGTCGAATGTGCTATATTGTTCTTGCCCCATCTCAACAATTGTATTCACTGTATGGCCTATCATGCCAAGAGTAATGCAAGTGTTCCAAAAGCTAAGCTCTTCTCTGGGACCCTAGAAGTGCAGGACGTCACAATCATAAATTAATATTTCAATACAATCAATGTATGTTGTATGACAAACTTGAAAACTAGAGAATATGGCTAGAAAGATTTATCATTACAAAGAGCTCCTTTTCCCGTATTTTACGTACTCAAAATCCCTTAATTCAGTGTATGATCCAAGGTGCATATATTGCAGGCCACAGGATAACATATTAACACCTTATCAACATTTGTCATTACTTCATAAATGGAGTAAAGTACTCCCACTATTGATAGGCTAAAAGGATTCCTCAATGGATTACAAAATATGTTTGGTCCAAGTTATGCAAGGGAATAATCTCATCCATTGTACCTGTAAGGGGTGTTTGGGGAGCAGATGCAAATATTTGAAAGCAGATATTATTTGCCCTGAATTATATGTAGCTGTAGAGGAGACAGTCAAAATCTATTGATTCTGAACTGTTGATTTTATGATTCTAAATAAATATGACAAAACAAGACTATATTTATACCATTTTGAGCACATTTGAGATGCATAAGTTGCATATCGTGAGAGTTATCAAGGTGGGACACCAGAGGCTAAAATTAAATTTTTTTTAAAAAATGCAATCATTTTTCTACATTTCATTAGTAATATGAAAGACAAGACTTTTCTGAGAATATTTGAGGCGTATATGTTACATATCTTAGAAGTTATTATTATTATTATTATATGTTGCGATATGATTACCCAGGAACGTAAGAAGCTAAAATTAAAATTTTTTAAATGTATAATCATATTCCTACATCTTATTAGTATAATATTATGACAAAGCAAGAGTACATACACCATTTTGAGTACATTTGAGATACATATGCTCCATATTTTGGAAGTTATTAAGGTGAGATATGGTCACCCCTGGGACGTCAGAAGCCAAAATGAGAATTAATAATTTCTAAAATGTACAATCATTTTTCTACTTCTTATTACTAATATTATGACAAAGCAAGAGTACATACACCATTTTGAGCACATTTGAGATACATATGCTCAATATTTTGGAAGTTATTAAGGTGACATATGGTCACCCCTGGGACGTCAGAAGCCAAAATGAGAATTAATATTTTTTTAAATGTACAATCATTTTCTTACTTCTTATTACTAATGTTATGACAAAGCAAGAGTACATACACCATTTTGACCACATTTGAGATACATATGCTCCATATTTTGTAAGTTATAAAGGTGAGATATGGTCACCCCTGGGACGTCAGAAGCCAAAATGAGAATTAATAATTTCTAAAATGTACAATCATTTTTCTACTTCTTATTAGTAATATTATGACAAAGCAAGAGTACATACAACATTTTGAGCACATTTGAGATACATATGCTCCATATTTTGGAAGTTAATAATGTGAGATATGGTCACCCCTATCCTGCAGGATACCACAATTTTAAATTTCAATAATTTTTTTCTCCGTCGGTACATAAGCTATTGATCTAATTTTAAGTATGTGGTATGAACATATATAGGTCCTTCAGAATGAATTTTTTCAGTACATTTCGTACCTTAATGAATCTAAAATAAGTTATTACACGTGGTAGAAGTACCAAAATAGGTGGCGCCCCTGTAGTGAATTTCAAGATATGCCCTTATTTTCACCCTAATCCACACAAGAAAATTCATACTGATTGTAAATAATGTTTTTGATAAGATTTTATTAGTATTTCAATGTCATTTTACTATTAAAATGTGTTAAAAAATTATTTTATACCCCTACCCCCTGTTTGAAAATGAATAGATGGCGCCTCTTTAACTGCCCATAGCAAATTCGTTTACCACACATTTTTACTCCACCCAAGATGAATTTATTCTAGAGAGTGTCTGGAACAAAATGATACCCACAAACCTTTTTTCCGAGCCGAGTAACGAAATCAGACCTAGGGACAGCACTTAATTGGTAATGTTAATGTTTTACCATTATTTTTTATTTTCCATTTTTTTTTATTTCAGCGCAATTTTTACTCAAATGATCTGTGTCCAGTTGAAGGCTACATTGACTGTATTCAAGCTGCCCATATGTCTGCATTCACATGTAAGTTCAGTTATAACCTCATGACCAAAGTAGAGTCCATCTACATATGGGTCTTATGGATCACCTTGGTAGTTAGTGAATCACTGTACTTTTGACTTTAGTCAGTTTACTTTGAGTCATTTTTTATTGATAAAGCTTTTGTCAAAAACTGAGATGAACCATTACAAAACTAGAATGGCTAAAATGGAAAATTGAACCAAATAGAAAAATGTACACATCTTCAATACTGAAATTGTGAGCCCAGTTATTTTTCCATCTAAGAAATGTGTTTTCTTATTCAGTATATAAATGTTATTTTACTTGTGTTGTAGGTCAGTGGCACCACACAATATACAGATCCTTGGCCCACATGCTAAATGCCCTGGCCAGGTTTAGTGGAGATCTGTTAATGTAAGTAGTTTAGAATTTGTCTACAATGTAACATTGGTCTTTTTCATTGGCCTCTTGGCCATTGGACAGACTTTTAGCTAATTGAAATAAAATGTGCTAAGTAACAATATGTAAGCAATAACACATCAATGAGATCATCCACTCTAATCCACTCTCTATAAACTACAGTATTTTAACATTTTCATTAGGAGCTCAATAACAGGCTACTACAGGAAAACAATTCATTTAGAGCTCAAATGTTTCCGTGTTCTAGATAGCATTTTGATGAATCTAAAGTAAAGTGATAGGATATGAAGGCTGCCATTACATACAATCCAACCTATTCCATGACATATGCTAATACCCCTAATTTGGAAAAATGGGCAAGTCCAAAAACAACAGGATAACCTGAATCCCTCTAGGTCAACTGACCTAACACCCCTTTATATGCTATATCTTCATAATTGTACTTGCCTATGTATGGAAAAGTGGAAAAATTTTAGAGTCCAGTTTTTTACTCTATCTGCTAGAAGTTTCTTAGATAATTGGTAAATTGATGGCAGATATATGCAGGACTAGGGGTTACCAGATTGTTACGGGAACCTAGTCAACGTGATAGTTTACAGAAGTTGGAAAATCTACAATCTGAACTGGCACAGATGACCAAGTAGCCGACCTTTGGGACAGCAAGGTGCATATGAGAAGCATGCACAACTTGAGTAGCAGTTTACTGAGGGAGTTGGTGCCCACCATCCCATGGTAGATCTTCAAGACTATACCTCAGCAGGGCCTCCTCAGCAGCAGAAGGTACTTGGACAGAGTCACAAGTCATTCTTCAGTGCAGTGAGCTCATTTGTGGTTGTATTTTAGTGTACTTCTAACACTAGAAACAGGTCAGTTTTTAGGAAATCCTTCCATGGATTTTATTTTCAAGCTACACGCTTAGCTAACAGTCAACTTTAGGTTAGCCTAGCTTCAGTCTTTGGGACAATAAGTTCAGACCCAGTTGAACTTTATTTGACCCCTACTGGCTTGTATTATCTTTTTTTGTAAAGGTTTTTCACTCATACTTTGAACCTATCTATAAGGGACCTTTATTCTTTAACCCTATACTAGTATACTTTTACTAGCCCTAGGGTTCTAATCCTTTGAGTTCATGACTATACTTATTGTGTAGTATGTTATGTAATGATGGCCTTCTAGGTTCATAAGGTTATTCCCCTTATTCATGCACCTACAGTAGCTTTGTTGGAGTTCATTGCTTTGAATGACTATTCCTTAGTTTTTCACTCAGTAATCATTACATTCAAGCTGTGCTTATCCACTGAACAGTGTTTTCTTTTTTAAAATGTTGTGTTCAGGGATTATGAATAGGTGGAGTTTTTCTAAGAACTCTACTGATTGATGAGTGTAAATTATTATTACACTTTACTTGTATTTAAAGATCTTTTTGCTGATCTTGTTTCTTTTTTCTAACTTTTTATACTTTTTATTAGTCGGGAATTAGTCTCAACTTTGTTTCTAGTTTAGTAACTAGCTTGACTAGATAACATTTTCTTCAGTTAGATTGAATCTGCATTGTTCCTAGATGTAGTTAATTCTCATCTTTATTCACAATCACTTTACACCCTTTGTAGGGTTCTTGGTTCCAGCACTTTATGGAATTGTGTGGTTTAGCAATCAATTAATTTAATATTAGTCTTTTTGACAATTTAAGAGATGTGAACGTTTCATTCACTTGCTACTCTTCACATCACTTGTTTTCTATGTTCTGTTTGTTTTCTGCTTACAGATACACTCAGCTTTTACATTTGTATTTATGTTCATGTAGAGTATAGATATGGCCGTGAGAGTCGTACATGTAAAATTATTAATATAAAATTAATATAAATAAATATTGAGCCAATTAACACAAAACACAATACCTTGGAAAATAATGGCTAATTTAAGTTAATTAGCTACAAGAGTTTACACTTTGACATAACTGTTAATTAGCTCAATTGGATATATTATAATACCATCTCCAACTCATCTTCTTGGGCGAAAATAAATCTCCAACTGGTGGTGTAAGCTGGGGAAGGAGGTGAGGGAAAAGAATCGAAATGTATAACTTACATTGATGTTAATGGATTTTGTACGCACCTAGGGAGAAAACCCTCCAACTACAATCCTATCGATATCTCGTCTGAAGTCTCATCTCGTACTCTCGAGATCTGAAGCTTGATGTTTCGTTCAGTGTAACTTACCAGAAACATTTACCTGGGATAACCGGGGAATGGTCTTCTTAGGGCTTGTTCATACCTAAACCTTAACCGACTCTCACATTGCCATAAATGAAATTATTGTCAATAATTTGAATTTCTTATTCATCAACTAATTTTAGGTCTAATTTTACATTCGTGTAAAATTAGTTAGTTTACAAAAGCCTTACTTTAAGATACATTGAATGGCTCATTAATGCCTTCTGGTCACAACATATTCATTCTTTATTTATACCAGGGCATAGGATGTTTGTTCTACAATCATTTTGGATATCTTGGTTTTCAAATCTTGTTTCATTATTTTTAATTTTACAAGGATAATTTTTTACTAAGTTTTTTTTTTTTTTTTTGTTTGTACTTTTGTGTCTCTTTATGGAGATCTACATTATTGTTTATCTACATATCTCAGGTCCACTCTATGTCATAGAATCTTTTGGTTAGTTTTACCCTAACCACATTTTTTTTCATGGAGTGGCTCACCTTAAAATATGCTTCTTACTTTTGAACAGCTACTTATCAATCACTCCTTTTCTGGTATTGATTGGTTTCATGCATATTTTCTAAGTAACTATATGTTTCTTTATAAGCGGTGTACCTTCACACATGTTTGAATCTTGTCTTAAATTGATAAGATCATGAGTCAATTGATTGAAATATAATTTTATATTATTCAATCAACAGTAGAAGAGAGGATTCTACACATCGGTTCAGGTTCTTTATACTATGAATCTTGTGTTTTAAACATGCTTCTAAGTGATGGGCTCTCATTTTTATTATCTGGAGCCTGTTTTCTTTCATTTTCGTTCTTATTCATTACCATAGTACTTATTCATTCGTGGATTGGTTATTATTTTCAAACAAGGTGGTTTTCATCTCATATTGAAAACACATCCCTTTGATTGTGAAAGTTGCCTTTGTAGTTTTCGGCCTGGATTGCTTTAAGGTTTCACTCCAGTTCCAGACTTCATTTGGTGTTATATTTTTACTAGTTCATGTTCATAGTACTGCTACTACTTTTTAACTAGTAAAAGGCTGGTAGTTTTAACCACTTGGATAAACTGACCATGTTGTTTATTATATAGTTTTTTCCCCTGAGAAACTGCGAGTCACTTTTATTGTGGGATTCATCTTTGTGGTCTTTGGGCCTGGATTTCCTTCAGGTATCACTCCAGTTCCAGACTCCTTTTGGTCTTATTTTATTACTAGTTCATGTTCATAGTACGTATACTACTATTTAACTAGAACAGGTTGGTAAATTTAACCAATTGGATAAACTAATCATGTTTTATGATATTGTTTTTTCCATTGAGAATCTACAAGTCACTTTATTTGTGGAATTAATCTTGGGCTTTTTGGACCTGGATTGCTTTAAGGTTTCACTCCAGTCCAGACTTCATTTTGTTTTATTTTATTACTAGTTCATAGTACTTATACTACTATTTAACTAGTAAAATGCTGGAAGTTTTAACCAATTGGATAAACTTATCATGTTTTTATGATATAGTTTTTTCCCTTGAGCAACTGCAAGTTTGGCTTAAGACTACTGAAAAGTAATGTTCTTGGACCAAGCGTTGTATGGATCCAACAATTGACTGGTAGACACATGCAGTAGTACTTCGATGACCATGCGGGCCTGATGTATATGCTGTTGATACTAGAGTTTCAACTCCAAGCCAAGTTTGATCTACAAAGGTTATGCTCCAAGTCAAGAACTTTGTGGATCCAGCACTACCTTACTACATACTGTAGTGTTCCAATACACCTACATCCATGATGTATGCTCTTGGTAGCTTTAGACAGACCCGGGAGAAAAGCTGACTATTCTTGTCAACCAGTGCTGCCAACTACAAACCTGGATGAAGTTAAAGGTTATGTTTTGGACACAGATTTTGGTTGATCTAGCACTACTATACTCTCATACTATACTAGTAGTGCTTCCCTTTGTAGCAGAATCTACGTTCAATGCTGTTATACTCCTATAGACAGATAGATGTACTATCCATTGAAGATACCACTAGACTGTCTTTTGCAAGCCTGTGAAGAACATTTGAAAGTTTTTGGTTCCAGGCCAAGATTTTTTTTGATCCAGTGAGGTTCTGAATTCTTCTGCAGTAGTATGTCAATATGCACCACTAGCTATGATGTTTGATGTTTACAACCTGGACAGATGGATGTTCTAACCACAATCCAATAGTTATCAACTACAATGCCGAATACAACAATTGAAGGTTGCATTCCAAGCCAAGCTCTTTGTGGGAACAACACTTAGCAGTGCTTTGATGGCAGTGAAATACTTTCTGTTATGCTCTGTTGGCACTATAGACAATCATAACAGTGATATCCTCATCTTCTTAAAGATGTCTAACAAGTTTACCAACAAATGCAAGCTTGTTTCCAACCACCTTTAGACTCATCTCCATACTAATCCTTTATAGATAAGTATGGACCTGTCTGCTGTTCTACTTTGTGCTTGATGTGCCACTGTGTCTACTAGGGAAGCTGTGTTACAGTTTTATACAGATGGATAGACTGTCTAGATGCACTAGTTTGTCCATTGAAGAACTTCTTTTGGCCAGATGGAAGATGTCTCTTCTTGCCCAGGTCAGCAGTAATGGTTGATCTGTTCTATGATGAATACTAATTGGTACTACAAAGAAGATGGTTTGACTTATCCCTGTAGTTATCTGGTGGCTGTACCAACCTCGACTGGCTGGGTCTACGGAGGTGTCTTGCTCCATGTAACTTTGTTATGGATCCAAAAGACAAGAAGCACTTAGCAGATGTGTAGTGGTATTGTTCTATGTCGTTAAACCATTCTACAAGTTGGCTGAAACGGCTTTATGATCATCGCTGGTCCAGACTTGATGTTTAGTCAACTAACATCCAACTCTGAGAGCAGAGACTAGACAAGATGTTGTGTGTACCACCTCACTTTGTATGCAAGACTGGTTCCTTTAGGACCCTGTGCTGTGAAGTATGGTAGTTGATTTATCGGCAGCTTCCTAGAATTCCAATGGATGAAAGGATGATGCCTTTGTCTACACTGACAAGAACTACAACAATGGCTTGGATTATCTCAAGTATATCTCATCCAAGCTGCAGGTGGGTCTACAACTTCAAGAACTTTCTACAACTTTAAGTACTCTGCAACTTGTTACCAACTCAGTATTGCACTGTAGTCTGGTGATTGGAAGTAACACTGGGTGGACTTGGGTTGTCTTTATTTTGTACACAGCCATTCCTTGTCTATCCAGTTCTTGTGTAAGCGGAACTGTTTTGCAGAAGGGTTCAACTCAACCAGCTTGTGACCTGGACCTTTGAAGAACTACAAGGTTGCCTTGTTTGGTTAAACGGCCCATCCTTGGCTAACCAGTTCTATTCATAGGAGTTATTCGCAACCCTTAGATGGGTAAGGATACTCACTGTGAAAGGACATACAGTCTCCCAGATGTGAAGCTGAACTGTTTTGCAGAAGGGTTCAACTCAACTAGCTTGTGACCTGGACCCTTGAAGAACTGCAAGGTTGCCTCGTTTGGTTAAACGGCCCATCCTTGGTTAACCAGTCTCTATTCATAGGAGTTGGTCATTACCCTTAGATGGCTAAGACTGCTCACTATGATAGGACAATAACAGTGTTACAGATGTGTCACAGCCTCTGCCTTACAATGGATGATGGTGGCTGTTCTACTAGGGATCACTATGGTTTGTGAGATCAGAGTACTTTTTGGTAATATGAATTTTACTTTTTATTATAAGTACTTGTGTATATATATTTATTATACTTTTGGGCTTAATCGGGGTCCCACCTCCTTTACTTTTAATTCAGCATATGTCATGGAATAGGTTGGATTGTATGTAATTGAGAAATTTTACAAGTAAATTTTCTATTAATTACAATACAAACCTATTCCATGACCATAGGCCCACCCGGCCTCCCCGCAGTATTTTTAAGTTTTACTGCGTACAATTATGAAGATATAGCATATAAAGGGGTGTTAGGTCAGTTGACCTAGAGGGATTCAGGTTATCCTGTTGTTTTTGGACTTGCCCATTTTTCCAAATTAGGGGTATTAGCATATGTCATGGAATAGGTTTGTATTGTAATTAATAGAAAATTTACTTGTAAAATTTCTCAATTGTATCATTTTGTGAGCATTTATTTTCAGTTGTTATAAACAATTGGCACATCTATAGTATTATTTTGTGAGCATTTATTTTCAGTTGTTATAAACGATTGGTACATCTATAGTATTATTTTGTGAGCATTTATTTTCAGTTATTATAAACAATTGGCACATCTATAGTATTATTTTGTGAGCATTTATTTTCAGTTGTTATAAACGATTGGCACATCTATAGTATTATTTTGTGAGCATTTATTTTCAGTTGTTATAAACGATTGGCACATCTATAGTATTATTTTGTTAGCATTTATTTTCAGTTGTTATAAACGATTGGCACATCTATAGTATTATTTTGTAAGCATTTATTTTCAGTTGTTATAAACAATTGGCACATCTATAGTATTATTTTGTGAGCATTTATTTTCAGTTGGTGTCCCAATGAGAGGATGTCTGAGGAGATGGTTCGTGTCATGTTCCCTCTGGTCTTTGATGCCTCCACAGAGCAGATTGCTGACTTTGTAAGTTTTGATGAGACATATTTACTGTGGCTTCATTAAACTCCTCTATATTGTGAAATAAAATATAAAAAGTAAAATTTCTTAGTTCACACAAGTCTTCAATAGGTAAAATACATGGTTTAGTGACCACCTGTTACACCTCTTAAATATACTTATAGCTAGGCTATAGTAAGCTCTTAACACTGACAACTCAAAAAAATGTCTTGTCTTTTGTTGAACATAATTTCAGGTATTAAATGTGGATATTTATTTCAGACAATATTTTCCCTTGAGAGAACCTTGGGGTCTGAGGACGGTGAGGAGTTCACCACTAGAGTGTATCAGCATGTAATAGGTGTATGCCACAACCTGCTGCTCAACTATACTGGCACAAAGTTGTAAGTGTTTATCTTATATTTAGTAATATAATGTAGTCTTGTTCTAACTGGTGTATGTGAGTTTGTGTACATGTGTGCATTTGTGCCTGTGGGCGCCACCAATTTCTTGTCATCAAAATTCCAGGAAATTAGCTTACTCGTTGAACTTGAAATTTTTTCAGATGTAAGAGCAGACTAGTGTCGATATCTGATTAGGTTTTGGGCATGCTGGGTACATTACTAGGTGGCCATTTTGAATTATGATATTTGCCTTGTTTTTTTTCTAATGTTGCCCTTCTTTCTCATTTTTACCTTTGAAATGATCTTTAAACACTCGTAGATGGTTCATGACACACCCCAAGATAGTTTATCGTTCTTTCAGTGGTCTAGATGAGAAGATCTTCCAAGAATGTCTCAAGTTTATGGAGGCTCATCTCGAGAAGACAGCTGAAGTAGCAGCTTTCGAAAAACTCTATGTTGGCTCGGAAACAAACCTCATTAGCATATTACTCTCTGCAGCCAATGAGAATCTGTCCCCCGCATATGGCACTAAGGTTCTCAAGTTCTTCAACAAGTTGTTCCAGCTCGGTGAGTTGTCTATTAGTATTACGACAAGATCTGTCGTGAAAATATGCAACATTTGAATGCTTAATCATAGGCTCTAAATAAGAAACAAATATTTGAAAAAATTTTCAAGATGAATTTGATTATTTTATTCAATTAAAAAAAATTGCAAAGACCATCAGCTTTCAAAAGAAAGCCCATGCACAGATTTAAAACACTGATCATTGAATAGATTTTCTTTAAATTAGAGAAACATGAAATTTCTTGCATGGTAAATTGCAATGAAATGTTCAATTAACTTAACTATTATTTATGTCTAGTTGAGAAGAACAGTACCAACAAGAGCTATATAGCTCTGTGTAGCTCTCTGTCACAACTGGCCAAGATTGACAGCTCTAGTCTACAAGGCTGGCTCAGTAGGATGATAATGGGGCCAACACACAATGGAGATGAAAACACCACAGTCCAGGAGAATAGACTACTCTTACAGAGGCTCACTACATACATAGTCAATGAGAAGAGGTACTTTATGTTGGAATAGAATTGAAAAGTTGGAAAATTATCAAAAAACACAATTTTTATCAAGATACTGACTCCATCAGTTTTCTTATCAACAGATTTGATTGCATTTTATTCATGTAAGTACAGATCATATGTAAGTGACCCAATTGCCAGGGGGATAACTGGTGTATCAGTGTCCAGAATAAAAAACTGAAAAAATTACAAAAAATTAACTGATATTCTGTTATGATACAAACATTTGTGGAAAGGAAAATCAGAATGCAAAGCACATTTCATATTTCTACATATTTCTTCAACAATTGCTTTAATTGTATTTCTTGTCAAATTATTAAACAAACAATAATTTTAAATAGTACTATAATAATTTTTTCATTTCTTATTTCCATAGCCAAGTTGGAGAAGAGGTTTCTCAGGCTATACTTCATGCCCTCATTCCGATGGGGTCCCAGCTTTTGTCCCCCCTCAGTGAGGCCCTAGGGTTCTCAGAGCTGATGGTTGTCATGGCAACACTGGCAGGTGCTGGTGGCGGAGGGGGTCACTCTGCTCTCTTCAAAGCTGTAACTGCTTGGCTTGAGCTCTGGTAAGTCTCTTATTTCACTCTTTTTTATTTTCAAAATAATTTTTATGTCACCACCACAACTCAGTTGTGACATATTGTCATAGTCTCCAACTTTTTTGTGGATGGTGTTCAGCATTTGGCAGTTGGTGTTTGGTGGTTGTTGTTTGCTATTCGGCATCAGTAACAAATTGCAGGTGGTGACATAAATGCCTTGTTCATTTTTAGTTGCATTCACATCATAGTAAATGAAAAAGAAATTACATAGAATCACTTGTTTTTTCCACGCACTTGATATAAAATTTACTTTTCATTATTTATATCCAGCAAAACCTACCTTGCACAAAAGGATGTGATGGAGAAGCTAGAAGAGAATGTTACAAATGGAAAGCACCAGAATATTCTAGAGTCCACATGTTATCTACTGCAGTACATTGCAGACATATTGGGTGCTATGAGACAGAGCACCGACACCAGAGGGGGTGCAAGTAGCCCACCATTTGACGCAGATATATCTCTGCAGGTATGTGAGAGAAGGATTGTTTATTCGAGATTATTTGGAGTTTATTTCAAATCAAGATCTGGTTCACTTCCTTTTTGTAGTGTGTGTTCATGGTTTAACATTTGGCTGGTCATGATGAATATATGGTGGCTCATGGTTTCATTTCAGGAAACAGATGCCGATTGGTCAGAAGAGCTAGGCGCAGAGGAAGATGATTCTGCAGCAGAAGATTCTGACGATGATTCGTTGAATAACAAACTATGTACTTTCACTATGACACAGAAGGAATTCATGAACCAACATTGGTATGTTTCTCAAAATCATGTAGTGGATGTATATGAAATAGTAATGAAAAATGCTAAGAATGAGTATGTTGGCACACTTTAGGCAGGCATGCATGACTAATAGGATAAATTACAATTTACAAAAAAGTAGTACATTATGCAAGGCGTATGTCTAGAAAATAACTTTCATCACTAGAATTGGTGACATATTGTAAGTTTTTTTTGTGGATAGTGTTCAGTGGTTGGTGTTAGGCAGTCAGTGGTTGGTGTTCGGCATTTGGTAGTTGTCCGTAACAAATGGCAGGTGGTGAAATTTTCCATGTTAATCCCTTGTTTCATTTATTTTTACAGGTACCATTGTCACACATGTAAGATAGTAGATGGTGAAGGTGTGTGCACAATATGTGCAAAGGTCTGCCATAAAGACCATGAGCTTTCATATGCCAAACATGGTTCTTTCTTCTGTGACTGTGGAGCTAAAGATGATGGCACTTGCAAAGTAGGCAACAAATTCATTTCTATTGATGTTGTCATACTTTGATGGCTTGCTTTCCTTTTATATACAGTACCAAATTCCTTGAACTTTTGGATCACCCTGTAGATTGTCTTTTTGGTTAACATATCATATTTGGTTAACACAGGATCATGGTGAAATCTTTTCAAAAAATTTGACTTGAAATGTTTATCAGTTTATCACCAAAATATCAATGAATTTATATTGTAATGGATGTAATATGATAAATATGAAAATGAATTCAGCAACTTACAGTGAAACATCCTGTTATAACTTATACATTGAATATATTTTGAAAATTTCCTCTAACTATAGGCATTGGTGAAGAGAACACAAGCAAGTGGACTAGACCAAAGTCTTAATGTCTCTAGTGTGCCATCCCCATTCTCCATGGACAACATGCTACAGAGCTCACTACGACGCAGGATCTCTGCGTCTCCGTCACCCACAGACCAATCAAATGAAGGGAAGGTGGCTGAGAGCAAACTTTCAAAATCCAAGGAAGGATTTCTGAAACAGACTGAGGTTTGTGATTTGCTTTTGAAGTCCCATCATAATGTTTGTGAATCTGTATTAATGTTTGTGAATCTGTATTAATGTTTGTGAATCTGATTTAACTCTACAATCACATAAATTTGACTGATGAGCAGTTATGCTTTATCAACAACTTATCATGTATTGTTTCTACTAAAACCCCAAAAAATCGACTATTACCTTTATTGCATGTACATGTAGCATATTTTGTATTCTACCGAATAGACCTTTGCTATAAATGTATATTTGAAGCCTTAATACTGAAATGAATGATTACACATAATGTGTATCCTTCCAGGCATGTAGGCAGACCCTACTGAGCCATATAGAGTCATCCAATACTGTACACACTGTGCTGGACCTGCTCCAGTCACTAACGCCATCTATTATGGAGAACTACCAGAAGTTGTCCCCCTTAGGAAGTGCTAGCAGAGTACAAAAGGCACTCAGTGACTTGCATACACTGCCTAAGAATGTGGAATCAACTGATCAATTAATGGTATGTCCATCGTTCTCATTTTCTACATCTGTGTCATACAACCAAAATAATATTTATATTTAGTATTTTCATCTTTAATATTTGAAAAATCATCTTCAGTTAAGGGCAGGGTCAAAATATCAATGTTCATATGTTACATACAATGCAAGTACAATGTAACATGTGCATATGAAACTCAAGATATTAAGTCAAAATATTAATATTTTCAGACCGCCACACTTGGTTCCCAGGAAGGTGCTTTTGAGAATGTTCGTATTAACTACACAGGCGACCAAGGCCAGCAGATTCGTCAACTCATCACGTCACATGTGCTACGACGTGTGGCTATGTGCTGCCTAATGTCACCCCAGGGCAAACGTCAACATCTGGCTGTGAGTCACGAAAAAGGAAAAATAACAATTCTACAACTCTCTGCTTTGTTGAAACAGGCAGATTCCAGCAAGAGAAAACTGACTTTAACAGTGAGTGAAGTTTCCATCTAAGGCCTAGAGTATGAAAATAATATACATGTAAATGATCAATTTTAAACCTTCAGATATGTCAAATGTCTAGACCGTAATTGTAAAGAGAAAGAATCCCTAGTATGTAGAGATAAAATATTCTGAACATTTATTGTATACAATTTTGTCTGAACATTTATTGTATACAATTTTGTTTGATCCATTTTAGTCCTATTAACTTAACATGCGTGTTTTTGTTTACAGAGGCTAGCATCAGCCCCCATACCATTCACTGTACTCAGTATCACAGGCAACCCTTGCAATGAGGACTTCCTTGCAGTATGTGGACTCAAGGTATGTTACCATAAATACTCTACATTGAACTATATTCTGGAGAAAATGATTGTAGTTAGAAAGCGAGCTGAGTAAAGTCATTGAATGCTAGCAGAAGGACAATGGTTCTGCTTTAGTGTATTAAGTCCAAGAATATTCAATTTCTGAATGGGTACATACATGTGATATTTTAGAAGAAATAATGATAATTTCTCACTTTACATATTTTTTCACAGATGTGTCACTAATTCCAATCATATATGGATGTTGAGGTTATCATGAAGTCCATGTGCTCAATATTTGTGAATTTCATTTCAGGAATGCCATGTGCTCACATTCAACAGCTCTGGAAGTGTATCTGATCACTTGGTGCTTCATCCATCTCTGGAGACAGGCAATTTCATCATCAAAGCGGTGTGGTTGCCAGGCTCTCAGACAGAACTGGCTATAGTTACAGCAGACTTTGTCAAGGTACTATTCTGAATGTTTTGATATTGACATATTTGAATCACATATGTTTCATTTGAAATTATGTAGTTTTTGAAAATTTACAAAAAAAATAAATATGTATCAACTGTTCACTTTTATTATTCTTTTTTTTTCTTTTATTCTTTATTCCTACCCACACTTGTGAGTATAAAATAGTACATATACATACAATGATAATACAGTTTAGTTTAATTCACTACCACCAATAATCTTCATCAATTTACTTAATTGCACAGAATATTTAATATTTGACAACAAACTTTTAAATTTTAACATATTTGGTTGTCTATTGCATTTACTTTTTTATTTTAGAAATTGAGTTTTTAATTTATTTATCGAAGATTAATTCAATTTTATGTAAACAAATATTTTAACAGTGAATACATGTCTATGTGTGCACACTGAGTTTTACAATTACAAATTATACAGGTACTTAGATTAGTCACATGTTAAGATTGGCTGTCATCTATTTTAAATTATTTTCCAGATCTATAATCTTGCGGTCGATGCGATCAGTCCACAATTTTACTTCCTGCTACCAAGCGGCAAAATCCGCGACACAACGTTCATCTTCACTGAAGATGGTCACCACATGTTGCTGATGTCATCAAGTGGCTATGTCTACAGCCAAACGATGGAAGAATCCAGCAGCGCAACTCACGGGCCATTTTACATTACGAACATTCTTGAAATTAAGCATGCTGATTTGAATGAGTCAAATGGTCAGGTTGCTGGGGGTGGTGTGTCCCTGTATTACTCGCATACACTGCAGTTACTATTCTTTAGTTACAGCCAGGGAAAGACATTCATTGCTCCAATAAACAAACAACTGGATAAGCTTGATATGATGTTCCAAGTCACGTTGAAAGGGTATGTAGTAATCAAAATGTTTAATTCATGAAGGGAATCCTGCCAGAGTCATTTATTTCTATACCATATCTGCGAGTTTTTATGTAAAATCTAGTAAACCGATTCCTTCATCATCAGTGTTTGTTCTCAATCTTAAATTATAACAATTTTTCAAACTCAATACAAATAATTATAGAATTTCTTGATGAAAAATAATAATTTTTATGATTCACAGAAAATAACCCTTGCACTTATTATCGTTATTATATTTTAGAAGAGATGGCAAGGGAGCTCCACCACTTGTCCAGTGGACAGAAGTGCCGAACCACCCAGGCCTGGTGTGCTCTATGACACAGTCCAACAGTAACCCTGTGGTGTTTATGCTAAAACCTGATGGCATCTCAGTACAGGAAATCAAAGTCATGCCTGCTAAAGCAAAGGTAATGAAGGCTTCGGGTAGTGCCACATCATGAGTGGAATTTTCCATAGGAGTAGTGGAATTTTCCCCTTGGTGGTTAACTTTAACTTAGTAGTTAACAGTACATGAAATCTAAGTTATGCCTGCTAAAGCAAAAGTAAGGAAGGCTTCAAATAATATTCTCTCAAGGTCTCACAAACAATATAAAACAATCCCATTTTTCAAAGATATGTACACTGGTAAGAAAGTCACATCATGAGTGGAATTTTCCATATGAGTAGTGGAATATTCCCTTTGGTAGTTAACTTTTCCTCTTGTAATTTTCTGTTTTCGCAATATTCAATCAAGTTTATTTATGCAACCTTCAAACAATATAGGTTATCATTTATAACATCTGTACACCACTAGTAAAACTTCCTGAATTATTCCATCTGGCTTTAAAAACTAAATATAATGTAACAATCAAAGGGGAGGACATAAAGGCCACATAAATTAATGCTAAATCGGTTATAATACAAATTAAAATGTTTAACTGAACGTACAAATCAAGGTCACATTTTGTACCTATTTATCAAGAAAAGAAATACTAATATCATATCTTTTTATACACTTTATTTATTTCTTCAGAGAATCAGTTTATTTTATCCAGACTTTCGACTTGTATCCACAAGTCTTTTTCAAGTGTTTAAGTAATTATATAAACGGGAGAGGTGAACTTACATAGATCTATATTTGATATCATTAAATGTATTCCACATTCTAGATCCAAGACATGGTTGCTGTACGTCACCCAACATCAAACAATGAACAACACAGAACTACATTGATCTTGCTATGTGAGGATGGCAGTTTAAGGATCTACATGGCCAACCCTGACCACACCAACCACTGGATGTCACCCCTTTTACAGCCACATAATGCTATTGCTATACTCAAACCTACCAAGAAGAAGAAAAGCGCTAAAGCGGGTATGAGGAATATATGATTGCTACCTCTTATAATTGCTATGTTTTTTTCTGAGTTATTATCAACAAAAAGTGCTGTATTGTTTTGTTTTTTTAATATGTATTCAGAACAATATTGTTGAACAGTAAAATGAAATAATGAAATCATGAAAAAATCAAGAACTGAGACAAGTTTGGGATATTCCCAGTTTAAATATACATTAAGTATTTCACACACAGCCACTTAAATGGTCCAGAGAGAAGACTACGCATCATAACTCACAAGAACGTCCTGTCCAAACTCCCATATTGAACAACCCATTTTTATCACACAACAAATCTGTTTCAGGTCGGCCAGCAGGCTCAGTTAACTTCCCAGTGGATTTCTTTGAGTTTGCCCAGCATACAAACACTGTAGAGTTTGGAGGGAATGATGTCCTACAAATCTACAATGCGCAACAGATCAAACACAGACTCAACACAACTGGCATGTACATTGCAAGTTCAAAGGTAAGAATTCAAAATTACATTGTAATTACACTGTAGAGTTTGGAGGGAATGATGTCCTACAAATCTACAATGCGCAACAGATCAAACACAGACTCAACACAACTGGCATGTACATTGCAAGTTCAAAGGTAAGAATTCAACATTACATTGTAATTACACTGTAGAGTTTGGAGGGAATGATGTCCTACAAATCTACAATGCGCAACAGATCAAACACAGACTCAACACAACTGGCATGTACATTGCAAGTTCAAAGGTAAGAATTCAACATTACATTGTAATTACACTGTAGAGTTTGGAGGGAATGATGTCCTACAAATCTACAATGCACAACAGATCAAACACAGACTCAACACAACTGGCATGTACATTGCAAGTTCAAAGGTAAGAATTCAACATTACATTGTAATTACACTGTAGAGTTTGGAGGGAATGATGTCCTACAAATCTACAATGCGCAACAGATCAAACACAGACTCAACACAACTGGCATGTACATTGCAAGTTCAAAGGTAAGAATTCAAAATTACATTGTAATTACACTGTAGAGTTTGGAGGGAATGATGTCCTACAAATCTACAATGCGCAACAGATCAAACACAGACTCAACACAACTGGCATGTACATTGCAAGTTCAAAGGTAAGAATTCAACATTACATTGTAATTACACTGTAGAGTTTGGAGGGAATGATGTCCTACAAATCTACAATGCGCAACAGATCAAACACAGACTCAACACAACTGGCATGTACATTGCAAGTTCAAAGGTAAGAATTCAACATTACATTGTAATTACACTGTAGAGTTTGGAGGGAATGATGTCCTACAAATCTACAATGCACAACAGATCAAACACAGACTCAACACAACTGGCATGTACATTGCAAGTTCAAAGGTAAGAATTCAACATTACATTGTAATTACACTGTAGAGTTTGGAGGGAATGATGTCCTACAAATCTACAATGCGCAACAGATCAAACACAGACTCAACACAACTGGCATGTACATTGCAAGTTCAAAGGTAAGAATTCAACATTACATTGTAATTACACTGTAGAGTTTGGAGGGAATGATGTCCTACAAATCTACAATGCGCAACAGATCAAACACAGACTCAACACAACTGGCATGTACATTGCAAGTTCAAAGGTAAGAATTCAACATTACATTGTAATTACACTGTAGAGTTTGGAGGGAATGATGTCCTACAAATCTACAATGCGCAACAGATCAAACACAGACTCAACACAACTGGCATGTACATTGCAAGTTCAAAGGTAAGAATTCAACATTACATTGTAATTACACTGTAGAGTTTGGAGGGAATGATGTCCTACAAATCTACAATGCGCAACAGATCAAACACAGACTCAACACAACTGGCATGTACATTGCAAGTTCAAAGGTAAGTGTTCAACATTACATTGTAATTAAACATTGTCTTTTATTTTGTAACATTAAGTGGTGCTTTAAATGCTCAAATATTTTGTTGCAGTATGTACATTGCAAGTTCAAAGGTAGGAATTTATTTTCTTGTTGTAGTCTCCAACTTTTTTGTGGATGGTGTTTGGTAGTCGATGTTTGGTGTTTGGCATTTGGCAGTGGGCAATCAGCTTTCCCCAGTCGGCATTAGGCATCTGTAACAAATAGCAGATGGTGACATTTTTCATGTTAATGCCTTGGATTTTGTTATATTAAATGGTGCTTTTAATGCTCAAATATTTTGTTGCAGTATACACATATTTGACATGTAAATGTTGATGATATACTATGTGTACATTTTAATATATGTAATTTTTACTTACAATTTCCAGCCATCTGGTTTCACTATTGAAGTGACCAATACAACAGTCAGTAATGTAATGGTTGGAATTAGAGTGCTGGTTGGCAGTCAGAGTGTGGAGAGAGCACCTACATATGTGGAGATGTTTGGCAGAACAGTGCAGGTATGTATTGAGTACAGTATGATCGTGGCATTGATCATTTTATTTTCATAATTTAATCTATATTGCGAACCAGAGATATTTGACAGAACAGTACATGAATGCAAAGCATTGGAAAAATTAGGCCAAGTGTAGGAAATGTATGTCCCTGCCCTTGTCATATTAACAATAAAGCCTTTCCTTCCAGGTGAATGTGACTAAGGCTCGCTGGTATGACATCCCCTTCACAAGGGAGGAATCTCTATGTAATGTATCATATTTGCAATGTTCTATTCCAGGTGAATGTGACTAAGGCTTGTTGGTATGACATCCCCTTCACAAGGGAGGAATCTCTATGTAATGTATCACATTTGCAATGTTCTATTCCAGGTGAATGTGACTAAGGCTTGTTGGTATGACATCCCCTTCACAAGGGAGGAATCTCTATGTAATGTATCATATTTGCAATGTTCTATTCCAGGTGAATGTGACTAAGGCTCGCTGGTATGACATTCCCTTCACAAGGGAGGAATCTTTATATAATGTATCATATTTGTAATGTTCTTTTCCAGGTGAATGTGACTAAGGCCCGCTGGTATGACATCCCCTTCACAAGGGAGGAATCTCTATATAATGTATCATATTTGTAATGTTCTATTCCAGGTGAATGTGACTAAGGCCCGCTGGTATGACATCCCCTTCACAAGGGAGGAATCTCTATATAATGTATCATATTTGCAATGTTCTATTCCAGGTGAATGTGTCTAAGGCTCGTTGGTATGACATTCCCTTCACAAGGGAGGAATCTCTATATAATGTATCATATTTGCAATGTTCCATTCCAGGTGAATGTAACTAAGGCTCGCTGGTATGACATTCCCTTCACAAGGGAGGAATCTCTATATAATGTATCATATTTGCAATGTTCTATTCCAGGTGAATGTGTCTAAGGCTCGTTGGTATGACATTCCCTTCACAAGGGAGGAATCTCTATATAATGTATCATATTTGCAATGTTCTATTCCAGGTGAATGTGACTAAGGCTCGCTGGTATGACATCCCCTTCGCAAGGGAGGAATCTCTACAAGCTGACAAGAAGTTCAACCTGATAAGTATGTGCCATTTCTTAATGAAAATTCTAGCCAATTAAGTAAATCTAAATTTAAAAAACAGTCTTTATTTCTAATGCTTTTTACGTAAAATAAAGTTTTGTCATTTCTCAAAACATCTGGAACCATCCAGGGTGTGTAGGTTTTGATTTTTTCACTAAGCAAAGTATTAATACATCTGCACCTTGTTTGAGGTTAACATATTTGAAAAGGCCTAAATATTATCTCTCTAGTGGTACAAAAGAAAGAAAGAAAGAAAGAAACAAACAAACAAACAAACAAACAAACAAACAAACAAACAAACAAACAAACAGTAAATGTATGAGATGCATTCAATTATCTTTAAGGGTATCTGCATGGCAGTATTGTTGGAGACATTTGAATTTCAAGTATTCAAGATATTTTAAAAAACATACATACCCTGCATGCATTCTGTAATAGAGCACTCTGCATATTATATGGATGCATCCACCTTACTTCCAGTTGGCCCCAGTGTTGACCCAGCTGGAATCACCATGTTAGACTCACTGAAGATATATACTAAAACTAAGGAGGCATTTGGGTGGCCAGAGGACACAGAGGATTTCCCAGAGCCTGCTGGACCGAAGCCCGTAGTGGTGCCATCTAGTAGTAATAGTAGCACAGGCAGAAATGGAAGTAACGACACGGAGAATTCAAGTTTTGTAGCACCACTGCCACTGACATCTATTGACAGGTATGAACAACAAATATGGTAAACCTAATTGGGATTAACATTTTTTTAAAAACTTGAGTGTGAATGTGTAGAATTATGGTCCTCTGTGGATTTGTTCTCTCATTTGTATTGTTTACTTGGCCGATTGAGTATAAAAGTATACGGAAAATAATTGTAATTAGATCCCTGGAAAAGTGAATATAGAGAGGGACACCAATACAACAAGAAAATACATAAGACAAAATGCATCAGTTTTTCACAGATTTTATTCTGAATGGCTGCCCACCACCCAAATGAAAATATTTTGCTAAATTGACTTCAAGCGGAGATATTTACATAATATAAAGGGTATCCATAATGTCTCTACACTTTACATAGACTGTGTATTGTAATTGTTAAGAGACTTTATGGACACCCTGACTTTACGGACACCCTGTATTATTATGTCACTACCACAAGTGATGACATATTATTACAGTTTCCAACTTCTTGTGGATGGTGTTCGGCGGTTGGTGTTCAGGGTTTACCAGGGGTCCTTTTCTGTAATGCCTTGGTCACATTTGCTCCAATTTTCACTACGGCGCCTGGTCGATTGAGTATTTTGTTCAGAAATGTATTCAGTTTTGAACAAAATTCTCAATCGGCTGGGCGGCGGCCGATGAATCGCAGCAAATGTGACCCAGGCATAACACATGGCAGTTAGTGACATTTTGCATGTTAATGGTTTATCTTCACTTGAATGTATTTCAGACTTCTCAGTAACTCATTGGAAGTGTTAGATGGATGTTTTGCTTGTTGTGCTAACATAGAAGAAAGAGACCCCGTCAGATCTATTGCATTGGATATCAGCACAAACCTGCTGACTCTGCCTACTCCACCACCAGTCCAACAACACACTAAATCATTGCTGGCGTCCCTTCATAGCAACAATATAGCCTACCATAACCACAAGGTATGTAATGTTGCAACATAATAACCTACAATAACCACACGGTGCGTTACATTGCAACAATATAGTCTACCATAACTTCTAGGTATGTATACCATAGCAACAATTTAACCTACCATAACAACAAGTTATTGTAGGTATGTTACATAGCAACAATATGGCCTACCATAACAACAGAGAAGTGTAACATAACAAGAATGTTACATCTCATTACACTCACAATATTTTCAAATGTTGTTTGGCTTGACACTCAACACCAATATATTACACTTAACACTGTACAATTGTGGCATCTCACATTTCTTGTTAAAACTCTTCATTGAAATAGGAATATTTACATGCATATATAATCTGTGTGTATATAGTAGGGCTGGTAGGGAACTGTATCTGTATCTACCTGTTCATTTTTAATAGACTTTGGAACTTCTATCTCACTTGTTTTATATACATTAGAATTTGAAATAAATGAATCAGAGTTGACTCTATATATTGAATGCCTTTTATAGAGGCCAGTTCTTAAGTCTTTTCCATTCTTTGCCAGTCTGTTTATCTATATAAATGATACCTTGGCCTAGATATGATTAAGACAACAAAGTAACAATATGTTTTGCATGTAAAATTAAGCAAATGGAGAATTCTAAAAGTGAAAGTGTCATGCTTGAAGTTTTTCCCCTAGAAACACAACTACAGTGCCATCTATAGCAAGGTGTCAGTTGTAGCACACTGACATTGTCTGGTATGTTAGCTTTATTCTCTGTATTTGATAATGTGAATGTTTCCATGCTGATCACCAACTAACGCATGTCCTTCATGATTAACTACACATGCTTTTGGTTGAACTAAGCCATCAGATTTTGTCATCAGGTATTGAAGGAATGTTCCATTAGGTGACAACAAGTGCACTCTTTTGTTCAAAGAGTCAATCACTATGACATTGTCTGCATTGTCTGTACATATTCCAGCAGGGTGATATAACTGGTTTTGCCCACTTCCCTGTGTGCCATATCTAAACACTACATCACCATCTCTGGTGATAGCTGTAACCCTATGGGCCAGATAATCAGACACTATCACCACATCCTTGCTATTGGTAGCTATATACAATGGATACTCAAACAAACCTAGAGTTGACTTGGCAAGTATATCACCAGATGTTATATCCACATGATATATTGACTTATCCCCAAAGTCACTGACAATTAATTCATTTTTAGAGTTCACACTTAATCCAAGAATATGATTCAATTTTGGTACTTCCATTTGTCTAACATGAGAACCATCTGCTTTAATGAATCTAATAAAGGGTATTTTGCTTGTTGTAAACCCTATAAGCTTACTCTTTGTTGTGATGACATTGGATACGTAATAATTAATTTCAAAGTATTTTATTTGCTCCAATTTGCTGTTATACATATAGACTGATCCTTCCTCAACTGTGATAAGTTTGTCATTGTCAAACATCTGAAGGCTTTGTATATATCCATTTAGCTTCTTTGACACTAATACCTCAGGTTGGATAACCTTTTTCACATGGTGATCTAGAGATGACAGACAGATACCAGCAATGAGAACAGCTACAGCTAATACTATGAGAAGAAAGGTGAAGATGTCTTTAGTCATAGCAGTGTCCTTTATTGTGACTTCCTCAAGTGTGATCGCATCAGTCTTTACAGTATCTTTCACTGTTACTTTCCCAAGTTTGATTGTTATTTTTCCAAGGCTTTCAGAATAGTTTTTGATTTTTCCAGGCTGTGTTTTAATGTGAAGAGTTTTGCCGTTGAAGTCAGGTTTAGGATTTTGTTTCCATTGCTTTCTTTTTCTGTGGATTTCATTTGTGATATTAGCCAACTCTGCATTGTTAGTTTTGTCTTTCATTGTATGTAGTTGGTCAATGGTGTTTTCAATGTTGGCTTTCTTGTCTTCAATATTCTTAATGTGATCTTCTGCTGGATTCGTACAATCCTCAATCTGTTTAATTACATCATCAATTCTACTGGTGTAACTTTCTCTAATAGTAAGTATAGCAGCATTCATCTCATTTGTTAATACATCAGTGGCATTATTGAGAGTTCTTTGCATGTTATCTCTGTACAGTTTAGCTTGTTTAATTGCAGTGTCAAAAACATCTACCCTGTTTTCTCCATCTTTGAGAAGCTCATCAATAAGTATTTTGTTGTTTTCTGCTGCCTTGTGTATGTCCACATATTTATGGCCTTTGTGATTGATTGCAATGCATTCAGAGCAGATAGCACTATTGTCATCCTCGCAGAACCAATTCAGAACATTGTTTTTGTGTTTTGGACAGTTAACTTTGGGTTCTTTCATGTATTCATATAACATTTTCTCATCTTCGATTTTATCATCTGTCAGGTTCAATATGGCATGGCCACTTACAAAATTATCATGCAATTGTCTGCATTTAGCACATAACACTTTACTACAGTTAATGCACATAACTCGTGCTATTTTGTCAATATTCTGGATAGCACATACAGCGCATGTAGGTTTGCCATCTTGATGAAATGTCTCAAACAGCTTACTGGAAGTATCATCTTGTATCAAGCTTATCTTGAAATTCTTTACCCCTCCTTCAGGTATCATATGTTCCTCTCTACAGCCAGGGCATTTTAACTGGAAGCCTCTTTGTCCATCCTCCACAAGTTTGTCTAGGCATTCCACACAATATATATGCATACATGGAAGTATCCGTGGACTTCTCAAAGTCTGGTTGCATAATTTACAGACCAGTATGTTCAAATCTTGCGATGTTGCGGCACTCATTGTTTCATTAGTTTTCAAGTTGAATGTGATTTTAACATGTGATTTGGGCGTTTTACATCTAAAAGAACAATGTAAAGATAACTATATCAACAAGTTCATTGTAAATGGTACGAGTTTGTATCTCAGTATATTTTGTTAAATATTAACAAAAAAAACAATAGGCTGACTGATAATTCTGTTACTATTAAAATGTACTGCAATTGTTCAAGGACCACACATGGCAATCTTTGAAAAACATTAAACATTGAAGAACTTACAATAAACTAAATGGCACAATAATTAGATAACACAAAGGGCAATAATTAGATAACACAATTGGTAATAATTAGATATTACATAAGGCAATAATTAGATAATACAATTGGTAATAATTAGATAACACAAAGGCCAATAATTAGATATTACATAGGGCAATAATTAGATAACACAATTGGTAATAATTAGATAACACAAAGGCCAATAATTAGATATTACATAGGGCAATAATTAGATAACACAATTGGTAATAATTAGATAACACAAAGGGCAATAATTAGATATTACATAGGGCAATAATTAGATAACACAAAGGGCAATAATTAGATAACACAAAGTGCAATAATTAGATAACACAAAGTGCAATAATTATTAGATAACACAAAGGGTAATTATTAGATAACACAAAGTGCAATAATTAGATAACACAAAGTGCAATAATTGAAAACTAAAAAAATCTAGAATAGTATGAACCATCAATTTATTAGATAAATAGATAAATATAACAACACAAACTATTTCTTATATGGACCAACTTAAATAGTAATTAAAAATATATATATGTATATATATGTATATGTATTCAAGGAATTTTGACTTGTGATAATTATTAAAATCATTGTTTTCTGCCATAAATGCAGCATTGACTATATATGTATTGTACATATTGTATGTATTGTATGATGTGTATTTCAGGACCAGGCCCAATTAGCACATGTTGTGCAGTGCCTCAACCAGTATGGCAGTAACCTTGACCCCGAGGCATTCCAACGTTTGGTTGTTACTGCCAGGTCAGTTGCCGTGGCGAGGCCTGCTAACCTAGTGAGATTTGCAGAGAAAGACAGCAGTACACTGGTCAGTGAGTCAGGTAGGTTTCTGTGTGTTACATCATCATTTCTGACACATATTACTGTGAATATTATGTAACCATGTTTATTCCATAGTTAGCATGATATTCATTAGATAACATGTGAAAATAAAAACGGTATTTTTGTAATCAGTGGTAAAATATGATATTTTTGACAAATTTTCGCTTAACCATAGCATACAGTTTTTAGCCATGACATACGACGTCGTATGCGATGGTTAATGGATTTTTGCTACTTCAGACTCAAAACGAGGCTAAGTGTCAACATCGCCAGATCGTTTGGAAAATTCGAATTAAATGACTTAATTTCCGACAATTCTGATGATGACTTTAACTATGGAATAAAAAGAACATCCTATGATTTACTCGTGATATGATTTTAATCCACTCATGGATATTGATATCTGCACTCTCTCGCTACGCTCGCTCGTGCAGATATCATATCCATTCGTGGATATATATAACTTTTATTGACATCTTGTATCTAAAAATAAATAAATATCTAAACTACAAATACTAACTAAAGCAAAAGTACAAAAATATATACGAGATATACAAAAACCCAAAATAAAGGTAGTATACATCATGATGAAAGGACAAGGTTACATTTAAAGTGTGGTGCACATACCCTGCATTCTGACTACAAATTCTTAAATGAATGATAAATGAATTTTCCAATGTGTCTTTGTAATGTTAAGTTTTTACTTGAAATGAGATTGACAAATAAATTTTCACTATTGAGGTCAAAGTTACTTAAAATTTCACGAGCCTTAGTGTACAATAATTGTCTATGCTCATCATTCTTTGTACAAGTTAAAATGAAATGACATTCATCCTCTATATGTTTACAGGTATTGCATAACCTTTCCTCTCTAGGTTTTGGTTTTGGCTTTGCATGTCTTCCAGTCTCAATCGCCAATCGATGAGAACTCATTCGAAATCTACTTATCGCCAACCTATACTTTTTATTATCTAATTTCAAATATAATTCAATTCTAAAATCTTTTTTGAACAATTTATACGTTCTCAGTATAGGATAAATGTTCAAATCATTTTTCCATTTTTCTACAAATAATACCTTCAACTTCTTTTCTACCATGCTCACTAGATTGTCAGTATTCAGATTTTGGTCATTCCAATAATCCAATAAATCACATTTTCTGAGTATATTATAGACCTTGCTAGACCAACTTTTGAATCCTAACTCTTGAATATCTCTATCATATAAATAGGCTTGGTTTAATACATTGGATTCTAGAAATGTTAGAAGTCTAAGCCAATATTTTATAATATAACACTCAAATTTGATTGACAATGGGTACCTGCCTAGATCACCATACACAGCAGGGCTTGCAGTTTGTGATTTGACACCTAATGTTGACTTTAAAAAAGACAAATGTATGGATTCAATTGCTTTCATTTGTTTTTTATCATACCATATTTCACATGCATAAGATAAAATTGGACTGACCAAAGCATTAAACAGATGAAGAGCTACATCTGGTGGCACATCATTAAACTTTTTATATTGCTGTTTTATCTTAAAAAGAGCCTTTCTTGATTGTTCTTTAAGATATTTAGTGTTCATATCAAAACTTTTGTAATTGGTGAGAATGAGACCTAAATATTTGTATTCATTAACACATTCCATACTTTTATCATTAAATTCAAATTTGAAAGATCTTTTGGAATTGAAGATTAATGCTTTAGTTTTCATTATATTGACAATTAACCTATTAGTCTTACAGAAAGCAAAAAGTGCGTCAAGTAATGTCTGCAATCCTTCACTGGATTCTGAAATCAATATGAGGTCATCTGCCCATAGAAGGTGGTTAAGCCTCTTATCATTTAAAATTACTCCACAGTGCGTTGGTAAATATAGTGCAAGATCATCTATAAAGTGATTAAATAAGAAGGTACTGAGAACACTCCCTTGTAAAACTCAAACATCTGTATTAAAATAGTCAGATACTCCATTTTTCAACTTAAGACAAGACTGAGATTTGAAGAACATACTGTCAATGATTTTGTACATTTTGCTATTGGGGTTTACACCGCTCTTACAGAGTTTGTATAGCAGGATTGACCTATCAATATAGTCAAACGCTTTCTTGAAGTCAACCATACATGTAAAAAGAGGTTTTTTAAGCAGTTTAGATTTGTTAACTAATGTCTGTAATATAAATATGTTATCGATTGTTCGGCTATTTTCTTTATATGCACCTTGCAGAGGATCTTGAGAATTTTGTACCTGTGCATTAAAAACAAGTCCATTTTGAATTACAGAATCAAATATATTACCAATACAAGCTAATACATTTATACCCCTGTAGTTATCTGCTTTAAAATGACTCCCTTGTTTAAAGAGAGCACTTAGCATACCAATGCTCCAGTTACGTAGGTATTCACCGCTGTCGAAAATTACATTAAAAAGTGCTGTAAAATCTGGAATAAGTACTTCACAACTCTTAATTATGTTTGATGGGATACCATCAATGCCAGCTGATTTATGAGAATTTACTTTTTTTAAAGCATTGTACACCTCAATTTGACTAATTCTGCCATCTATAATATTATAACAAAGATTTAAATTAATGTCATCAGAATTATTTTGAATGCTATCTTGAATAAATTCATTCATCTTTTGAAGTGTATCATTATCAAAATAATCCATGTTTGGAGGCTTTGCCAGATTTTGAAAATAGGTTAATAAATCCTCAGGGGGTACTGATATATCTCTAATTATATTTCCTGGCATTGCATTAATTAATTGCATTAATAAGTTTCCAAAAATCGGTTGAAGATTTAGACCTATTTACTACCAAACTGTCTAACATTCCTGCTTAAAACCTTCTTTTTTCCCGCTGTTTAGTTTGATTGTATTCTTTGATAAGTTGGTTAATATGAGTTTCATCAAGTTTAGTTTTGATAGCATCATGAACTTTTCTTTTCAACATTTTACATTCATCAAGCATTTATAGGAAATTTACTGCTTTTGTTTGATTTTAATTCTTTAAGTTTAAATGTTCCCTCACAAGCATGATGTATTACATTTAAAAGTTTACTTAATAGTTCATCTGTCCCAATATTAGAACAGCCCAATTCAGTATAGAAAGTGGTCAACAATTCATTACTAGTTTGATCACTAAGTTTTTGGATGAATTCATTTGTCTGTGCCGCTTCCCATTTGTATGACTTAAAAGAATTAATATTAAATGTATTCTTTCTTTGATCTGATACACTAGCTTTAAAACGTGTTTTTCCTGATTTTGTTAGTGAAAGTGAAAAATGCAAAGGGGCATGATCAGATTCTACCCTTCTATCATGTACTTTAAAATCTGATATCAATGGAATTATAATAGGTTGAATTACTACATAGTCAATAACAGATTTGCCAAGGTCAGAGTTTGATTCACAATTATGAGTGAAGTTCCGATAACAAGTGTACTTTCCAACTTCTTTGTCACTATAGAGACGCCCATTGAGTATTTTCATGTTTGCTGATTTACATAATGATAAAAATTCTCTCCCGTGTGTTTGCGAAATTGCCCTTACATTTTTATCCATAGAGTTGCGTGTTCTGAAAAGATCATCAATTTTGTTTCCATTTTCTTGTCTAAGCATTGACTCATTAATGCTAAAAATATCTACTGGTAAATCACCATTACTACCAAGTATATCTATGTTACTATCAGTAAGATTAGCTGTTCGGGCATTCATATCACCACAAATTATTGTCTTCCCCAAGGTTTGATAATGAGCTATTGATATTTCTAGTATGTCAATATTATTTGGCCCTGTTGCAGATTCATACACAGAGCCTTTAAATGGCAAATAGATAAAACATATAAATAAATCTTCTTCAATATTAAAATTAGTGGCACTTAATTTTATCCAGACGAAAAAGTCATGAGATTGTGGAAGTATATCAATACCACCTGTACTATATTCATCACTGATCAACACTGCAAGCCCACCTGAGTTATTGAAATGCACTCATAAATCATAGGATATCCTCTATTTATAGTATGGTCAGAGCAATATCAGGTATATAATATCAAGTGATAAGCCACTTATTTGGGACAGGCATGATATCAAGGATGATATCATGATTAGAGGGCTGATGTCAGGGATGATATTGATATCATTTTTTACATTTTTTCCAAAAATGATTCATATAAGTCTTTTTTCAAAAAATTTTAAGTTTTTCGAAATTCTTATTTTTCCAACATTTTTCATTTTTTCAAAACACTTTCAATTTTGGACTTTAAAAATAATTTTCATTTTTCAAATTTTTTTTAAGGTATTATGTTTTTCTTTTTCCTATATTTTCAATGCACATTAGGATGGGATAATATGTAACTTTAATATTCCTAAGAGTCAAACATTTTTTCTCATTCAACAGAGGACTTAAAGTAGATATTGCTCTTGACCATGGTATAAGGTTGTTGCTTAATACCACATGGATTCTGGAAATATTTTATAGGCTAAACAACAGCCAGCAAAATGTAGAAATGAAATCTACATGATAAGACACGAATCAGTAAAGTGTAAATGTTAATAAAATTAAATATAATATCAATCAATTTAACATGGAAAATTCAAAAAATGACTGTATTTCTTCAGCCCTGGAGATGACTGATATTGAGATCGAGGGTGATGATCAGATGAATGAATCCAGTGCTTCTACACCTAAGACTATTGTACCAGAGGCTGATACATTGAACAACTGTTTGACAACCACCAGAGAGGAGATGCAACACTTCATGGCCCAGTTGCTTGATGCATTCTGGAGGCTACATGGCTCTAAGCCTGCCAACCCTGCTCTGGCTCCAGTCTGTATGCCTGGTGAGTCAACTAACGTTTCCTTTAAATTAGAATTTTCTGAAACGTTTTGTTATTTTGTTGATCAAGTTGTTTATGGGAGATTTAACTGGAAAATGTAAGTTCAGTCTGATTATCTTTGGGTCGACTAATCATTTAAAAACCTCTAGAATTTTCTGGAACTTATAGAATTAATAAATTGTTAATTGTGAAAGAGTTTGTGTGAGTCTGTATGCCTGGTGAGTCAACTGATCAGTTAACAAAATTTTGGAACTTTTAGTGCATTGTATATAGTGTTATAAATGTCTCCTGTGAGAGAGTTTGTCAGAGTTTTGATTTAGTTCAATTAAATGATGGCATAAAGTTTTTATTTCTTTATTGATCTGTTTTGATGACAAAAAATAAAGTTTATTTAATTCAAGTTCAAATCATTACATTGCGATCTCGTAGTTGAGGGAAAATCCTACAGGTAACATAAACCAGTTTGATGAGACCATACTAGTATCACAGATTGCAAAGAATGGCAGGAATACATTGTTATTTTATTTCTAGGTTTGAGCCATGTTGAGGCAACAGTGAGTGCATTGGTTGAAATAACCAATGCACTCACCAGAGGAGCGTACACCTGGCAGCTAAACTGTATGCTAGGATGTTACTATCATTAGAAATACAATAATACTTTATTCATCTATTTTTCATCTATTTCTAGGTTTGAGCCATGTAGAGGCAACAGTGAGTGCATTGGTTGAAATAATGCATGCATTCACCAGAGGAGCGTACACCTGGCAGCTAAACTGTACGCTAGGATGTTACTATCATCAGAAATACAATCATACTTTATTCATCTATTTTTCTTCTATTTCTAGGTTTGAGCCATGTAGAGGCAACCGTGAGTGCATTGGTTGAAATAATGCATGCATTCACATCATACAACCAGAGCAGCGTACACCTGGCAGCCAAACTGTACGCCAGGATGTTACTATCATCAGAAATACAATCATACTTTATTCATCTATTTTTCTTCTATTTCTAGGTTTGAGCCATGTAGAGGCAACTGTGAGTGCATTGGTTGAAATAATGCATGCATTCACATCATACAACCAGAGGAGCGTACACCTGGCAGCTAAACTGTACGCTAGGATGTTACTGTCATTAGAAATACAATAATACTTTATTCATCTATTTTTCATCTATTTCTAGGTTTGAGCCATGTAGAGGCAACAGTGAGTGCATTGGTTGAAATAATGCATGCATTCACATCATACAACCAGAGGAGCGTACACCTGGCAGCTAAACTGTACGCTAGGATGTTACTATCATCAGAAATACAATCATACTTTATTCATCTATTTTTCTTCTATTTCTAGGTTTGAGCCATGTAGAGGCAACCGTGAGTGCATTGGTTGAAATAATGCATGCATTCACATCATACAACCAGAGTAGCGTACACCTGGCAGCTAAACTGTACGCTAGGATGTTACTATCATCAGAAATACAATCATACTTTATTCATCTATTTTTCTTCTATTTCTAGGTTTGAGCCATGTAGAGGCAACCGTGAGTGCATTGGTTGAAATAATGCATGCATTCACATCATACAACCAGAGTAGCGTACACCTGGCAGCTAAACTGTATGCCAGGATGTTACTATCAGATGACTTGAGTGTTTCATTCTCTTGTAAACAAGCCATGATACGTGTACTCAGACCCCGACATAAGAGACGCCGCGTCTTCATCCCATCACCTCCTAGATGCAGCACACCAGGTTTGTACCCATAATGCAATTCATTTATTTCAATATGCATGTATTTTGTGATACATGCAGATAATCTTCTCTTATATCATGGTGATAAACTAGAATTGCATTAGTTTTCTATCCCACCTCCTAGATGTAGTACATCAGGAATGTGCATACAATATTATCCATTTTTTATTATGATCACGTGTACTTCGTACGTTTTTATACAAGTCTTGATCCTGCCCTAGCTCTATTGCAACAGTATTGGTTATATATAGCGCTACCATGGTGATATACTAGTGTTGTTGCATTAACTCTCTGTAGGTGCGGGGGGTAACAATGGTGATGACAAAGGTGATGATGCCCCTCCCCCTCCACCCCAAGGGGGTGCAGGTGTGGTTGAGCTCCCAGCCCCCATGGCCATTGCAGAGGAAGGACTTCAGGAGATTCCTGTACCTTATGAAGTTGTGGTGAGAATAAACAAACATTGTTTTGCATTCTTGCATGTGAAGTGCAACTGTAGTTTATCTTGTGCCTCTTACCAATATTTATTTATAAGTATTATTAAATTTCTTATTTTAGAGAAGGTTTTATTTGCCTTCTTTATATTTCAAAACTGATCACTGTTTAATTATTATCTCCAGGAGTCGTTGGTTAAGAATTTGTCTCTTGTTTGATAGGTAATGTGCTATATAAAAAGGTCATAAGTTCTAGCCCCACAAGATGCACTAGCCTCTTCGAAAACCTTAATCCAATTAAATTATAATGCCCCTATAGGAGTAGAATGTTTGGTTAAGAAACAATTTCCTTTTGTTTAAGAGGCACTGCGCTATATAAAAAAAAACTTATATTCATTTAATGTGTCCGTATAGGAGCCAGGAGAGGCTATGATGATGGAGCCCCCAGCACAGGCAGGCAACCAGAACTCTTTAGAAGCATTGATGAATGCTGTTGGGGGCCTACCTCCTATGTTAGATATACCACCAGATGCTGATGATGAGGCCATGGTGGAACTGGCTATTGCACTCAGCCTACAAGAACAGGTATGTTGAGGAGAGGCAGGGCATAGTGTATACAATTCATATGCAGTTGTGTAGAGTATCCAAGACTGAATAGACCGATGTCAATGCTTTGAAAGATAGGGTCACAATTTAGGAAATATGCATCGTAAAAATTGTGGCAACTGGCTGCTTTGTATTGTGCAGCTGACCCACCAAAATAGACAATAAGCTGAAATCACAACTTTGATAAAATAAATACAAGCCAGAAAAAAGATTTTGTCATGCTTGTAACGGAGCTGCCTATCTAATCAGATCTGTATGGGATAGAAGATAGAATAGAAGAAGATAGATAGACGACAAAGTATAGGCCTTTATTTAGACTATTTAAGAAGTATTTATTGGTTTACATATTTATGCAAATACATGCATTGTTTTAGCCTGGTAGTCAAGCAAGTCGTCTCAGTGGACTACAAGGTTTTTCCCTTGGGGGTCAGTCCAACGCTGGCCCTGATGGGGGTCAGTATTCTGACACGACTGCCTCTGCCCCAGGGAGTGATGATGAAGTAGGCAGTACTGCCGCTACTGATGGATCCACTCTCAGGACTTCCCCAGCAGAGCATGGGGGTAGTGCAGGATCAGAGAGTGGGGCTAGTGCAGTGGATTCCCTGGCTGATCAGGGTAATGGTAAGACAAGATATGTACTCACTGTATGTAGTCACTTCATCAAATCATATCAGAATATATGTACTCATCCATCTCAGTATCCTCTGCTATTTAACATAGTATACTTTAAAAGCCCAATTTTTCAAGGTGGCCTAATTTCCACTATTTTCGCTGAAGAGGCTAGACCGTGAAATTAAAACCACAGTGAAAATTTGATGTAACATTCAATTGGATATTTCTTCAAAGAGTGAAATTTAATGCCCATGAAACATTTCAGATTGACAAAATAGTGAAATTTTTTGTCAGCGAAAATGTGGGTTTTACCAATATTCGCATCTCATTTTGATGTCAACACCATTGCCTAAGTATTCATAGTACCTTATGTTTAGTGAGTGGTCGTAGCAGTGCATATGAAGACAACCAACCAGAGAACACAACAGCAGGTGTACGCAGTGAAACATCCAGCCTGGGAATGCCCAGTTCCTCCATGCAACCTGAGGCAGACCTGAATGACACTGATATGGACACTGAACTGGACACATCACACAGGTATGACACACCACATTGCATTGGTATGACACATCACATTGGTTTGAGAGTAAAACTGTCCCCTTAAAAGACCCCTTAAAGGCCCCTTAAATGTATGTAAGAAAGTGTCCATAAAAAAGACCCCTTAAAGGCCCCTTAAATGTATGTAAGAAAGTGTCCATAAAAAAGACCCCTTAAAGGCCCCTTAAATGTATGTAAGAAAGTGTCCATAATGAAGATAAAAATGAGCAATAAAAGGTTCAGGTATATCATCAACAAAATAGTGACCAATAAAGAAATGAACATATAAAATTAGTAAGCTTAAAAAGGAGAAAGGTCATAGAGCATTACAAAACACTAGGAAACATTGAACAAGACATGACGAAAACCCATGAATATCTTGAACAATGGTGTAACATAGGCAGAAACAATGTATTTAATCAGTAGCACTATATCACATTGAACTGTTCTTGTATTGCAGCCTACACAGTCTGAGACTGTCCCTCCTGGAGCACCTCATGAGCTACATACCCCAGCTACACCAGGTGGGCGGAGTCCGAGCCATACCCTTCATGCAGGTTAGTTAATTAAGTGTCTTGTCTTGAGTCATCATCAACGATGCAAATGCAAAACTTATATGTGGGGTCTCATCATAATTTTCTGACCCCGGGTTCTGCTGATGCTGACCTCTGACCTCATGCACATTAGTGTCTCGTTAAGATGAACTTGACATGATTTTTTACCACAGCTTCAACTTTTGTTGATCTTTGACTTGGAGTGTGAGTATGTCATGTGCATTATTCTCTCATAGTAATAACAACTGGATATTTCACCCTAGGTTCTGCTGATGTTGACCTCTGACCTTGACAGTGAGGAGCAGAAGGACAAGGCCACCCTGGATACTCTCCTTACAGCTCTCCTGAGGGAGATGGAAATATCTAGGAAGGTAAGGTTTCATAAGGGAGATGGAAACATTAATGGAACTGTATGATCAGAAAGTATACAATATCTTTCAATTGACATTCTTTCCAGACTTCAGGTCAGATGTATTCTTGAAAAAAAAACCAAGAAAAAATCCATTTTTTTAAATTTCTCTCATGTCTGATTAGTTAGGTTTCAAAAAGGATTAAGTGTAGTCTCTGTGATGCACACTAGCGCTGAATGTTTTTTTTCAACAATTTCCTCATTTGTTCCTTTGTATTTAAGGAGTTGAGTGGAGTCAGCTGTCGTACCCATCGCCATGAGTTCCAACTGATTGTGATGCGACTGCTAAGTGTTCTCATGTCTCGTATCAAGGCGGGTCCTAAACCTGAGGTAGAGTTAAATATTGTTAACCTTGTTAAAGTTAATCAAATCAAATCATCAAATCATACAAAAAATATTTGTTGGGTGAATATTTGAAGGCTGAAATAATTTTTTTACACACATAACATCTTTTATTTATTGTCTCCCAATTGCTTGTTGAATTGCTTGCAGTTAAATGATTTCTTTTTGATGCAAATAGAAACATTCATAAAAATTTATGTATCATCGGAATTATGTGGTAATAGAATGGGGCCTTTTCCCATCAGGAGCTGATTGGACCAAAATTCAGTAGGTTGCATCTTAAAGGTACAAGTAGTAATGAAGAGTATTCATGAATATTCCAGTGGTCCTCATTCATAAGCAGTAGCACTGGAGCTGCCCTGTTGTCTTGTGATGCTATAGACTTCTGCCTGCGAGTTCTAAAGAGTTTACTGGAGTATTGGAAACAACTCCCTGCTGAAGAGGTAAATGAACAGTCACCACCCTATGCAGACAGAGCCTGTGGGAAATATTGGGTGCGGCGCAAATGAGCGGAGGGTGCGGAGCTAACGGTCATTTTTGAATTTAAAATTGGGATATTTCTGAAACTAAGCCGTTTTGGGACTTCAAATATACCAAGATATGTGTATTTGACACCAAATACCAATAAAATTGTGAAAATAGTAGTGCAATTCATTTAATAGCGACGCAGTATGCCTTAAACATTTCCCAGACCTATATATTTTGAGACTATCCTTTTAATACTGCGTCCCCAGCATTCATAAAAAATGGTGTTCAAGATACACTACCCATGCAAATTATTTTTGCATCTTGGAAGCCAGGCAGTATCTGTGTGATTTTATAAAAATTCGGAAATGTTCTTCAGATATGAGCCCCCTCTAAATATTGGGTGCGGAGCTAGGTTTATGGAGCTGCTCCGCACCCAATATTTAGAGGGGGCTCATATCTGAAAAACATTCCGAATTTTTATAAAATCACACAGATACTGCCTGGCTTCCAAGATGCAAAAATAATTTGTATAGATAGTGTACCTTGAACACCATTTTTTATGAATGCTGGGGACTCAGTATTAAAAGGATAATTTCAAAATATACTAGGTCTGGGAAAGGTTTAAGGCATACTGCGTCGCTATAGAATGAATTGCGCTACTATTTTCACAATTGTATTGATATTTGGTGTCAAATACTCATATCTTGGTATATTTGAAGTCCCAAAACGGCTTAGTTTCAGAAATATCCCAAATTTAAATTCAAAAATGACCGTTAGCTCCGCACCCTCCGCTCATTTGCTCCGCACCCAATATTTCCCACAGGCTCTGTCTGCATAGGGTGGTCACATATACAATAGAATCTGAGAAAGTTAACATGATGCCAATTTTTTTTTTTTTTGATAATGAAATTGGGTTATTATTTCTCAAGAGTTATAAATAGTTTAATACTGAACTAAAATTGGATTTCAACCTATCCTTGTGTTTTTCATAAATAGATAAATATTTCGTGATACATTTAAGATGTTGACCTTTGTGTTCTTCCTTAATTTTTCAGGATGAGGGGAGTGTGTTACCAGGACAACTACTAAAGCCCCACCCAGCAATATCCCCACCTGATATGTCCCCATTCTTCCTACGGCAGTATGTAAAGGGGCATGCTGGGGATGTGTTTGATGCCTACCCTCAATTGCTAACAGAGATGGTCCTGAGACTTCCCTACCAGGTAGAACTACATTGATATGTGTCTTTAAAATTTTGAATCAGGTAATTTGTCTGAGGTCATTTTCAGAATTTTTACCTGCGCAAAATCTCATTTTGGATGAAATCTTATAGAATAATTAACTTTCCTTTTAAAATATGCTGTATCTGAAGACCAAAGTTCAACATGAGCAATGTTAATTGTTAATTTTCTCTTTGAAATAAGTTGTACCCGAAATCTGAGTTCAATGCTGGCAATTATATGTGTGTGTTTTAGATGAAGAAGATAGCTGACAGTGTGGCTAACCTACACACACCTGTCTTTGACCAGGACTGGTTCTACCTCCTGGCTGAGTATATGATGATTCAACAGGCCCCCTTTGTAAGGAGACAAGTCAGGAAGGTAATACAAGTTATCAGCATTTTGATTAATAAAAATCAAGATCAAGGTTATGCCTTTGATTGAGACTGAATTTATGGAATATTTTGTCGTGTTGATTGCTTTGTTTTTTCTGCAGTTCTGGAACACTCCATTGTGATTGGAAAACCAAAGTCTGTCTAAATTATATAGAGTGTTGTTTTAGAGTTCAGGTTTGCACTATTTACACTTTGTTTACTGATTTTCTCAATAAATGATTATTTCTTCAATTCTCCTGTTTTTTCTTTCAGCTGCTTCTGTTCATATGTGGCTCAAAAGTAAAGTATCGCCAGTTACGTGATCTCCACTCTTTAGAGTCACACATGAAAGTGATTCGTGGAATGTGTGAGAAGGCGGGGCTAGACTTGAGTGATGAGACTGGAGGTACCAGCATCATTATGGTCTACGACAACCTGCTTACAATGGTTTGTAAATTTTCCAGATTTCTGAAATAAAGCTTGTATTATGCAAAATTTAAGGTCCCTTTATTTGACATTTCCTATTGAAGTATCATACATATACTGTATATAGAGCAAAATATTGTCATGTGAAATCCAGTTTATCCCTACTGGATCAAGATTTCATGAAGAAAAAGTTCAAGTTGGTTTTGTGTTTCTGTTATAGATGGAGCACCTAAAGGCATGTGTAGAGGTTGCTGGTTGTCGCACGGCAAATTGGCAGAAATTCTGTCAACGCGAAGGAAGTAAGTAAAACATGTCAGATCTTGTTATCGCCTCTTAATGTTGCTTTATTTGTTGGTACAGCAGACAGTGAACTTAAGTCTTATTCTATGTCATAATCAATGTTCAAATGTGTAAAGATATAAACCAGTTTCTTGTATCTGATATGAATCAATGAACCAAGAGAAAGTGTTAAAACATTGATAGGTGTTTGGATTAGAAGTATGTTCGCACATACCATGGTTTTACTTTATTTATGAAAATGAATGTCCTTTATCTCTGGTTCACCCTGCACTTTCAGATGTGATCCAGTTCCTGGTACAGACCAGTATAGCACTTGATGAGGGATTGTCCTCCTGTATACTGCAACTCCTGCAGTATGCTATATGCGGCAACAAGCCCAGCCAGACTACGGGAGGATCATCAACACCCAGTAAAGGAAAGAAACAAGACAAGGATAAGGATAAAAATGAAGGTACTGTATTAATCACACTTAAGTGAAATCATAAGTTGACAGGAATTTAGCATTAAGATTAAAGGAATACATGAAGGGAAGGACAAAACTAACAAATCAAGTAAATCTGGAAACAAAATATTACCATTCACTTTTTGTCTGAAACTTTCAACGAAAAATACTTTTTGAATATAATACCATGTCTTATACCATGTTAGGAATCACATCAGCGCCAAGACATGCCCAATGAAGAAGTTGATATTTGGACATGGGTTGGTCTGTGGTGTAAAATGTTACCATATTTCATTTTATATTTGTGGTTTGTAATCATTTTGTACTTTGGCCTTATAGCTGAGGAAGACAGCCAGAAACACGATGAGGCTTTGTGTATGACATTGGTACAACAGGTCCATAAGAACATCAGCCATGAACTACTAGTGCGCTTCATACGCGCCTTCCTCCTGGAGTCCAACTTCTCTTCTGTGAGATGGCAGGCACATGCTCTTGTTCTCAATATTTATAGGTAAGATATGCTCTTACTCAATATTTATAGGTAAGAATATGCTCTTACTCAATATTTATAGGTAAGAATATGCTCTTACTCAATATTTATAGGTAAGATATGCTCTTACTCAATATTTATAGGTAAGAATATGCTCTTACTCAATATTTATAGGTAAGAATATGCTCTTACTCAATATTTATAGGTAAGAATATGCTCTTACTCAATATTTATAGGTAAGAATATGCTCTTACTCAATATTTATAGGTAAGAATATGCTCTTACTCAATATTTATAGGTAAGAATATGCTCTTGTTCTCAATATTTATAGGTAAGAATATGCCTTCGTACTCGATGTTTATAGATATGTACTGAACATGCACTTAAAATTAATAGTTAAGACTAATTCCCATACTCAGCATTTTACAGGTAAGTGAAGTTCATGCCCTCTATAAATTGTATTCAGAATTGACTGACAAGTACATACCCTTGTGCTTAGTAGTTATGGGCAACAACATTCCCATTTATTCAAAAGCACTTACCTCAAAACTCAACTCTATATACCTTGTGAAAGTGGAAGACCTTTGGTACCTCTAAAAATGTTGCACTTGTATATCGGAAATGGGAAGTGTTCCACTTACTGAAGTTCATTTAAGAATAAGTCAATAGGTTGCTGGAATTTGAAAAAGCATTTCACGAATAGAGGTGCTCCACTACAGGTTTTACTGTATTCAATTCTATGTATATTGAAAATGTAAAAGATTTTTTGCTAATAATTACTACGATACTGTTACTCCAGGAACTCTACGCTGTCACAACAGGAAGGAATCCTAGACTTGCTATGGACCCTCGGCCCTGAGCTACCTGATCATGGACGTAAAGCAGCACAGTTTGTGGACCTTCTTGGTTACTTCGCTCTCAAGACTCCTCAGAGCTCTGAGAAGAAGGTGAGGAATTATGTTTTACATGTATGAGACTATAGGTTGATGAATATCTGAACTGTTTAATACGTTGATAATTATCTGAAATGTTTAATACGTTGATAATTATCTGAACTGTTTAATACGTTGATAATTATCTGAAATGTTTAATAGGTTGATGAATATCTGAACTGTTTAATACGTTGATAATTATCTGAAATGTTTAATAGGTTGATGCTTATCTGAACTGTTTAATAGGTTGATAATTATCTGAACTGTTTAATAGGTTGATAATTATCTGAAATGTTTAATAGGTTGATAATTATCTGAACTGTTTAATAGGTTGGTAATTATCTGAAATGTTTAATAGGTTGATAATTATCTGAACTGTTTAATAGGTTGATAATTATCTGAACTGTTTAATAGGTTGATAATTATCTGAACTGTTTAATAGGTTGATAATTATCTGAACTGTTTAATAGGTTGATAATTATCTGTACTGTTTAATTTTTTTAACCAAGTACTTAAAGTTTGTTTTTATTTTTTTTAAAGTTAGAATCATTTCACACGTAATGATTCCTGATGTGCCATTTACATATTGCATGAAGTGATGTTTTGTATTGATAGATTTACTCTATGACATAATACTGTATGTTGTCATTCATTAAAGTTTACAATGGTATGTTGTAGCTTAAGCAGTATGTCGAGAAGTCAGTGTCAGTACTTAGGAAACAGAATGAAGTTTTGTCCTACCATCCCAATGCCAGTATATACAGGTACAAAATATTTGATAGAAATTAGATAATGTTAATGGTTTTTAGGAAGTCATATGTCTAGTACTAAATTTGCAATTTGTTCATGATATTTCTATGATTTATGCATGATAGTCCAGTTTATCCATGGTATTTCAGTAATTTATTCATGATGATTCAATAATTCATTCATAATATTTTAGAAAAAATTTTCAAAATATTTTTAAACAATTTTCAGTGATGGATTGCTGAAATTTCAACATGGTGTACATTATATTTTGGCAAAATAATTATAAGAAGTCAACAATACATTCATTATTTTTCGAAAAAATACTCATCATATTTCAACAATGTTTTCACGATATTTTAGCATGCTGCAGGGGTTGGTCGAGTTTGATGGTTACTACCTTGAGAGTGATCCATGTCTTGTCTGTAACAACCCAGAGGTCCCTTTCTCAGTAAGTAGCAAATAGTCACTTAATATTTATTACATACTGTATTAAAAGGGGTTCAGATAATAAAAAGAGGTTATTCACCGATAGGGATTTGATATGGGGGATATCACAAAGATGACACCAATATTGATATCATCGGAGGGATAATTCCCCATATCAAATCCCTATTGGTGAATAATGACCTTATACTATGATCAAGACCAATATCTACCTAAAATCCTCTGTTTAATGAGAGAAAAATGAAAATTTGAAAAAATTCTCATTTTTGAAAAAATAAAAACTTGAATACATCCCTATTTCCAAATATATGATTTATTGCTTGCTATTATATACCTGATATTGCTCTGACCATGGTATAATAGTCAGTAACATTTATCTGCCCTTAAAAATAGGTTTTAAAACTTAAAACTTGTGAATGTATCAGTTGGTCAATATTATACCCCTTTAAATATATTGTGTGCATCCATCTTTGTGTGCAATTTAATTGCTTTGTCATGTTTCAGTCTCTTCAGAAACATTAAATGTTAATTAAATTTATTTTTCATTGGTTGATTCTCTTCCAGAACACAAAACTGTCCGCAATCAAAGTTGACTCGAAGTTCACCACGACAACACAGATTGTAAAACTAGTCGGCAGTCACACAATTTCTCGTATATCTCTGCGTATTAGTGACTTGAAGAGAACCAAGATGGTACGCACTATGTCTATCTACTACAACAATCGATCAGTACAGGCTGTCGTGGAACTGAAAAACAAGTAAGAATTTGTGAAACTATTTCATTGTGATATTGAAATCAGAGAAAGTCTAGTAGTAAAGTGAAAGAATCTAGATGCAGCAATGTTGTTTCTTAAAAAGCGTCGGTTATGTTTCCTGGTTTTGAATTATTTGACAGTATACAAAAAATAGATTTGAATTCACATAATCATAATTAACAACATTTTCAAGAAAAGCTTCTCTGATATGAAGATGATTTTAACTTTTCTACACAAATTTAACATTTAATCGATGCTAGGCTAACTTATTTCTTTTTTTAATTGATATGGTATCAAATCATCAAAATTATGCATTTTCAGACCTGGGCTCTGGCACAAAGCCAAACGAGTGACCTTGACCTCTGGGCAGACGGATGTGAAAGTTGACTTTCCATTGCCATTGGTTGCTTGTAACCTGATGATTGAGTATTCAGAGTTCTATGATAACTTCCAAGCATCTTCGGAAACTCTCCAGTGTCCCAGATGTAGTGCCTCTGTACCTGCCACCCCAGGGGTGTGTGGCAACTGTGGGGAGAATGTCTTTCAATGTCACAAGTGCAGGTACAACCCAATTTTTAAATTGTAATTAAGTCACTTTTTTTTATTTCACCAGAAGTGGTGGCATGGTATAGTCTCTAACTTTTTCTTGGATGTTGTTCAGTGATCAGCATTCAGCTTTGTTGTTTGTGGTTTGGGTTCAGCCTTCAGTGATCAGCATCAGTAACAAATAGCAGGTAGTGACATATTTCATGTTAGTCCCTTGTATTTATATCTACTGTAATAATGAGAATATCTACTGTATAATATCTAAAGTATAATAATAAACCCTCTTGGAAAGATATAACAAACATGATATTTGTCAGTACAAAAAATTATTTAAAGTCCCCGATAAATCGGGCTATGTATACCGCCGTGTTTACATAAGGGGATTAGAAGAGTTTATTTTTTATTTAGGTATGCAAGCTATATCAATATTAGGCCTTCATGCATGTACTCGTGTGTACAATCAGCATGCCCTTCAATATTATATAAACCAGGCTATTCAAGTACTACATAATGTACACTATTTATGTGTGTACTACATGGGAATACAGTTCCCTGGGAAACAAAACACAAATACTTTTTATATGTTCAAAATGAGCCATTTGATTGATGCATACACTTAATAGCTTCATAAATAATATCTACAAAGTATATCTAATAGTAATTTTCAATTTCAATGGTAAAACTTGCCTGGTTACGATAATACGGGAAATCAACACGGGACGAAGATTGTTCACCTCCCTGGCTTACCTCTGAAGCCTGTACCTTGTAATCTCTTTATATAGGTTAGCGAGAGCGCTGCGCCTGCACAGTTTTAAACTTTGGCGCACACTTTAAGCATTTGTATTTTATTTATATCCTATGCTGGGGAAACATGTTCATCACTATTTTATTGATAAAATAGTGAATACTAAGAAAAGTACATGTCAAGCATGAATTGAACACAAGGGGTTTGGCTGCAGGTATTCCATCCATAATTAGAAATTAAAAATTATTTATATCTCTTCTTTCTCTCTCAGAGCCATTAACTATGATGAGAAAGATCCTTTCCTGTGCAACGCTTGTGGCTTCTGTAAGTACGCTAAGTTTGACTTCACGCTGATGGCCCGTCCCTGTTGCGCTGTAGACCCTATAGAGAATGATGAAGATCGGAAGAAAGCAATCTCAACCATCAACAGTCTACTTGAGAAAGCTGATAGGTTGTATAAGCAGCTTCAGATGAATAGACCCGCTTTGGATAGTCTCTTGATACGCATCAGTGAACATGCATCAGAGAAACAGGTAAAACACAAATAAGTTTAGATTCAAAACATTCCTTTTTGTTGTCAGTTTTCTTAACTCTATTGTTTTCTTATTATTTTAATGCCATGATCTCATTGATTGAAAAATATGAATTTTTTGAAAGCTGCATGTACTGCTTTCAAAATGTTAAAAATTGACCTCAGATCATGAAATTGTTATTTTATAGGATGAGGGTGCGACCACTACAAGTAATGCAGTTGGAAATAATGTCAACCGAAGTATTCACCAGCTGGCCCAGAAATACAGTGCTGACTGTAAAGCTACCTTTGATGAACTAAGCAAAATTATTCAGGTATTATTCAGAATCACATTGCTCGTAGATTTAATAGATTGAATCAAGGATGTAAAATGAAGATCTGTTTATTTATTTAACAATATTGCCATAGTAACATTGTGAATTGCAATTGAAACTAGTATAGGAATGTTGAACTTTTCGGAAACAGGCTTTTGGGCTATTAACAGTTGGGCCATCTTAATGTAGCCTTGCAAATTAAATGCATGAGCTGGTCCCATGTAAATCCAAATATGCAACATTTTAATAGACCATCTTTATTAAACTTATTTGCGCACTCATTCCTACTTGAGCTACTCCTGTTATATGTTCACTGATCACTTCAGCGTGTGATGGCCTCTAGAAAGGAGTTAGTTGAATATGATAGACAACAGAGAGACACAGTCCTTGCTTTAGAAAAGGAAACCCCAAATACTCCTGTAGCAACACCAGATGCTAGTCCAAGGGTTCATGCTGCCAAATTGTTTCCTCCAACAACACAAACTGGAGCAGAGCCTCACAAGTAAGCCATTTTACACATTTTAAACCTACTCTCTATGTACAGGGTGTCAAATTGCATTATGCCCCCCTCCCTGCCACAGCATGAACTAGGAGAGGTACACACATATGCTAGTTGACACCCTGTATATATAGTACTATATACAGTATGTTTTATCATTTCCACTGAATAGATGATGTCAATTTTTGTTGACCATGAGGAAAAACCATGAAATCAATATTATATTGATAGTTGTTCTGTCTTGCTGATTTTAGGTCTGGTACTAAATGTTACGGCTGCGCCAGTGCAACTGTTGAACATTGTCTCACTTTGCTCCGTGCCCTTGCAACCAACACAAACATACGCCAGATACTATGTCAGTATGGTCTCATACAAGAACTTGTCGACTACAATCTTAGGCTGGGCAGTCCACAGGTTTGTTAGAATACATGATAGTAGAGTCTACATTTATTGTCTATCGATTTCAATGTAAAATTTTGGGACCAATTCTCATCAGTATATTATGACATCAAGTCATATACTTGTAAGACATTATCTGAATTTTTAGGTGTTGGCTGTTATTTGCTCTCATTGGCTGTTGGATGCCATCATAGGCTATTTAGGCCCCCATGGGCTTGTACATGCTCTCTTTATGTGTTGTAGGGCCTCATCGGCTATTGTATGCCCTAGTTGGCTGGTAGAGTGGTTTATATGAAGTATCTCACCAGATATATAACATCTCCCTACACTACATAATCATCAAATGGATATTGAAGAAAAATGTAATCAAAATTTAATTTGATCTTATTAATGACACACAGCTTATTCTTTCCAGGTGCGTACAGATGTCAGGTCTCTCCTATGTCTACTCACCAAGGATAATAGGACCGCCACTTTGGAGCTAAATGATATGATCATGGGCAAGATAGACAAAGCTGTCCGTGGTCACCTCTCTAATCCTGACCTGGTAAGTGATGAAAGTGATAGACATTGATGTTAAGCTATAGAGGTTATTTACAGAAAAGTAAAACCGGTGTAAGTGAACCATCTGTGATGCCTCTAAAAGATGTTCCACTTGAGGGGTGTTCCACTTACAGAGGTTAATTAACAATAAGTCAATAGGTTGCGTGGCTGTGAAGAATGTTCCATTTATGGAGGTGTTCCACTTCCAGAGGTGTTCCATTTAACAGGTTTTACTGTTGTTTAGAAATAATTATTAGGTACTTGTACTGGTCAAGTCATTGTTGATTGGGCACTCAATTGTGTTTTTGACATTGCAATGTCTGACAGGCCTTCATTGATTTATTGACCGTTCTTTAATGATGCTGTTGATTGTGTAATAAGGATGTTTCAGGGGGGCATCTGCAAGATGATGTTGATAGCTGTCAAAGTTCACATTGTGTTACAAGTTGTGCTCTGATTGTGTTTCTTGTGCTTTGGTTGTGATATTGATTGTGCAATGATTGTGTTTCAGGGTGCATCCGTTAGACATGAAATGATGTTGCTAGCTGCTACAGTACAGAGAGAAGATAGCTGTTGGGAACTCCGAGTCAGATGCGGTAAGTTACCAATTCAGTCAACCAAACACGTAATCAGAGCAATAAAGAGATTTGTCACAGATACTGTATAGCCCATATATAAGAGAACCCCATAATGTCACTCAAGAGTCCAGAGTTAACATTCAGATCATAAAAAAGGTTTCCTTTTGCAAATTTGAAGAAATTTCTAGATTGGTTATTTTTCAAAAAAAAATGTGAACAGCATGTTGTATTTTAACATTAATCCCTCAATTCAGGCTTCAATCTAGAAATCATGCCTTTCATTTATAAATGTTTATCCTCGACATTTTCTTTCTCTACATTCTAACATTTCCCTGTATTTGTAGTCGTGAAGCTGTTCCTGACATCTATAGAGATGAAGAAGCCTGTATTCATGGAGTCCATCACACTGCCATGTCTCTGCATTCTACAACACCTTATCAAACCTGATGCTACTATTAAGAAGGGAAAGGTACATCTCCACACTTACACTGTCATTTCTTCACATTGTCTGTCTGATATTTTTGCGTGCTTGTTTAAAAAGTGTATGAGAGTCTAGAATTGCTCCAATTTGGTGATGAAGAAACTTTCTGAAGTTTCACTGCAATGCATTCCCCCTAAGTAACTGATGTATATCTACTGGGTGTGAGGCCGGATTCAGCCGAGTGAGCACCTCTTGCTTTATACACCCCATCCACAGATCCACAGCGTTATCCAAAATGGAACACCTGTGACATACACAGCCAATATAATTCGACGCCATTTCGGCATCAAAAAAATTTGGCACTGTTCCGGCACCAAAACCTCTCGACACCAAAATTTGCTACCGGACTAGACAGTCCATTTGGTGCCGAAACGGCACCGAAATTTGGCACCGAAAGGGCGTTGAAAATCAGATTGCATTTTGGGGGTGGAACACCTTCTCCAAGGTTCGTGAATGTCCTTGGTTGTCACATGAACGCAATCATAGCAGACATATTCAGTTGGTCAAAATTAGACCGAGATAAAGGTCACCACTATAGTATATCTATAGTATGTATGTATGTCTGTTTCTAGGATAAAGCCATGGAGACATTGAGTAGCATAAAGTCAGTTGATGCTGGACTACAGGTTGACGTCAGGAAGTGGTTGTCAGGTGACCTGAGCCACACCTACCAACAGTGGAGACAGAAACAACCAACCAAAGGTCAGTATCTCATATCGTCTAACAAAATGCACAAAATACATTTAGAATTAAGTTTTTGTTGCACATTTAGTTCCATTTTTGCTTGCACCCATTGATACATTATTCAGTTGCTTTTAGTCGCTTACACCCATTGTAGATAAATTAGCCTAGAAATAAGTTCTGCTTGTAAAGTTTAGTTGCTTGCACCTTTCTTTATAGTATATCCTAGTATACTATACAGTTTGGTATATCTACATACGACATGTGATTGCATTTCTTCACTCCTTAAACACCAAACAATAATTAAGCATATTAATATGATGAATTTAGTTCTAGCCATCATTGTTTTAGGGCATAAGTATTACACCACCTTGGTAGAAGCCTCTGGTAAGCCTGCTTGAACTCTATTGCAGTCCTTCTTTATATACCAGTGTTCTTGTCCTCTATACAATCATTACAATTACCCAACACCTTGTTGCTCTAAACAATAACCCCAACATGTTCCTCTATACAATCACCCTGTCCTTACATGTTCCCTTATACATCAGCATACCCCTATTTTAATCGTCAAATCTCATCTAACAAGTTTGCGTATTGTTTCTATGATCATTTCATAAAAATCAAACACCAAATACCCTTGTTTGGTGTTATGTCATATTTGGATTGGCTGTTCTATCTAATGCAACATAATAACAATATCTCAACACACTATCACTAAATAATCATATAGATTGATGCATTATGGGAAACATCCTCCTTTCCAGTAAAACCTAAGTTCATTTGACAATAAATGGTATCAAATCACTTCATCGTATCATCAAATCACTTGCAAATGTCCATTTAAGGAAAACATCTTTGTTAATAATGTTCTAGTTAGACTGTATAAATATGAAAGCACAATACAAGGTCAAAAAAGCTATAACAGCAAAGAAAAAGGCTTCAATGAGTACAATGCATAATTGAGTATTAGTTTTAAGCTTGCATTGTTCATTCATGCTCCAAGTACAATATGGTATAATTTAAAACATGCTCAAATATTTTAGACAAGTCAAAGGTGGATAAGAAGGAAGGAAAGGGTGACAAAAAGGAAGGAAAACCTGATAAAAAGGAGAGTAAGGAGAAGAGGGAAAGCAAGGAGAAGGCAAGGGCGAAGTTTCTCATGGAGAAATATGGAATTCGATGGAGGAAGAAAGTCAAGCAAGGTAAGCTATGGATATTTCATATGATACTGCACTTGTTGGATTATGGTTTTTAGGACAGTTGTTTTCTATTCAGTGATTCCAATTCTTATTAAGAAACAATCTTTATAGAGAATGTATTGCAAAAGTCATGGAATGAAAATATAACTCTTAAGATAAACAGTTAAAGCGTACAAAGGCAAGTTTTACACTTGTGTATTGGATACATTGTTAATTATTAAAGCCTTGTGAAGGAATTAGAATACTAAACAATGGTGTTTCTATTCTGTCACTTACTTCCGTCTTAATTCTGTGACATTGCCTAATGTTGACTATAGAAAGCTTAGTACCCCTAATTAAGAAGGAATAAGAAAAGCTAAAAATGATTATTCCAGGTGAAGTCCTTCCTCTGAAGCTCCTGGACAGCAGTTGGCTAGAAAATGCACTATTTTCTGCAAGTTCCCGTGCTGCGCGTCAGACTGTCAGCGCCATCTGTGAGACAGTGTGTAATACGCAGACAGAACGCAGGAGAGCCATCATTGACAAGTTCACTGGGTAGAAAAAAAGATTTTTCAATATCAGAAATAATTTATTTGGAACTTTAAAGTAATCTGTTGTTTTATTTTCAAATTGATATGTGAAGGATCTGCCATATACATGTATATACTTTTTACCTCATGGGCTTATTGTATTAGTTAAGAGCTAGTAGTTATAGTAAGGTTGGGCAGGGACATGTAAAGAAGTAGAGGGTCAATTGGGATATAGGAATCTCAGCATATTTTTATGTCACCTCCACAAGTGGTGACATGCTGTTATAGTCTCCAAGTTTATTGTTGTGGTGGTTGGTGTTCATCGTTCAGTGGTTAGTGTTAGGCATTTGACATCTGTAAAATGATAGGTGGTCACATTTTGCAGGTAAATGCCTTGTTATATATATTCATTTAATTATACATTGTACATTCTACATTTTAGATACCTAGATAAGATAGGGACTGCTGGAGAGAATGCCAGTGACTTCCTCGCCCTCTATAAGAAACTCATCACTCCAAACCATTGGAAGGTCTATTTGGCTATTAAAGGGGTGTTGCCTCACATTGGAGAACTTATAACCAAGGTTAGTCTATTTGGCTATTAAAGGGGTGTTGCTTCACATTGGAGAACTTATAACCAAGGTTAGTCTATCTGGCTATTAAAGGGGTGTTGCCTCACATTGGGGAACTTATAACCAAGGTTAGTCTATCTGGCTATTAAAGGGGTGTTGCCTCACATTGGGGAACTTATAACCAAGGTTAGTCTATCTGGCTATTAAGGGGTGTTGCCTCACATTGGGAACTTATAACCAAGGTTAGTCTATCTGGCTATTAAAGGGGTGTTGCCGCACATTGGGGAACTTATAACCAAGGTTAGTCTATCTGGCTATTAAGGGGTGTTGCCTCACATTGGGGAACTTATAACCAAGGTTAGTCTATCTGGCTATTAAGGGGTGTTGCCTCACATTGGGGAACTTATAACCAAGGTACATTCAAATTTGAATTTTCGTTTTTATTCAACATTTCAGACATACACATAGTGAATGTATAATAGTGATTTGCTTGAGACCCTCTCTGACCTGTTAGCCTATATCACAGATTATGGATTAATCAATCCTTGTTTCACATTTGCAGGAGATAGAATACATTGAGCATCTTGAAGAGACTACACTAAGCTCTGACCTGACACAGGGATATGCCCTCAAGTCCCTCACTGACCTGTTAGCCTATATCACAGACTATGAACTGATCAAGCAGCACTACAAGAGCAAACTTGTAGGGTTTGTACTGAATGGATACCTATCTCTACGCAAGCTTGTGGTGCAGAGGACTAAGCTGATAGATGAGACACAGGATAACCTACTTGAACTCCTTGAGGAAATGACTACAGGTCTTTATAATACATAATTCAATACCCTAGAGTATCCTTGTATATAAAGCCAACGGTTTCCGGCTTAGTGAGCCATTGGAATTGTTGTGTAGGCATTCGTCTGTTTGTCATACATTCCTTTATAAACTACCTTCGAATAGTCTTTTCTGTAAATCATGATTTCTTTTTTTCACACATTGAGCCCAACTAATGGTGCTAGAAAAGACTATATCTTGAAAAACACATTGAATGAAAACAACACTTTTAATGTCAACCTTGTACTGTGTTTCAGGTACAGAATCTGAGACAAAGGAGTTCATGGCTGTATGTGTAAAGACAGTGAGCAAATACGGCATGGAGGACCTCATATCTCCAGTATTCATCTTTGAGAGACTCTGTAGTCTTATATTCCCCGTAAGCATATTGGTGAACACTTGTACACCTGTTAAGAGAACATTGTTTTTTTAGTTTCAGTGAACACCTTTTTTGAATATTTCAATTCGTGATCTGTATGAATGGCTCTCTTGGTCTTTACTTCTGTGTTTATTCCACTCTCGCTCATGTACATAGTTAACCAAAGAATGTAACCCAAACAAATGTAAATAACCCAATCATTGACCATAGATTTAAAGGTCATGTTTGGCACAATTAAACCTTGTTCAATTTTCTTACATTTTCTATCAAGTTTCATTTGTTTGTTCCAAAGGGTTACTATTTTATGGCCATTTTACTGAACATGCTGAATCCATGTTGAATGACTGAGTTGTAAACATTTGTTTTGGTTGAATTTTGTTGCTCACCCTGTATTATACACTTGAATAATGTTAATACGAATATGCTCCAATTCGGTATCCCACATAAGGTATGAGTACCGTAATCCAACACCAAATTCGAAAATTCAGAACAATACTTTGCACATATGGCGTTCGTGATCAACTATAAAATGCTTACCCCCCATAGTGTTATATATCAAAATGTACCTGTTCATATAGGGGTTCAATTGATCAACATTAAATTATAGGGAGTCAGGTTACTTTTTGAGATATCAGCGTCCATTTATTGTAACTCGCGTTTGCTACCATTTCCTCAATTCTGAGATGACGGGCAAACGCGTAGTAAACATGCTCACGCTGGAACTATTTTGATCTACATCGCTATTTTCGTAATTCAAATGAAAGTTGAACTCCTCCTCTTTATTTTGATACCAAATAGTGGCATACTAGGTACCCTAGAAGCCAACTATGGCGTTATTTAGAACAAAACCACAAGTTTTTAAATGGACTATATAGGGGTCATACCTTTTGGCGGATGGATATGGAACCTCATACCATAAGTTTAATATTCTCATCAGATTTTTGTTATGTTTATTAGGAGGAGAATGACGTGGGAGAGTTCTTCCTGTCTTTAGAGAAGGACCCTCAACAGGAAGACTTCCTGCAGGGTCGAATGCTTGGGAACCCTTATAACAGCAATGAAGCAGGATTAGGACCCCTTATGAGAGATGTCAAAAACAAGATATGTCAAGGTAATATTTGAAAAGAAATTGTTAAAAAACATCTAGTGAATTTTACTATGGACCAGCAGAGAATTTCTTTCACGACCATGTCAGCTTGACAGCAAAATAACATAAGAACCGGTCCATGATTTAATGTCTATTGATCTGTACATCAGAAATCAGGCTTGTAACCAGATTTTGCCAATGAGGGTTCACTTTTAAAAATTCCAGGGGAGTTCACGTTTGACCATTTTGGCCCAAAGTCACTTGAAAAGTGCTCAGAATGATAAAAAACTGCATGATTTTGAAAGAATTTTTGGCCAGGGGGTGGGGGTTCTTTCGCACCCCCTCTCTGACTATGGGTCTGGAAGTTCTTTTGTTATATCCTAAACTTGATCGAGCATTCTATACATTAGGTTATAATTTAATTGACCTGCTTACCCTCAGTACAGGTTACTATAGCAATCTCTTCTCTACAGCTATAGCTATAATATTTTAGCATTGTATGTGTAATTACATAAAATATATCTTATGAAAAAATAAGAGGAATATGTGAAAAAAATCACAAAATGAGAGCATTTTTATCAGAAGATATGGATTGCCCCTTGTATAGTAATGAACTTTTTTTTGCATTTTTATCAGAATATATGGATTGCCCCTTGTATAATAATGAACCTTATCAATTGTAGACTGTGAGCTAGTGGCCCTGCTGGAGGATGACACTGGCATGGAACTGCTTGTTAACAACAAGATCATCAGCTTGGATCTGGCAGTGAAGGATGTCTACAAGAAGATATGGGTGCCAGACCATGGAGAGAGCATCCCAATGAGAGTTGTCTATAGGATGAGAGGTCTCCTTGGTGATGCTACTGAAGATATGGTCAACACATTGGATTCTGGGAAAGGTGAGAATCCTGGGCTCAACGTTTTGCATGATGGGAAGAGTGAAGTATTATCAATAAAATTTATAGCTAAAACCTCTATAATATGTAAATTAATGTACAATTAAATGTTTCTGGCGTTCGGTGGTCATCATTCGGAGGTCAGCATTTGTAACAAATGGCAGGTTGTAACATTTCGCATGTTAATGCCTTGTTATATTTAAGTATTTATCTTCATATATATTTATTGTATGTACATGTTATTATGTTGTAAAATCGTTATTAAACTTTCACACATGTAATTTATTCTCTTCCAGATGAGGATGTGAATGAGGAGGAAGTATATAAGCTTGCATCAGTTATGGCTGAGTGTGGGGGACTGGATATCATGTTGGCAAGGTGAATATGAATACTTATGGCACCATCAGAAAGTAGTAACATATTGTTATACATTTTTCTGTAGTCTCCCACTTTTTATGGACGGTGTTCAGAGGTTGGTGTTCAATGCTAGTTGTTGTTGTTTGGTGTTCAACATCTGTCACAAATGGCAGGTGGTGACATCTGTCACAAATGGCAGGTGGTGACATCTACATGTTGATGCCTTGTCTTTCTGCAATGAACTATTTTCATGGTACTGTACTCGTAATAACTGGTACTTGTCAGCAGTGACATCTATAACAACTTGTGCATTACACATTTAATTTGTATCCCATTAGTTGATACACAGAGGTCATCATTGACGCATACACATCCTTTACATACATAGTCCTATGTTTTAAGTTTAAAAGTTAAGTTATTTTATGATAAGATAAAGAGTTAAAACCAGCTGTGGAGGCTTTCAAGCATGAATGTCTTGTTTTAGACTTTGAATGAGGGTGGAAGCCTGTATATTATGCAATAGGCATATCTTTTTGTAATTGCAACTATAGGTGGTGATATTTTGTCACATTAATGCCTTGTCTACACCCTCGTAATCATGAGTAACCATGTTAAACTATTTTCATCAAACTCTCTTACAATTTAATTTTTTTCTTCAATGTTAACAGACTGAAAGGCCTTCGTGATGTCGCATCAGGAAAGCAGCTACTGACAGTCCTGTTGAAGTTGTTCAGCTACTGTGTCAAGGTGAAGGTGAACAGACAGTTGCTGATCCAACCCAAGATGAACACCATTAGCACCATGCTACGTGCCCTCAATCTGGTGAGTCATCAGGGTATCACTTGAAAGCCCAATTATCTAAAAACCATGAAGGCTGTTTATTTGTATATAATGAACAAGTACACGTATATACATGTAATTAATAATATTGTAAATAAATGAAACACAAAAAAAGGATCTTCTACACATTTAGAAAAAGTAAAAGGTAAAAATTATGGGAATGTCATTTTAATCCACATATTTTAGCAATTTTTTTATTTTGAACTATGTATGTATTCAATGATCATGTGTAAATCCTCATTAAGTTTTGAAAAATATTACCCATTACATTATGAAGTGTTTGTATTTTTTATCTTGAGAGTTACATGAGGACACTCAGAATGTTGATCTCCTATAGAAATTGATGAAAAACAATACCCCCCCCGCTTCTTTCTTATAAGTGCCTCCTACATAGTGAATGACTGGGCAAACCTTTAACTTAAGAAAGTGCAAATTGCAAACATTAATAGTACAATACAATAGTACTTCTGTCAATGAAGCTTTTACCTGTTCTTTGAATGATGATTTATTATCGGAGACCATGAAAATCTTGCAGGCCTGTAGCCAGCTTCCCAAACAGGGCCAGGTTCTCTCTTAAAAAAATTCCAGTGGTGTTCATATTTGACTTTGGCCCAAATAGTTGCATCCTCCGAATGCAGGGTTCCAGACATCATCCACTAAGGTCCTTCCTTCTTAGGTACGAGTTCTGGAGGCCTGTGTTCGGAGGATGAAATAGTCGCAAAAGTGCTAAGAATGGTGAACAAGTCTATGATTTTGAAAGAATATTTAGCCAATTTCCAGAACCGCCCCCCTGGCTACGAGCCTGACTTGGTGGGTTCCAACACTTTCATGTGGTTCATTTTAGGTATACAGCTGTATGTTTTTTAAACCCAGTAAAATAACAAAAATAGAGGTCAGGTATATTGTACCATAAACAGGAACCCTACAAACTCTATACCACTCGGATTGACTGATGTAACAATCTTTTCTGGGGTTGTAGAGTTGGCCGAGCAGACTAGAGCACTGGACACGCTCAGCTTGGCACTGTCGCCATAACCATGAGGTCATGAGTTCAAGACGCGTGAGCTCCTTGTGTTTATTCATGTTAATTCTATGTTCCAGGCCTTATTAGCTGAACAAGAAAGCAGTGCTGCCACTCTTGGTCAGACCCTTACAGAACAGATTTTACAGATCATGGAGACGATCCTTGTTGAAGCCAGTAGTGAACCACCAGAAAAGTACAAGGTAATTTCCCAATGACTTGCCACATGGGAATCAATGTCTCTATTCCAACTTCAAAGAAATTGCATTAAACAGGTTGAAATATGATAACCTGGTTTTGAATCAATTTTTGATGTTCAATATAAAATACTTCGGGGTCATTTCAGTTGCATTGAATGCCTTGGAGATTTCTTTTATATTACACTGCCTGTATTGATAAAAGTATAAAACAAGTTTGCTTTCTTCGATGGAAGCCCATGCCAAAATATTTATTTATCAAATTTTACAAATAAATTCTCATTTGTTGACATTTCGTTTCCTTGTCCTCTTGCAAATGGTGGTCTCTATTAAAGTTGCTGTTGTTGCCCCTGTTTTTGTTTTTGTTCTTTCATATTTCGAAGATTTGTTTTTTGGATTCAAACAGTTTTTCTTCCCATTCTTTGTCATGCATAGTCTTATTCGTGAATGTCTTTGTTTGCCACCACTTGTCGCATCATTTGCTATGCACTTTGTATAATTGCTCCACATGCTCCATTGCTCCAAACGATTCTCAAGACTACAATTGCTGCATCGTTTAAGTTCCATAATATCGCATTCATATTTGCCCAGTTTCCAAGAACAGCTTATTCCAGCCTGCCACATGCTACAGTTCCTTCCTATGCCACATGGGGAATACACAACCTGTCCTAAAATTAGAACCTAGATTATTGTCCGTGTCTTTCAATTTCGTGATAAGAATGTGAGCTGTGCTAATAAGTAATTTCCACCTAAGTGAAGAGAACATGGACCAACTGAAAATCAACCAAAAACCGTGCTATAATTCTGGTTAAGCATGTTGCAATCTGTATGATTGTGTCTTTTACCTTTTGGAATGTTTTCTTGTGGATCCGTCTTTGTAACTGTCATTTCATCTGGAGTTGTCGTTCCATCAGTCATATCATCAGGAGCTGATGTTGGAATTGTTTTTGTATCTGGAGTTATTAGCATTAGAAATAAGGATGATATTTATTTACCAAACAAGCTTTGAGCCTAGGCAGCATATGTAGGTGAACCAAATCAAATCAAATAAAAAAACATCATTTGCTATGATAAATCATTGCATTGATAATTTGTTTAATATGATAAAATATATATGCTATATATAATATATAATATACAAGACCAAACACACAGAAGTTTGAGAAATTAATGAATTCAAACAAAAATATACTATACTCTAAACACAGTGGTGTCCGACGATCAAAAAATCCATTTATTCTCTCATTTGGCCTATATAATAAGTTTGGCCGATGCCTAAATCTAGGGCCACCTACCTTTTGTCAGTTCATCACAGGAAATTGAATAGAAATCCCTTCTCTCATATCACACAAAACATTTCTCTCTCGCATTCGTCTCAAATTTCAACATGGAAGAGATTCTAAGAAAATAACGTCATTGACGTCATTTAGAACAGAATGGTTTCCCCAAAATGGGAGGAGATTCCATGAATTTTTGTCAAGAGTTTGAACTTCTATGAACTCTTGAGGTCATTCAGACAGAGGGCAAGAGAAGATTTTCTGAAGAAAATGACTTAGTTTCTTACAACATTTGGATCCAATTTCGAGTATCACTATTACTGACTATGGAATGGACATGCATTTGACTTCAAAAAATAAGGCAAGTAGATATGAGTAAGTAGACCAAATGATTCATTTGAGGCATTTAAACTTTTCCAAAAATTGATTTTTTTGACTGTCGGACGGGAAGGTTTTTAGAGTGTAATAAAACTTTTTAATCGAGGCTGGGCAGGAAAATGTACTTATATAATGTTATTTTAATGTTTGTTACTGTCTAAGTTAAGTTTGTCTTTTGTACTCTAATACCCTATAAGGGGTGAATTGAGAAATCAATAAATAATTAAAAAAATATATAAAATAAACTTATTAAGTCAATTGTTGGAAGGTTAATTTTCAGCCTTAAAGAGCGCAGTTTTTAGCTTTTTGCATTTTGGTTCAACCATGGAACTTATTTTATGAATGGTTCCCCAAATTGAGAAAAATAGTTTGAAAGAACAATAGGGAAACATTTAAGTTTGCTAGAATCCCATCATCCAGAGTCAAAGTGACCTTGCCCCTTTTTAGTTGACAAAATCATTTGATATTTTCATAGCTGAAGTTAATGTGTGTTTGCAGCATATAATGCCAGTGCAACTGTTCATAGAGGCTATTGAACAATTTTATGAGTTCCTTTCTTCTACATCTGATTTGATATTGGGGTTGATGTGTACATTTTAAGTGACATTCTTATTGCGATTACAAGCAAAGAGTTTCTGACAATTTTTTAAAAACATAACACGTCAAACATTTAAGGAATTGACTTTTCATAATGGATAATTGTTAATTTTGAATATTTTTTTGTATCTTGTTTCCATGATACAAAGGAAAAACATATTCAAACAAGTCACTTGAAATCTAATATTCAATGAGATTCAATTCTCAAAGATTCAATAATTACATTGAGGGAAATTAGATCGCCTTGAAATAATAATCATGTATAAAAGCTTCAATCAAATTTGGATGACTTTTAAGGATGCACATGCCTTATCTACTGTCATTTTTATGTGGCCATCTGATTTCCAATGGCAACATTTTCCAACCTGTTGGTTGGTTTATGTTAGGTTTATACGAGTGGGTACTACAGCTATACTGATGATTACCTTTTTGATGGCATTGTTTGCATTTTCTGTGTTTATCTTTTGATATGCATTCATCACATTCTTTCAGCTTTCTATCAACACACTTGCATGCTATACAGTTACCATTCTCTTCAAATGTTTTGTCATCTGTACATGATGAACAACTTTTGAGCACTCCATCGTCACATCTAAACAGTGTGCAATTATGATGAACTAGTATTTTAATGTACATATTGCTAATTTCACATTGACACGGCACACAATTTTTCAATGCTCTGTCATAACATCCACATCGTCAACATTCTCCACTGTTATCATCACAATCTTTTTCTGTGTCTCAGTTTCACAATTGCATTGTTGACAGTTGGTTATCTTTTTATTCTTACATCTACAAGCTTTACAGACACCATCTGCACCTACCAATGTTTGTGCTAAGCCTTTCTCTCCTTTACAGGTATACTCTTTACATTTTCGTATTTTTCCTTTCCTACACTTGCAGTCAAAACAAAACCCATTTCGAACTCTATTTTTGGAGTTTCGTTTTCACAATAACTTTGTGCATTGGCCCATTTTGGCATGTGGTCTTACCTCTATTTGGAGCCTTTATTTTGGTTGTTCTTATTGGACCTAATGTGCTAGTTGGAGCTGTTCTAGTTTCAGTTGGACGAGCTGTTATTTTAATTGGAGCTTTCCTTGTAGTCTGAGCCACTATTATGCATAAAACAATTGCATGTATCACAGCACAGTATCATAGTTAGCAAGTTTTGAAAATATTCAATTGACAGATTTTCTAGATTACTTTGAAGTCTTGTGGAAACACCTTTTTAATAAAAATTAAGGTTCACACATTTAGTCATACAGGCGCTTTTTTGTTGTTTTGATCTATAAGAATTAAAATTGGATTTATTATCCCATCGAACGAAGTTCGGAGGGATATAGGGAATGCCTCCGTCCGTCCGTCCGTCCGTCCGTACTTACGTACGTCCGTACGTACATACGTGTGTACGTCCGTCCGTCCAGGCAATAACTCAAATACCGTTGGCCTGATTTTGTTCATATTTTGTACACATATACCCAATGGGAGTAGAAGTTCTGCTCGAAAACCGATTTTCAAAATGGCCGCTCATTTAAAAATGGCGGCCATTTTAGTGCCGATTTTACAGTAATTAAGGGACTGCATATAAAACTGTAATACCAATATGTTTTAAATGTAAAAAAGTTATATAGGACATTGATTAAGCTAGAAATGTAAATAAAGAAGAAATACACGCCAGGCATCTTGAAAAATGGCCGCCTTTGCACGTCATTTTACGATTTTTGCTGTAACTTGAAAAGTAGTGGAGCGATTTTGTTCATATTTGGTATGTGAATACTTTAAGCATGGCACAATGTCTAATGACATTTTTGGTAGTAGGTGGCCATTTTGAAAAATGGCCGCCATTTTTATGTGTGTTATTTAACATTTTTTACTGTAAGTCAGAAAGTAGTGGAGCGATTTTGTTCATATTTGGTATGTGAATACTTTAAGCATGGCCCAATGTCTAATGACATTTTGGGTAGTAGGCGGCCATCTTGAAAAATGGCCGCCTTTGCACGTCATTTTACGATTTTTGCTGTAACTTGAAAAGTAGTGAAGCGATTTTGTTCATATTTAGTATGTGAATACTTTAAGCATGGCTCAATGTCTAATGACATTTTGGGTATTAGGCCAACATTTTGAAAAACGGCTGGCATTTTTATGTGTGTAATTTTACATTTTTTACTATAACTCAAAATGCAGTAGAGCGATTTTGTTCATATTTTATATGTGAATACTATAAGCATTTCACCCTGTCTAATGACACTTTGGGTAGTAGGCAGCCATTTTGAAAAATGGCCACCATTTTTACATTTTTTACTATAACTTGAAAAGTAGTGGAGCGATTTTGAATGGTGGCCTTTCTTATGGGTTTTATTTTATGATATTTGCTAGGCTATATATTTTGTTTATAAAAATGCCAGCCATTTCTGTTCGATGGGATTCGCTACGCTTTGGCGTTGCCGTTGTTCTGGTTTACTTATATTTTTTGTATATATGCAGAACAATTATAAATTAAAACATTACACTGTATATTGTTTTTTAAATGTCATATTCCAGTATTTTAAAGCTTTCTGTTAAAAAAAGTCAGACTAAATGACATCATATCACAATGTTAAAAGTCCCAAAATGCTGATTTTTAAGGAATGAAGATATTAACAATTTTATAATGGGAGGTTATTTTCTGAGATTATTTTAAAATAGCATATACTCTATTATGGATCTCACTGATGTATTACAGTTAAGTGAGGATTACCTTCTGTGTTTTGGCATTGTTTACATCTCTTTTCTTTACTTCCTGCCAAACACACATCACACTCCTTCAGCTTACCATGGTCGCACTTGCACGCTATGCAGTTACCATTTTCCTGGAATATAGCACCTTTCCTCCCTCCACAAATACATGCTTTACAGTCCTTAAGTGTTCCATCCATGCACTTACACTCATTACATATACCACCATCTACTCTGGTTTTTACTTTCTCAGTGGTAGTATCACACTGGCATGGGCTACAGTTCCCCAGATATTCACCCTCTTGGCATTCACATTGTTGACAGTCTCCACTTCTGTCAATCTTCTTCACATTTTTCTCAGTATCATTGCAACCGCATTTGTGGCAATTCCTAATTTTTCCACTAATACAGTGGCAAAATCTACAGGCACGTTCTTCATTTATTGTTATAAAGTTTTTTTGTGTTTTTTTTGTTGTAACTTTACAGGTACATCTATTACATTCATATATCTTTCCTTCTCTGCAGCTGCAATTACAGCAATCGCCATTTTCTAGCTCTATTTTTGTAGAATTGTTTTCACACTTTGTTGTTCTGTCAACATTTTTAGCCCATGACTTACATGTCAAGGGATTCATTGGTTTTCTTGTTGTGGAAGGCTTTGTTCTGGCTGTTGTGCTTGTAGTCGGATCCTTTGTTGTGCTTGTTGTAGTTGGATATTCTGTGCTTGTTGTAGTCGGAGCCTTTGTTGTGCTTGTTGTAGTTGGATATTCTGTGCTTGTTGTAGTTTGAGGCTTTGTTGTGCTTGTTGTAGTTGGATATTCTGTGCTTGTTGTAGTCGGAGCCTTTGTTGTGCTTGTTGTAGTTGGATATTCTGTGCTTGTTGTAGTCGGAGCCTTTGTTGTGCTTGTTGTAGTTGGATATTTTGTTGATGTTGTAGTTGGAGGCTTTGTTGTACTCATTGTAGTTGTGGGATTTGTTGTAGTCGGAGCCTCTGCTGTGTATGAAGGAATGGAATGTATTGAAGTACTAATTCTGAACTAATTTCAATTATTAGTGTGACAGTAAACGTAATAAGTCAAATATGAATATCTTTCTGTGCCACAATACTACAATAATGACTAATAGTAGAGCAAAATAGGGTGATATAAATGACCACCTTTGAACTAAGGTTCCAATATACCGTTGCAAAGCTGAAAGGGTCAGCTCTAAGAATCTGACCTCCATTTGAATTTTTTGATTTGAATGTATTTTGATTGAAAAAGCATGATTGATTTCTAAATTTTACCCATTGTTGATGAAAGGGTTAATAGCAAAAATTCGAATGCAGGTTGGATTCTTAAAGCTGACACTCTCAGCTTTCCAACAGTGTGTTGGAAAAAATCATTAACTTGGAGGCCCTATTTTGCTCAAGTATAAAGGTGTTGTGATTTTTGTATGTTCATTTTGTTTTGTGAATTCATATTCACTATTATAGTCAGTTGAGATCAGAATAACTTAATGGATCATTTGCTCAATATAGATTGACATAGGTGGCAGCATGTGTGTCGGTTAGGCCAGAATACTCTTCATAATATGTAGACAACTGGCAAAAGTCACTTAATTTCTTGGTTTATCAAGTATTTGCATTTGGATTGTCTAAAACACCATTCCAATATGATCTTTTTTACATGCTGATTGTGATTAAAAGTGACAACGAACTTTTAAATATTTTTTAACATTGTGTCAATGTGAATTTATCCTGACCCTTTTCAGAAAATTTGAGAATCCTGGAAATTACACCCTGAATTGAAATATGCCATCAAATAGAAGAAAATGTGTGTCTTTAAAGGTTAAAAATGCAGATCTCTTAAAATATCATTAAAAATGAGACTTCAATGTGATTTCAAAGCTATTTAGCTATTACTGGTGGACAGATCATCTATAATTTAAAGATTAACTCTATGGGAAAGAAATATGAATTAATTCTAAATGTGGCATTTTCGCAAATGGTGTCCTCTTTAGAATATGACTTCCTTATTTTTAGATTTCATATTTTGACTTACTCTCTGGAAGATACTCTAATACAATTTGTAAAAATTATAGAAATTAAAAATGAAGCCTTTTTGAGAGTTAGATGCTGATTCCTACCTTCTGTTTCTCCTTCTTTGCAGAGTTTACACAGCTTTGATGAATCCTTATTTGGACATTGCACACATTCTGCCTGTTTATTTTCTTTGTTACATCTACATGCTACACATTTTCCATTATCCATGAAGTCCATACCTTTCTGGTTCTTTCCACAAAGACATTGAGTACAGTTTTTCAGAACTCCATCAGTACATTGGCATTTGTAACAATTTTCATTTATTTCTATTTTTGTCTTCTCATTTTCATGTTCACAAGGACATGGTCTCTGTAGCATTATTTCATGAGAATATATACAGTCACCAGTCTTGTCATTAATTCTTCTATTACTTACAGTTTCAGTTGTTGTATCAATTACTGAGCTAGTTGAAGTCATGTCTGTGGTTGGTGTGTGTTCCGAGGTTGTTCTGGTATGTTCTATACATAGGACACAATTTTTTAGAGCTCCCTTGGTACACATGCATTCGTAACAACTTCCTCCTACGTCTATTTCTGTTATATTATCATTATTCTTACAACTACATGGACTTTGCATTCTTCTGTATAATTTTATACAGTCCCCATTGTCCTCGATTATTATCTCATCTTCCGTTTTAGTTGTGGAATCAATTGTGGTTGAGGTTGGAGCTTCTCTTGTTGTTGTAGTAGCTCTTGTTGTTATTGGAGCCTTTGTTTCTGTTGAAGTGGTAGTAGTGATAGTGGTAGTAGTTGGAGCTATTGTTGTGGTACTTTGGAACTCTAGATAATCATGAAAATCTTCTTCTTTTGGTAGCTCTGGAGGATCTTCAGAATATTGAGAGCATGATGTACACTCTTTACAATCTTCATTTGTCAACTTTTTAGTTGGACCATAGTTTTTACAACACATGTCTTCACATGTCATTTTTCTACGGCTAGTGTCACAAGTACATTGTACACATTTGCCTTCCTCCGCAAATGTGATTGGGCTTGTTGTGGCTTTGCATGTTCGTTTTTTCATGCATTTTGTCGTTAATTTGCATTGATGGTTATCTTGACTTATGCATTCACATACTGTGCAGCCATCAATGTCATACCACTTCCCATCTTCCTTTGGGTGGATGTATCCAGGTGGATGCTCACATGTTATGTACTCACAACATAACGAGTACAGATTCCCAGGTCCTGTTCTACATTTATATGAGCTTGGACACGGCCTACTGCCCCCGCCCCGGCACCCCCATGGCACCTCCTCATACTTCATCCACATATTCTTACAATTAGGCATATCCTTTTCGATTTTGTACTGGCAGCATTTGAATCCTTCACTTTTTGAGCACTTGTACGTATTTGGACATGATCTATAATCTCTTGGGTTGCATTTCCAATCTGAATCTATATCTAGGCAGCCAGCATTTACATCCGATAAATGTGTAATTAAGACTAACAGTAGCACAAAGAAATCGACACTTTTGATCATGTTGATTGTTGATCTCAAGCTATACTGTGCTGTAGCAATAAAAGCTTGACTTTACAAAGGCAGTTGATCACCTCGCAAAATATCATTTATTTCCTTATTTTCCCCATTTAATACTTATATGTCATTGTTTACCATACGTCTGATGTCATGTTTCATGACAGTAATCAGACAGTCATATTATGTATCATGAATTTCTTTGAGTTTTGGGATTTTCGTGATATTTGTTGAAAATGTTTGTTAGGGTATGAATATATAATTAATAAATGCCAATATATTTAGTATTGAAACTGCATTATACGTATAAACACCTGAACAAATAAAGAATTACTTTATGCATAAGTATACTGATATAATGTATTTGTTTCATATCATTATTTCCTTTAGTTATCTCTTCCCGTAAATGTTCTTGATGTGGATAGTTGATGTTGATCCTCTTTGATTGACTACCCACAAAGTGTTTTCAAGAAAGGGATTTATATCTATATGATTGTTTTTGTATGTGGGATTTCACCATAGGATTTTCTATAAAGGATTTTCTTTACATGTACTTTCTATAACAGATTTTCAAAATAAAGGATTTTCCAGTAATGATTTTCAAAAAGTGAATTTCTATGTAGGATCTTTTAAGAAGGATGCATGCTCTTAACATTTCTGACAGTTGTTTAATTTCCCAATGACTTGCCACATGGGAATCCATGTCTCTATTCCAACTTGAAAGAAATTGCATTAAACAGGTTTATAACCTGGTTTTGAATCAATTTTTGATGTTCAATATAAAATACTTCGGGGTCATTTCAGTTGCATGAATGCCTTGGAGATTTCTTTTATATTACACTGCCTGTATTGATAAAAGTATAAAACAAGTTTGCTTTCTTCAATGGAAGCACATGCCAAAATATTTATTTATCAAATTTTACAAATAAATTCTCATTTGTTGACATTTCTCATTTTTTATTTTTCCTTGTCCGCTTGCAAATAGTGGTCTCTACTAAAGTTGCTGCTGTTTCCCCCGTTGGCGTTTTTGTTCTTTCATATGTTGAAGATCTGTTCCTTGGATTCAAACAGTTTTTCCTCTTATTTCTTGTCAATGCCGTGCATAGTCTTATACGTGAACGTCTTTGTTTGCCCCCTCTTGTCGCATCATTTGCTATGCACTTTGTATAATTACTCCACATGCTCCATTGCTCCAAACGATTCCCAAGACTACAATTGCTGCATCGTTTAAGTTCCATAATATCGCATTCATATTTGCCCAGTTTCCAAGAACAGCTTAGTCCAGCCTGCCACATGCTACAGTTCTTTCCTATGCCACATGGGGAATACACAACAGCCTGTCCTAAAACTAAAACCTAGATTATTGTCAAAAGGAACAACAATTTGTCAAAAAGAAAACAAAAGGAAAAAATTTAAGTTTGCTAAAATCCCAATCATTCAGAGTCAAAATGACCTAGCTTACTTTTACCCCTTGGTGATGAAAGGGTTAATATCTAATTTTGCATTCAGCGAACATTTGAATGTAGGCTGGATTCTTGAAGCTGATACTCTCAGCTTTCCAATGGTGTATTGGAACCTTAGTGCAGAAGAGGTAATTTAAAAGTCATTAAGGAGCGCACTTGGAGGCTCTATTTTGCTCAGGTATAAAGGTGTTCTGATTTTTGTATGTTGAATTCATATTCACTATTATAGTCAGTGAGATCAGAATAACTTAATGGATCATTTGCTAAATATAGATTGATATAGGTGGCAGCATGTGTGTCGGTAAGGCCAGAATACTCTTCATAATACCATGTATGTAGACAACTGGCAAAAGTCACTTAATTTCTTGGTTTATCATGTATTTGCATTTGGATTGTCTAAAACACCATTTGAATACGATCTTGTTGACATGCTGATTGTGATTAAAAGTGAAAATGAACTTTTAAATATTTTTAACATTGTGTGAATGTGAATTTAGCCTGACCCTTTTCAGAAAAGGACAGGTGGCGGTAAACCCCTCTTTTAGCCCCCCTTCAAAACAAGTATATATTGACATGGAATTGAAGAGGAAGTATGACTTATTACTTAAAATATGATTTCTGAGAGTTTTGACATTTGACCTTGACTCTAGGGTGGTTTAAAGGTGAACTTCGAGAGATGCTATTTTTCCAAATTTTACCATTTTCTGATACAAAAAATGAATGCGATTGGCTTAATTTTGATTGAGACTGATAATAAGACCTGTGAATGGAAATAAAAATATTTTTAATAAATGCTCACGGGCAATAAAAATCCCCATATGGGCATTTTTAGGGGGACTAAATTTTCTTGTTTCAAAAAAGAATGTTCTTGTTGCCTTTTGAGACTCTAAATGTATCCTAAGCATGTTTTAAGAGTTGGGATGTGATTATTATTTTAAATGCCCATGGGCAATTACCCAAATGCGAGTAGGTAGTTACCAGTTTCACCACCAGGTGGCTGATTCGGGTCAATTAACATGGCAGGTATATAAGAAAGTTCCCTTAAACTTGAATATTATCAATTTAAGTGGCTCAATTTTAATATAACCCTTATGTGTCTGATACTTATACCAATGAAAATATGTCCAGTAAAGCAAAATATTATCTGTCCACTAAAAGAAAAGATATTTCATTTTTTGTGATTTTATAGCATGGGGTCTATGGGGAATCTCCCCGAGCTAGAAGTCACCTTTTCAAAGAAAATTAATTTTTCAAAGTTGATAAACACTTTTTAAAACCACATTTTTAGAAGTAATTTTACATGTAGATTTCAAATATGATATTACTTTGACTGAATTTTGAATTCTTAATGACGTAAATCAGGATTATTTCTACTCGCATCTGGGTTATTAGGATAAAATGATAAAATGCACAAAAGGGCACTTCAATGAGAATGGATTTTCTTATTTCAATTGCTTCTCGCCAGTTTTCTAAACATGTTTGTTATATTCTAAATTGTTATAGGGTCACTTTAAATAAATGCCCATTGGCATTTGGAATTAAATGTCTGTGTGGACACTTAATTTTAAAGTTATTTGCCAATTTGTACTTCCCATATTTGAAACACAAATAATTCAGAGAAATCCTCTTTCAATATATCATAAAATATAAGGCAGCATCATGTATAAAAGGATTGCCTAAAACAATTTCTAATAATTCCCTAATAAACAAACACTCCATTCAACGCCATTCAAATATTTTTTATAATTAATGTCACTAAATTCTAGGTTTTCAGAAAAAACAAAATGTTCCAATGTACTCTGTACTTGTAATGCATATAAATGATAAAGGGAAACTATTGTAATCTTGGATTATATTGTTGTGAAGTGAAATGAGTTCCTAAAGATTGATTAAAAACTACATGTATATAAGCTTCAGTATTGTCTTCATTAACAAGGTCATCTGAATCAAAGGGTTGTTGCTTGCTTTGCCACAATGTGTTATTGCATCTTCACTATTAAATAATATTAAAACCCTTTTAATAAATAAAGGTTTTGAAGTTTTTAATATAAGGCTCTTCTTCAGAATGCAACATATAATTAATTTTGAATGGCCTAATCTGTACATACAGTAATGTAGTGTACATGTATGCCCAGGTTAGCAGCCATATTGAAAACATAAACCAGTCAGCCTTATTTTCATCACAAAACTTAAGTTTTAGTGGTGAGCCCAAACTCCCACAACAATGATATTTGCAGAGAAGCTACTTTACTGTCTCTGCATTATACAGTTTCAATATCTTTTTTGTGGGAGTGTGGGCTGATGGTCAAATTTTCAATGAAAGGGAATGAGCACCATGCTAAAACTTGATAACAAATTGAACGAAAAATGACAATGTTTTCTAGATTTGCATAGGTAAACTACTTACATCGCTTGATTTTGATGTTCTACTCCAAATGCTTGTATGACGTATGTTCCATATAATAAATTCTATATAATGATAAATTTTGATATTATTTTAATGGTAAACATAGTGTGTACCCACATTCAGACAGCTTTGTGATAGGGGTTCTTACTGCCAATTTTTCAAAGAAACTGAAAACTTGTGCCACTTTTTGAAATTGCACGTCTCAAGAAAAAAGGTTTAGCTACAACTTGCAATCGGTTTTAAAAGTAAATGGAAGAATGAGTTTTTTGGAAAAAGTATAAGTGGACCAATAGTCTGTTAAATGGACCTGTTCTTTGAGAATCCTGGAAATTACACCCCGAATTCAAATATGCCATCAAATAGAAGAAAATGTCTGTCTTAAATGGTTAAAAATGCAAATCTCTTAAAATCTCATTAAAATGAGACTTCGATGTGATTTCAAAGCAAATGGTGTCCTCTTTAGAATATGACTTCCTTATTTTTAGATTTCATATTTTGACTTACTCTCTGGAAGATACTCTAATACAATTTGTAAAAATTATAGAAATTAAAAATGAAGCCTTTTTGAGAGTTAGATGCTGATTCCTACCTTCTGTTTCTCCTTCTTTGCAGCGTTTACACAGCTTTGATGAATCCTTATTTGGACATTGCACACACACTGCCGCGTTTCTTTTGTTACATCTACATGCTACACATTTTCCATTATCCATGAAGTCCATACTTTTCTGGTTCTTTCCACAAACACATTTAGTACAGTTTTTCAGAACTCCATCAGTACATTGGCATTTGTAACAATTTTCATTTATTTCTATTTTTGTCTTCTCATTTTCATGTTCACAAGGACATGGTCTCTGTATTATTATTCCATGAGAATATATACAGTCACCAGTCTTGTCATTAATTCTTCTATTACTTACAGTTTCAGTTTGAGGATCTTCAGAATATCGAGAGCATGATGTACACTCTTTACAATCTTCATTTGTCAACTTTTTAGTAGGACCATAGTTTTTACAACACATGTTTTCACATGTCATTTTTCCAAGTTTAGTGTCACAAGTACATTGTACACACTTGTCTCCCTCTGCAAATCTGGTTTGGTTTGTTTGACCATCACATGTTCGTTTTTTCATGCATTTTGTCGTTAATTTGCATTGATGGTTATCTTGACTTATACATTCACATTTTGTGCAGCCATCGACGTCATACCACTCCCCATCGTCCTTAGGGTGGATGTACCCAGGTGGATGCTCACATGTTATGTACTCACAACATACCGAGTATGTATTCCCAGGTCCTGCTCTACATTTATATGAGCTTGGACACGGCCTACTGCCCCCGCCTCGGCACCCCCATGGTATCACCTCGTACTGCATCCACATATTCTTACAATTAGGCATGTCCTTTTCGATTTTGTACTGGCAGCATTTGAATCCTTCACTTTTTAAGCACTTGTACGTATTTGGGCATGGTCGATAAGCTCTTGGGTTGCATTTCCAATCTGTACCTGGATCTAGGCAGCTAGCATTTGCAGCATTTACATCCAATATCTGTGTAATTAAGACTAACAATAGCACAAAGCAATTGACACTTTTGATCATGTTGATTGTTGATCTCAAGCTATACTGTGCTGTAGCAATGAAACCTTGACTTTACAAAGGCAGTTGATCACCTTGCAAAATATCATTTATTTCCTTATTTTTTTCATTTATTACCAATTTGTCATTGTTTACCTTACCGTCTGATGTCATGTTTCATGACAGTAATCAGACAGTCATATTATGTATCATGAATTTCTTTGAGTTTTGGGATTTTCGTGATATTTGTTGAAAATGTTTGTTAGGGTATGAATATATAATTAATAAATGCCAATATATTTAGTATTGAAACTGCATTATACGTATAAACATCTGAACAAATAAAGAATTATTTTATGCATAAGTATACTGATTTAATGTATTTGTTTCATGTCATTATTTTCTTTAGTTATCTCTTCCCATAAATGTTCTTGATGTTGATAGTTGATGTTGATCCCCTTTGATTGACTGCCCACAAAGTGTTTTCAAGAAAGGGATTTATATCTACATGATTGTTTTGTATGTGGGAAAATTCACCATAGGATTTTCTATAAAGGATTTTCTTTATTTTCTTATTTCTTTCTTTTACAAACGCCACTTTTTTTTTCAAGACACTATAACTTTTTCATTTTCCAACCTACATACCCCAAACTTTGCAGTTATATAGAGTTAGGGGTTCTTAGTAATAATTTAATGTAACAAGTCCTTCAACTTGGATAATATTTGATCTAAAAGAGGAGTTCAATAACGCAGATGCGAGTAGGTAGTAACCAGTTTCACCACCAGGTGGCTCGCTGGGCTCAGATAGCATGGCGGGTATAGTAGAAAGTTCCCTTTAACTTAAATTACATCTGTTTTAGTGGTTCAATTTTCATATAACCCTTATGTATCTAATAGTTATGCAAATCAAAATATGTCCAGTAAATGAAAATGTTATCTGACCAATACAAGAAAAGATATTTTACTTTTTGTGATTTTGTAACATGGGCTCTATGGAGAATCAACCCGAACTAGAAGTCACACTTTCAAAAATAATTAAATTTTCAAACTTGATAAACAATTTTCGAAACCATATTTCTAGACGTAATTTTACATGTAGATTTCAAATATAACATCGCTTTGACTGGATTTTGAAAATTTAATGGCGTAAATCAAGATTTTTTCTACTCGCATCTAGTCAATTGGTCCGCCACCCTATTTGATGATAGATTTTAGTTTTAGTCGCCTTGCTGATATAGCAGTATCAATGGAATGTTAGCTAAATTTTTTTCAACATGTCTTAATTGCCAGCTTTAGTTGAGCAATTTTTTAAATTGGGTGCCTTCTTACAATCTCCTGGGGACCTTCCCATACCCTATACTCACTGGGGTTTACACCAGGGCTATTAGCTTGGCGATCATCAGGCCATATCAGTTCAGGAACATTTTGCAAATTATGCTTATTTCTCATGGCACACCACATGTTTAAGTGAGACGCTGGTGACATATATTATTCAAGTAAAAGTGTACAATTCATGATCCATGACTAGATAACAACTTCAAGTTTCATTTGGTATGCAAATTATGATTTTGTACCAAAAATTAAAAAAGTTATAGCATTTTGAAAAAAAAGTGGCGTTTTTTTGGCCCACCCTGTATTAATGATTTTCAAATTTTAATAAGGGTGTTCTAAACATTGTTGTAAATATGTGACGTGACAAATTAGTAGTGATTGCGTAGTAATGCAGGGATTAAATCAAACTGTTTTTCCAGATTTCAAGATATAAAGATAAGGATTTTACATAAATCATTTAACTCCCAACCTATACTAAAACAGAGGAACACTTCTTTTGCAAACGTTTCATGCTACCCTATAGAAAATCTGTTGGAACCCTGCCAAGAGGGTTAAATTCTGGAGTATTTTGACCAAAAAAGCACATGTTGAAAAGAAGATCTGGGGAGACCTCAGTGCTGCAATTTCTACATTTAATTTTAATGCTCTGTAGATTTTTGGCTTAAACATTTGCTATTCATATTTAATTATCAATCTCCAATTTTCCATGTTATTGACGTCAGATCATTTGTATTAAAATGATTGAAATAAATGGCAATATCATGTTATCGAAGGATAAATAAACAAAGTGTGCTGTGTGATGTTTTTATGTAAATTAATTCACGAGATCAAGTTATTTATGGTATTAATAAATTGTCCAATGATGTCATGGTCATGGATATCTCCTTGCATCCCCCCCGAGTAAAATGTGATAGTGATTATGTTTAAAAATAGAAAATAAACTAAAACAGAATGACACCATCAAGCAATGAAATTAACAGGCAAGTCAACATTCTCATTCAAATGCATTAGAGAAAAGTATAGAATATTGCAAACAATGTTATTTCATAAGTTGAAGATTTCATGACTGAGCTAGATATTATTTTATTTTTGTTTTATTCAGGAGTACTGAGAATTAACATTTTATATATCTAAAAATACAGTTGGCTTATCATCCTTTTGGATGTAAACAGCCATTTTATATCATTATTTAAACAGATGGCTGAGGTTTAATATTAAATATTCGAAAGAAACAGATGACAGATCCATAAATAAAGGCATATGGATGCATTTTAATGTGTCATGACCCGAGGACGCCCCAGGGGAATAAATAACTAATGACTGCAAGCATAGGTCCAACAAGCCAGATGAAGAAATTGAAAGAAAGTGTGCTAAATTCGATGCCCCGAGTGGGGATCAAACCCAGTGTAACATTAATATATAATAACAACCATTTACGTAAATGCTCAAAGTCAATAAAATCCAGAAAATACTTTTATCAGATAATTTTCTTAATGGATTTAAGCACTGGGCACAATGCTTTGTTTATCAAATGAATCATTGAAGCTAATTGTTGCATGCTTGCTTGCTTTAGTTGAGACCGAAGGGGGAGGTATTACAAGTGATATAAAGCATCATATCATGTGCTTAAAGTCTTTTAACACATGACAATACTACAGTTTTATATTATAAAGTAAAATAGAACTCAACTGCAGGCAGGACATTTTGAAATCTGACAAACTCTATTCAGCTTCTAGATGGTTTTTCTAAAAGTGTACATTCTCTCTTTAAATCTAATTTTAGGAACATATGAAATTAAATGTAATTGAAATTGCAGGAGTTCTCTGCTCTCTGTGGGGACAAAGACCAACTGATGATGCTACTAGACAGGATAAACAGCACGTTTGTTCGCTCCAACAAAGACGTCCTCCAGGCTTTGATGAAGCTCATTCCCTTCCTTGCCTTTGGGGATGATGACAAAATGAAAGCTCTTATTAACCACTTCAAGCCGTACTGTGACTTCAACAAGTGAGTCTGCTTTGAATATACGTGTTATTTTATGAGTCAGCATTGAGTATACATGTTATCCTACAAGTCAGCATTGAGTATACATGTTATCTTACAAGTCAGCATTGAGTATACATGTTTTCTAACAAGTCAGCATTGAGTATAAATGTTATCTTACAAGTCCGCATTGAGTATACATGTTATCTTACAAGTCAGCATTGAGTATACAAGTTATCGTACAAGTCAGGATTGAGTATACATGTTATCGTACAAGTCAGCATTGAGTATACATGTTATCGTACAAGTCAGCATTGAGTATAAATGTTATCTTACAAGTCAGCATTGAGTATACATGTTATCGTACAAGTCAGCATTGAGTATACATGTTATCTTACAAGTCAGCATTGAGTATACATGTTATCTTGCAAGTCAGCATTGAGTATACATGTTATCTTACAAATCAGCATTGAGTATACATGTTATCTTACAAGTCAGCATTGAGTATACATGTTATCTTACAAGTCAGCATTGAGTATACGTGTTATCTTACAAGTCAGCATTGAGTATACAAGTTATTGTACAAGTCAGGATTGAGTATACATGTTATCATACATCTCAGCATTGAGTATACATGTTATTGTACAAGTCAGCATTAAGTATACATGTTATCTTACAAGTCAGCATTGAGTATACATGTTGTCTTACAAATCAGCATTGAGTATATATGTTATCGTACAAGTCAACATTGAGTATACATGTTATCTTACAAGTCAGCATTGAGTATACATGTTATCTTACAAGTCAGCATTGAGTATACATGTTATCTTACAAGTCAGCATTGAGTATACATGTTATCTTACAAGTCAGCATTGAGTATACAAGTTATCGTACAAGTCAGGATTGAGTATACATGTTATCGTACAAGTCAGCATTGAGTATACATGTTATCGTACAAGTCAGCATTGAGTATAAATGTTATCTTACAAGTCAGCATTGAGTATACATGTTATCGTACAAGTCAGCATTGAGTATACATGTTATCTTACATGTCAGCATTGAGTATACATGTTATCTTACAAATCAGCATTGAGTATACATGTTATCTTACAAGTCAGCATTGAGTTTACATGTTATCTTACAAGTCAGCATTGAGTATACATGTTATCTTTCAAGTCAGCATTGAGTATACATGTTATCTTACAAGTCAGCATTGAGTATACATGTTATACTGCTGCATGTATACATGTCTTACAAGTCAGCAAAGTGTTCAAGTAGTAAATTAATTTATAATTAAGTCGGTGTCAAATATATGTATATAGGTAGTATCTTATAAGTCAGTGCTGAATACATTCATGTCAGTATCATTTAGTCAGCATTGGATATATACATAGTAGCTTGTAATACAACTACTTTCCAATTTTAGAAACATTAAAACTGTATAATTACATGTTATCTTACAAGTCAGCATTGAGTATACATGTTATCTTACAAGTCAGCATTGAGTATACATGTTATCTTACAAGTCAGCATTGAGTATACAAGTTATCGTACAAGTCAGGATTGAGTATACATGTTATCGTACAAGTCAGCATTGAGTATACAAGTTATTGTACAAGTCAGGATTGAGTATACATGTTATCGTACATGTCAGCATTGAGAATACATGTTATCGTACAAGTCAGCATTGAGTATAAATGTTATCGTACAAGTCAGCATTGAGTATACATGTAATCGTACAAGTCAGCATTAAGTATACATGTTATCTTACAAGTCAGCATTGAGTATACATGTTGTCTTACAAATCAGCATTGAGTATATATGTTATCGTACAAGTCAACATTGAGTATACATGTTATCTTACAAGTCAGCATTGAGTATACATGTTATCTTACAAGTCAGCATTGAGTATACATGTTATCTTACAAGTCAGCATTGAGTATACATGTTATCTTACAAGTCAGCATTGAGTATACAAGTTATCATACACGTCAGGATTGAGTATACATGTTATCGTACAAGTCAGCATTGAGTATACATGTTATCGTACAAGTCAGCATTGAGTATAAATGTTATCTTACAAGTCAGCATTGAGTATACATGTTATCGTACAAGTCAGCATTGAGTATACATGTTATCTTACATGTCAGCATTGAGTATACATGTTATCTTACAAATCAGCATTGAGTATACATGTTATCTTACAAGTCAGCATTGAGTTTACATGTTATCTTACAAGTCAGCATTGAGTATACATGTTATCTTTCAAGTCAGCATTGAGTATACATGTTATCTTACAAGTCAGCATTGAGTATACATGTTATCTTACAAGTCAGCATTGAGTATACATGTTATCTACAAGTCAGCATTGAGTATACATGTTATCTTACAAATCAGCATTGAGTTTACATGTTATCTTACAAGTCAGCATTGAGTATACATGTTATCTTTCAAGTCAGCATTGAGTATACATGTTATCTTACAAGTCAGCATTGAGTATACATGTTATCTTACAAGACAGCATTGAGTATACATGTTATCTTACAAGTCAGCATTGAGTATACATGTTATCTTACAAGTCAGCAAAGTGTTCAAGTAGTAAATTAATTTATAATTAAGTCGGTGTCAAATATATGTATATAGGTAGTATCTTATAAGTCAGTGCTGAATACATTCATGTCAGTATCATTTAGTCAGCATTGGATATATACATAGTAGCTTGTAATACAACTACTTTCCAATTTTAGAAACATTAAAACTGTATAATTACCTATGTACCATATGTATATGTCTCGTACCAGATTGTTCAATACGTTTGAGTAAAAATACTCTCATTTCAAAGGTTTTTAATATATATTCACAGTATTTTCACACAACATCCACAAAGCCAATTAAAAGTATTTTAGGACATCATGTATAAAAACTATGCATGCTTTACTGTATTAGTTAAGTTTGTCTTTTGTACTCTTATACCCCATAAAGGGTGAATTGAGAAATCAATAAATAAAAAAATAAAATAAAAATAAAAAATGATGTGAAATACAAACGTACAAGTTTACATACTAAATTGTTTGTGTATTTCTTGTCCTCCAGATTTGACTTTGAGCATACCCAGGATGAGCAGGTCCACTTAGAATGTTTCTGTGTCATTGCAAATGGAATAGAGGTGAGTTTCCGAGAGATCGAGCAAGTTTTTGAAAACACTAACTTTAATGTTATTCAAGAGTCATTTTCTCAATCTTTTTTTGGCTCATGTTATATAACTCCCAGTCAAGCCTGTTTTAAAAAAATCAAGAGTTTCGTTACTCCTTATATTATGAAGTACGTCATTTTCTTTTTATTATATTATTGTGTTTATTTTGTCTTCTGAACCATTTCATCGATGGAAATCCAGAGCTGGTTATACTTTTGGCCAACTGGAAGAGGAGGGAAAACCCCAGAGTTTAGAGTTTGTCCTAATTTCCACCATCTAGTTTCTGAATACCACAAGATTGTGTTTAATTGATGTAAACACATACTACATCTTTCTTTATCTTGATGAGAAATAACAAGCTATTACTATTGGTAAACAAGCCAGAAATTAAAATCACATTACTCGAAGCATTCTTTCAAAATTTTGAATCTGCCATTTTCTTTATGTCAACTCCCTATGTCATTTGACCGATCAGTGACGATGGTCATCTCTGTATTTTCCATTGACGTTTTTGTCATCCCTGAACCCTGGGGTATTCCCCCTCTTGCTACGCGTGATGACGTTGTTATAGTCTCCAACTTTTTGTGGATGGTGTTCGGCAGTTGGTGTTTGTGTTGAGTAGTTGGTGTTCAGTGTCTGTCACAAATGGCAAGTGGAATAACTTTTACCTTGTATATGTGACTTGAATCTCCAAATAGAAATTCCTAAAATTTTCAAGGAAGGTATGAATATATTGTGTTTCATTTATTTATACCTATGTAAGGAGGGCTGGGCTACAGATAACAGCATTCCAATGTAGGAATCTTGTCACGAATTATGTAAATGTAAGGAGGGCTACAGATACTTGCATACCAATGTAGGAATCTTGTCACAAATCATGTATAGATAAAGAATATAATGTTTCATTATCCAATTATCCATTATCATTATCCATTAGGCAATTCTCTTAGATTTGATTACATCTAAGTATCCAACAAAATGTGTTGGGTACTATTGTTGTTGGACATCTGTACTCGATACAGAAAAATGTTACTCTTAAAGATAAGCAAATGGCCATAACCTTGCATTACTGTTTTTTTGTTCATAAATGATAGCAAAAACAAAAAAGAATGATTTGTTTAATAAACAGCTATTAGTTCTTAATGACAATGTGATAATTATAGGATATCCTATGATTTTGAGGAATATCATTTTTATCTACGAGGTGATATTGATATCTGCACGAGAGAGCGAAGCGAACGAGTGCATATATCAATATCACCGAGTAGATTAAAATGATATTCTGAAAAAAATCATAGGATGTTCTTATTATCCTACACTCACAAGGAGTGTACTAAATGTATAATATCATTGCAAAATGAATACCATACCAAAAAGAGTCAATTTGGCGGGAAATCAACAAGCGGAGTATATCGTCACAATATCCTCCGCATATTGGGGTTTCCGGAGTATATCGTCACGATATCCTCCGTCCGGAGTATATCGTAACGATATCCTCCGGATATTCATTTTGCCAATAAATATCAAATTTATTTTTTAATGTTATTATACATTTAGTACACTAAGTGTAGGATAATGATTGTTATTTCCTTTCTGTTCACAAATCTAATATAATTGATATGATGTTATATCAATATAATTGAATATACAGGGTGGGCCAACAAAAATTGGAACATTTTTCTATTTATTCGATTTTTATTTGCCTACCCTGTAGTTTTAATTTTGATAAAGTCTAAGAGAATATGTGCATTTTATTTTAATGTATATTAATATAATTGACGATAATTGTAATTAAGTCTGAGAGAATATGTACTTTTAATAAAGAATCCAGTTTCTTGTTTGATTCCTACAGATGGCCATATATATTTTTTTTCAATGCTGGGTGTTTACTAAGATGACGTCATCATAGCAGGAATCACGTAATTGGGCAATTAGAAGCCAATTTCAAGCAGAATCTTGATATGACAAGAAGTTAATATAATTGACGATTATTGTAATTAAGTCTAAGAGAATATGTGCTTTTAATAAAGAATCCAGGTCTGTTTGTTTGTGTCCTTCTGATGTCCATTTCTTGGGTTTGTGCCAATATTGGGTGTTTAAATCACTATGATGATGTCATCACAACCAGAACCATGTAATTGGGCAGTTAGAAGCCAATTTCAAGCTGAATCTAGCCTAATTGTCAGTGGATGATACAGTGTATGTCCAGGGGTTGTATAGAGTTGAGTTGTCATTAAGCTCTGCTTAGGCTCACACAATTTACCGCTTACAGTAGCTTCCAAATTCTGATTCTGAATGATTTTGGTCCCTTTTTGGACATGTGCCTTATGTTAGGTTCGTTTTCAATGAGCTTTGATCAAAATGTCCAGGTTCATATGGGTTATTCTGCCGTTAACAATGATCCAAATCTTTTTGTTTAAAAAAGGCCAAATAAGGACAAAAATGAAGGATTGATTGTCACGGCTTTCAAACAATGTCAAAATCAGTGCAAAATGTTAACTGGAACTGGTTAGGATCTTAGCATGAAGTGGCTCCTCAATTACCCAAATGCGAGTAGTTATAGGTAGTTACCAGTTTCACCACCAGGTGGCTGATTCGGGTCAATTAACATGGCAGGTATATAAGAAAGTTCCCTTAAACTTGAATATTATCAATTTAAGTGGCTCAATTTTCATATCACCCTTATGTGTCTGATACTTATACTAATGAAAATATGTCCAGTAAAGCAAAATATTATCTGTCCACTCAAAGAAAAGATATTTCATTTTTTTGTGATTTTATAGCATGGGGTCTATGGGGAATCTCCCGGAGCTAGAAGTCACATTTTCAAAGAAAATTAATTTTTCAAAGTTGATAAACACTTTTTAAAACCACATTTCTAGATGTAATTTTACATGTAGATTTCAAATATGATATTACTTTGACTGAATTTTGAATTTTTAGTGACGTAAATGAAGATTATTTCTACTCGCATCTGGGTTATTTAGAATGACCACCACTAACAACATTTATATCTCTGATTTAGAGCAATGCAAATGGCTTCAAACTAAAGGAGATGATATTGGCTGCAGATATTGTAAAAGACTCCACAGAGTACATCCAGATGCATTCACCACCCATAAAGACCCTTCTTCCGTAAGTCTACATATTAAAGAAAAAGTCGTGCAACTTCATTCGGGAAAATTGTAAATAATTTTGACAATTTTAAAATCTGTAGTATCTGATTTCTGGATTCTATAGAACAATTGATTTTAGGATAAATGACATTATAAATAATTTCAGGACTGATTGTTATTAATCATTTCAGGACTGATTCCGAGGATTGGAAGGAGTTTGTTGGCAAGCCAGGCCTGCGGTATGCTCTACAGATGCTAACAGGACTTGCTAAAGGACATGATAAGACACAGGTAGAGTAGTATGGGATTGAATGTGCATAAAATATCAATGCATTGGTTAAACTCAACGTACAATCTCCCAGTGTATCATCCCACTGGATAAACGGTATAACCTCTATATATCATTGCCATAACAAACTTTGTGTAGAACCAAGATTTACTGGCAACCTCCCAGGATAGCTGCCCTATTCCTGAACCCTTGCATAAGTTCCATTATGTCTACAGTAAAACATGAAAATCCTGAATCTAGTGAATGCAAAAACCTTGAAATATGAACAGCTATTTAAATTTAAACCATTTTAGCCAGTCCTAGTTGTGTTCGGAATATACAGGTTCTACTGTACTGTACTGTTTTACTGTACCGTACTGTTTTACTGTGCTGTACTGTTTTACTGTACTGTTCTGTTTTACTGTACTGTACTGTTTTACTGTACTGTTCTGTTTTACTGTACTGTATATTTAAGGAGAATTTTGACAGATTATTTATTAAAGAATCTGGCCATAATGATTCTTCCATTAATTTCATCTTTGACTATTAGTGATGTGCCTTATATATGGTTTAACTTTTTTTTTTCAATTCAATTCAATTTATTTACTAGTATTTCATAATTCTTATATAATATACACTCTAAAAACAAGCCGCTAGACACCCTAGTGGGTATATGTTGCGGTTTAACAGAAATCATTAAAATGACATCTAGACTACATATAAAAAAAACATTTATAATGTTTGCTGAGAAATTGCAGAATAACCTCCAAATCATGATTACAGGAAATGGTCGGTCAGGACCTGATTCAAATCCTACACAAACTGGAACAAGCCGCCTCAGATGAACATGTTGGCTCCTATGCTGAGAACCTACTGGAGGCTGTCAAAGGAAATCCTAAAGTTCGTGAAAAGATCGAGGAAGTGCGCAAAAAGACAAAAGCTGAAAAGAAAAGACTCGCGATGGCTGTACGAGATCGGCAACTTGCTGCACTTAGAATGAAGGTAACTGAATTTGAATTCAGATTGTTACGTCTTCTCCAAAAGTATTTCTCAATAATATTTTAAATTAAATGTTTTACCCGTTCTGTGGAATAAAATATTCTAAATTTTCATGGCTCATATTCCTAAAATTTGAATTTTTCACTTGTTTCTCAAAAAATCCCAGAAAGAACACTCTAAGCCTTGGTTGCTTAACATGATTACGAACCTATTATGAATCAATGGAATAATACATCCAGTGAAGCAGCCTTATTGACCAAAATGTGACCTGTTTCAAATCTAAATCAGAAAAATAATATGTACATTGCTTTCGCATGAAAAATAATAATATAGAATCCTGCACATTGTAACTCCTGTCTTCAGACTAATGAGAAGGGACAGGTGACTGTGACTGATTCAGTGCTGAAGCAGATGGAAGACTTGAAGGAAGAGACTGGTCTTGTATGTTGCATATGTAGGGAGGGCTACAGATACCAGCCTACCAAGGTAAGAATCTTGTGTATTGCATATGTAGGGAGAGCTACAGATACCAGCCTACCAAGGTAGGAATCTTGTGTATTGTATATGTAGGGAGAGCTACAGATACCAGCCTACAAAGGTTGGAATCTTGTGTATTGCATATGTAGGGAGGGCTACAGATACCAGCCTACCAAGGTAGGAATCTTGTGTATTGTATATGTAGGGAGAGCTACAGATACCAGCCTACCAAGGTAGGAATCTAATGTATTGCATATGTAGAGAGGGCTACAGATACCAGCCTACCAAGGTAGGAATCTTATGTATTGCATATGTAGAGAGGGCTACAGATACCAGCCTACCAAGGTAGGAATCTTGTGTATTGCATATGTAGGGAGGAATACAGAGACCAGCCTACCAAGGTAGGAATCTTGTGTATTGTATATGTAGGGAGGGCTACAGATACCAGCCTACCAAGGTAGGAATCTTGTGTATTGTATATGTAGGGAGAGCTACAGATACCAGCCTACAAAGGTTGGAATCTTGTGTATTGCATATGTAGGGAGGGCTACAGATACCAGCCTACCAAGGTAGGAATCTTGTGTGTTGCATATGTAGGGAGGGCTACAGATACCAGCCTACCAAGGTAGGAATCTTGTGTATTGCATATGTAGGGAGGGCTACAGATACCAGCCTACTAAGGTAGGAATCTTGTGTGTTGCATATTTAGGGAGGGCTACAGATACCAGCCTACTAAGGTAGGAATCTTTTGTGTTGTACATGTAGAGAGGACTAAAGATACCGGGCTACCAAGGTAGAAACCTTAAGTGTCGTATATCATCTCTTTAGGGAAATAGTTTTTATCCATGATTGTAAAATTCATTGTGAAAATTATAATTTTGTACAAAATGAAAATGTTGGAACAAGAGATTTTGAAAATTTTTGGAAATGGTGAGCCAAAAATGAAATTTGATTCAAAATGAAACTTTGGAGAAAATAAAAACATGTGTAGTAAGAGAGAATTAAATTAACATACATATCGAGAAGCCAAATCTAAAGGATAAGATATCATGCTACTTTAACTATCCCCTTTTCAGGTACTTGGGATCTATACATTTAGTAAACGGGCTAATCTGGATGATTCGGAGAACAAACCACGCAAGGCCCAGGGCTATTGTACCGTGTCACACTTCAACATCGTGCATATTGACTGCCATCTGGCAGCTGTCAGGTTAGTTAAAAACTCAGTTCTTCATATCAGTCTTTGCATATAATTGTGAAAGCCAGATTCTCTTCTTATTGCTAAGCTGTAAAGTTGTTTCCTTGTTGTGGTTACCACCTGACTTTCACTTGAGTGATCTGAAATGGAGATGAACAATCTAGAGAGAACCACTGTCAAGTTAACAGGTTTTGGTTTTCATTGTTCATCGCATAGATGTGTCATATAATACATTTATTGAAAATGCAGACCACAGCAAAAAATTCAGTAGTATACAATATCATCAGATGATATATTAAACATTATCCCACCCTTAGTGGGATAATAAGATCATATAATGGTTGATTCTGTATATCATTACACTCTTGTGAGTATATGATATATATAGGTTATTTACTGGGAGGGATTGAATATGGGTTTTATTCCGAGGGACAATATGATATTGACCGAAGGGTAATATGATATTGACCGAGGGAACGCAGTGACCGAGTGTCAATATGACATTGCCCAAGGTCAACATAATTTTTCATGCAATACGCTTGAATACGATTTTTCCCAGGGACAATACGATTTTTTCATGTAATATGATTCAATAAGATTTCTATTCCTTCATATTTCCCTGGGAAAACAGTAGTAGTATGGAATAAATTCACTCATTCCCTTCGGTTACTCGTGAGTCGTTAATTTATTCCATAATACTACTGTTTTCCCAGGGAAATATAAAGGAATAAAAATCGTATTGAATCGTATTACATGAAAAAATCGTATTGTCCCCGGGAAAAAAATCGTATTGGAGCGTATTACATGAAAAAATCGTATTGTCCCCGGGAAAACATCGTATTGGAACGTATTAACCTATTTTTGGTTTTCCTGTTATTTTTAACCTTGGCTTATTGATAAAAGCATTTTCAAAATGTAACATTTTAGAGGAATGTATTATGGAATAAATAGGTTATTTCTGGTCAGGATTGAATATGGGTTTTATTCCGAGGGAAAATATGATATTGACCTTGGGAAATATGATATTGACACTCGGTCGCTGCGCTCCCTCGGTCAATATCATATTACCCTCCGGTCAATATCATATTGTCCCTCGGAATAAAACCCATATTCAATCCCTCCCAGTAAATAACCTATATATATCATATACTCACTTGATTATAAACACGATATACAGAATGAACCATTATATAACCTCATAATATACATCATGAGAGTATTTTCAACAGTATACATCATCATGAGATTTATACTTCAACAATCAACATTCTCATTTGATGATGTTCCTGTTTGTTTTAGACATGCCAGAGGGAGAGAGGAATATTATCATGAGATGATATTTTCAACAATGTACATTATCATGAGATATTCCTGTTTGTTTTAGACATGCCAGAGGGAGAGATGAATATTATCATGACATGATATTCTCAACAATATACATTATCATGAGATATTCCTGTTTGTTTTAGACATGCCAGAGGGAGAGGGGAATATTATCATGAGATAATATTCTCAACAATGTACATTATCATGAGATATTCCTGTTTGTTTTAGACATGCCAGAGGGAGAGAGCAATATTATCATGAGATGATATTCTCAACAATGTACATTATCATGAGATATTCCTGTTTGTTTTAGAAATGCCAGAGGGAGAGAGCAATATTATCATGAGATAATATTCAGAGATAATATTCTGAGATAATATTCTCAACAATGTACATTATCATGAGATATTCCTGTTTGTTTTAGACATGCCAGAGGGAGTGAGGAATATTATCATGAGATGATATTCTCAACAATATACATTATCATAATCATGAGATGTTCCTGTTTTTTATTTTAGACATGCCAGAGGGAGAGAGGAATGGGAGAGTGCTGTGCTACAGAATGCCAATACAAAGTGTAATGGGCTGCTGCCACTGTGGGGCTCTCAGATACCAGAATCAGCATTTGCTAACTGTCTTGCAAGGTAGAGTAACAGAACTTCTATGTTTCTCATTTATGAGGGAATTAAACGCAAGATAAAATTTGTTCGGCATTGACCAAAAAAGCTTCTGCCCAGGTTTTCTGAACATTTCCTCCAATCATTAAACTCAGTTAAGTTTGAAGTGGAAAGCACTCGCTATGCGCTAAATACGGTGATTAAGGTATTTGTAATTAATCTTCACTAGCCAGTCTGAAAGGGATATTCCTCGCCAGACTATCTCTCTTCTTATATGGTGGCTATAACCATATATATACTCTCCAGGTTTAGCAAAACACCCCCAAATGTTTTGATATAGTCAATATTGATTACTTGAAAATGTAGTGATCAAATCCAGCGGGCTGCCATCTTTGAAGATTTCACTCAGGAAGTTATAGCTACCATATCTGGAGAGAAATAGTCTGGCACGGAATATCCTTTAAAGTGCAGAGTTTGTTGTAATATCCCAGACTGTATATCACTCCAATAAATGTAGGTGTCCCTACAAAAAAGATATTAAAATTAGAATATATGATTTTGTTGTTTTGCCCTTTCAAGGAGGGTTCAGGAACTCCTACATGCCAGTATGTAATGTCTGAATGACATCCAAGACATCTTGTTCAAATAAAGTCCAAATAAATGTGAGATATGTATACAATATTTATTATGAAAACATGTACATACACTACCAATTTCATCAGTGGGTTATCAAAAAAATGTGTCTTTCCCTGGTCTCTGCTGATGAATTTACTCATCCAAAACATGTTTTATTGAAAAAGAGCAGTTGAATGAACTATGTGTTGTTCATCTTCACAGAGACTGAAAAAAATATCTCTGATCTTCAGCAGCCTGCCTTAAAAGCAGATTTTGTTGATAGGTAATATCCCAGACTGTTTATCATCTCCAACCTCCTCCACCTTTGTTGTTTTTTATTAAAAAAGGAAATAAGTAATAATAATATGTGGTTTGTTGTTTAACCCCTTCAAGGAAGGGTCAGTATTCAGCAGCTCTTATTATCCCACCGAAGGAAGTTCGAGGGGGATATAGAAAAGCCATCCGTCCGTCCGTTTATCCGTCCGTTCGTCCGTCCATTTGTCTGTCCGTTCGTGTGTCCTGGCAATAACTCAAATACCGGTTGACGAATTTCATTCAAATTTTATAGGCTTATGCCTTATGCGTGTAGGACCTCTGCTCGAGAAGGAATTTTCAATATGGTCGCTAAATTTAAAATGGCAGCCATTTTTCCTAAAAAATATAATCTTTAATAAATCAAATATTAGTGGATGGATTTGGTTCAAATTTTATATGCTGTTGCCTGGGTACAAAGGAGCCTTGCTCAAGAGGACATTTTCAAGACGGCCATT